TCCATTCATAATTTCTTTGCCCAATCTCAGCATTCCAAGATCCCTTACACCCTCATTCTCCTTAATCTCTTTGATGTGTATGATACAGTCGATCATCCTACCTTTCTGCCTACCTCGTCAAACCTTGGTTTTAATGGTACCGCCCAATTCTTTGCAGATGAAATGAAGGTCTCCTTCTCTTTCCCTTCCCTCACATGTGACCTCTGCTGTCGCATTTCTGATATTGACTCATGAATGTCTTCATTCCTCAGCATCTCTTTCAACCACCCTTCCACCACCTTCTATCCTCTTCAATACCGTGACCATGTCCTCCTCCCCCACAGCCCGCAACCTAGGAATCATCTGAGACTCTTCCCTCGTCTTCCAAAAACGTATAGCGGCTATTACAGAGGGTGGAGCTAGCTGCAAAACAGAGCGCTCACATTTTTTTAAACTCTGTACTTATGCTCTTAAATATTGCGATAATAAGGCAGAATTGGTGCCAGGAGCCGCAGCAAACTATCACTCTACTGCCTAAGGGTGCAATGGGTCCGAAAAATAAGAAACAGCGGGCAGACAAAGGCCCCATCAGCTAAGACATCGGAGAATTGCTGCGGGGCTCCCAAAAGCCTGCATAGGATAAAATGGCGCTGGGGGACGAGGGCTACTCTTACTCTTACAAAGATCTTTCCTACGATCCTGATGAGGAGGCCTTGTTTGACCCGCCAGCAGTGCCAAAAGCCAAGCCACCAGCTGCTGGAGACCCGGTCACAGCGGCCCAACTCAAAGACATGCTCTCCGAACTGAGAGCGCACATTGTGGCTGACATGGCCTATTATAAAGACACCATAGAAGGGGCCTTGACTAGGATAACATTCCTGGAGGCAACGATGAGCACACAGGTCACTAGGCTCACCTCCGTGGAATGCAAACTGGCAGAACTCCAACAGAAACAGAACACTACAGAAAAAGAACCGAGGCCTTGGAAGATCAAAGATGGCATTACAATTTAAAAGTGAGCTTGACCGACCTGCATGGGCCGCCTGCTAAACACGCTACTACCACCGAAACAAGCTAAAACAGTGAAGATCGATGGGCATGTTCCGACTGCCGAAACCAGCATCAGCACCATTAGAGGCGACAGAGGACCTGATAATCAGGTTCCAAGCCCTGCTGGACAAAACCTTAATTTGCGCAGATGTTCGTGAACAGGCTCCCTGTCACTGTTCCCGGACCTCACCAGAGGCACTATCGCATGGCGCAAAACCCTGCAGCCACTACTGATGATCTTATGAGCTAAGGACATTCCCTACCGCTGGGGGTTTCCGAAGGCGCTGTCCTTTACACACCAGGGCTCGACATACAAGGCTTGGAGTTACCAAGAGCTGGAATCTCACCTACAAAACATGGGCCTGCCTGGACCGGTGGGGACAGCAACAACAGGTCTGGCGTGTCTAGACCCCTCCACTATACAGGATTTCTTCCCCCGCTCAACTCAACGCAAAGTGCATGCCAGGGAAGAAACCTGAACAACACCGCCCCAGAAGTCGGACATCCAAACTCCTGAAGGGTCTACCAAATAACACTACCGTAAACCGCATTTATATTTAAGTTGCCACAGGCTGTTTTTAAACTGTTTAAATATGTTCTTACATATGGTTAATTATTGTTTTAAGTTTCCCTTTATGCCCACTCATAATGCCCATAGTCACTAGGGAACGTGTCGGAAGCTTTTCTCCTGCTTGACCTCCCTCAACACCCAATCACTCAAGTGAGATGAAGTGGTCTGGGTGACTATAATGTCCCTTTAAACATTCTACCTAACTATATTGCAATTTAATGACTGCATCAAAATGTAATATACACTCTTTGTGTAATTTGTTAATCTATGTCAGAGGTAGGCAACCTGGGGCACTCCAGATGTTGTGGATTACATCTCCCATAACGACCATGCATCCATAATGCCGGGAAAGCATCATGGGACATGTAGTCCCCAACATCTAAAGTGTCGAAAGATGTCTACCCCGATCTATGTAAAGCACTCTGGATAAGGAAGTTATATAAGAACAGTTAAATAAAATAATTATTTATTTAATATGGCATTAGTTCCTGTTTTAAAGTTGAGTAAATGTAGGAACTAATTAAAACGAGGGACTTCCTTTTCTATCATATTGATGCCATCATACTACCATATGTTAACTGGCTTTTCCTACAGAGTAACTTGACTATCAGTCAAGAGATAAGATACTCACGGTGAGTTGTGACAAAGTATGGAAGTAGGTTTAAAGGGGTAGTTTATACTGATTATATTGACCCATGTGTTAATGCATTTTATAGTAAGTGACATACAAATATCTAAAATAATAAATAAAAATTAGTAACATTTGGTGAAAATTCCCACAGTTTATAGCAGATATAGAGCTCTTACCAAACCAGGAGGTGACACAGCCAATTACGATGCTCACATAAAGTTTGATAGCACTGCTGAGCTTATACCATACGCAGGGCTTCATTAGACCAGAAAGGGCTTGAGGAGTTGTGGTTCAAGTGTCCCCTTGCTATTGAGGCTAGTGTATTTTTTTTAATTATTTAAAAATAAATATATTAAATTGGGTAATAGTAACATCCCCAGGAGATACTTGAAAGCCAGAATAATTTGAATGTACCTTTCCTGGTTAAATATTTTCTTATTATTGTATGTATGTATGTGTGTGTGTGTGTGTGTGTGTTCATATTTTAGTAGTGTAACACAGAAAACATCTTAAAATCAAGTTATTCATTCACATACACCATATAAATGAACTGAATAAAAAAACAAGACTTACAAGGTATTGTCACATGGTATTGGTAGCTTATAAATATTTTCTTGGCATCTAGTGTACTCAATATGTATTGCATTTTTCAGAAAGGCCTCTTTGGGAATAAAAGAAATTGTCAGAAATTCAGTTTTCGTCCCATAGTGGGATAATTAAAGGAAGTAAAGAAACAATCCAAGATTACATTACAAAGAAAACCAACCAAACAAAATCTTAACCCACCCATTGCTCTTATTGTACGGGTGTCTGGAGTGCTCCTTTAAGAAGACTTCAAATGATAAGGAAACCTTCTGCCTACTCATCAGGCTGCAATATTGATCTGTTTGTACACTACAATTCCATCCGTTCAGGCACGAATGTGACAACGAGGCTTATTCACTAAATTGCAAACAATGCAGAACTGAAAACTTGAACTTGCAAGGTTTAGACCCAAATCATCAAACCTTAAAAATGATCTATGTTAACTAAAAAGACATCCTGATTTCTTAAGTGTACATTTCTCTTTCTCTTTACTGTAGTTTAGTTCACATTAAATGTAGAAATCTTAGCAATATAACCACTACATCTCTTTGCAGTGGTTATGGTGTAAGGAGTCTTTGTAAAGAGCCATTCTGACTATTGTAAAAGTACAGTACTTCCTACGCAAGATACCAGAGAACTTGGGGATCCCCCATTATATTTATACTAAATACATTTTGGAACTAATTTTCATTGGTCAACATTATAGATGATGTAGGATATAAATGTGTGTTAACAAGAGCTGGAGTTAACATGCATGAGATCCCAAATTTATTTTGTTCAGAGGACTCGGGGGCGGGGGGACGGGAAAAGGGGTAGTCATGGGATTTGTACACAATTAAAGAAACGGACTCTTGGAGAATACAGAGCAAGAAAGGAAACAGTTATATGCCTTGGCAGTAGGAACTGGAAAAATATTTGTGGACATCGAAATAAATCTATAAGAGGAGTAATCATATTTCCATTAATGGCCGGGTTAGTCATTGTTAAGTCCACGTGGTGCAGCTGTGGTTTTCTTGGAGGAAGAGGAGTTATTTACTAAAACCGGGGCTGAGAATTAAACTCTACTGGAGACTAATGGCAGTATTACAATACAGGAAAAAGTTATGTAGTGTGTGACTGCCCCCTGGTAACATAAATGCAGAAAGTCATGGCAAAGAGAGGAAGCTACACGGTCTGTTCAATAAAATACCAATAGAGTTATTCACTGAACTGAGGATTCCAAATGAATTTTAAATTGAAGGCCAAAGTAGATGCAATGGTAGTATAGCTGAGTTGAAGAATGTTTTCAATTCAGCAATTCTGTCCTTAAATTTTAAATTCACTTTGAATTGCTGACAATTCACTCATTTTATAGAATAACTGCAAACTGTAGTAAACTGAAATGCAAAAATATGGAGAAAAAAAAGTTACTTAATATTTGTTTAGCTACGTTTTGCAATTCACTTTTCAGTTCAGTAGAATTTGATGTTTATTGTACGAATGTCGTGATATGAAAAACAAACGAGTTCCCCCCCCCCCCCGGTATCCTTTTCTTTGTCTATTTTATGTGAAAAATTAATGGACACAGCCGTACGAAGACTCTACAAACCATAACACCTTTAAGCTGTACAGAACCAAGGAGATTTGTAATGCCTATTCTGGTATACCTCTCCACTGCTACATAATGTGCTTATGTACCTGATTGTATTGCCAAATGGTTGTCTCCTGACTGCATGTCAAAATTTAAAAATTTAACTTCCCATAAGTCTTAAATGCAGAGAGCATTTGGGACTGACATAAATGGTTCACCAATCAGGAATGGGGGTGTTTATTGCAAGAATCCCACTGCAAAGTGTTCTTTTTTTAAAACTTGTTAAAGGGTTACTGCAACGTCCATGACCACTTCTGCTTTTTGAAGTGATCATGAAGGAATCTTGCTGTGTGAGGTTAATTTGAAACACTGCAGAACCAGTAATTAGCACTTTTCTGCTGGGGGCTAGTTGCACACCCAACACACGTAACACTGGCAGCCCAGAACTCTATTCCATGCAGTCAAATGTCAATTATGCAGCATTCAGCCGACATACATAACGTGATACCCTTCTTACATACAGAGGCTGTAAGGGTAGTCCTGTGTGTCCCCTCCACCCTGTCCCCTTCCTTTAAAAAATTTTTTAAACTTCATCTACACTCCCTGTCAAATCATCAAATTGGATGTACTTCAACTGCTGGGATGTCAGAAGCAGGCATTGAAAGCAGGACCAGGAGTTTACGCGGAGCTTGATTACGAAAAGTTACCTTAAACCCCTTAAGGACTGGATACTAGGTACATCCGACAAAAACGGTCCTTAAAGACCTAGTACGTCTGCAGTATTAGTACTTACTTGTGCTCAATTGGATTCAGGTCTGGAGAACGGGCGGGCCAGTCCATAGCATCAATGCCTTTGTCTTGCAGGAACTGCTGACACACTCCAGCCACATGAGGTCTAGCATTGTCTTGCATTAGGAGGAACCCAGGGCCAACCGCACCAGCATATGGTCTCACAAGGGGTCTGAGGATCTCATCTCAGTACCTAAGGGCAGTCAGGCTACCTCTGTCGAGCACATGGAGGGCTGTGCGGCCCCCCAAAGAAATGCCGCGCCACATCATTAATGACCCACTGCCAAACCGGTCTTGCTGGAGGATGTTGCAGGCAGCAGAACGTTCTCCATGGCGTCTCCAGACTCTGTCACGTCTGTCACATGTGCTCAGTGTGAACCTGCTTTCATCTGTGAAGAGCACAGGGCGCCAGTGGCGAATTTGCCAATCTTGGTGTTCTCTGGCAAATGCCAAATGTCCTGCACAGTGTTGGGCTGTAAGCACAACCCCCACCTGTGGACGTCGGGCCCGCATACCACCCTCATGGAGTCTGTTTCTGACCATTTGAGCAGACACATGCACATTTGTGGCCTGCAGGAGGTAATTTTACAGGGCTCTGGCAGTGCTCCTCCTGTTCCTCCTTGCACAAAGGCAGAGGTAGCGGTCCTGCTGCTGGGTTGTTGCCCTCCTACGGCCCCCTTCACATCTCCTGATGTACTGGCCTGTCTCCTGGTAGCGTCTCCATGCTCTGGATACCACGCTGACAGACACAGCAAACCTTCTTGCCACAGCTCGCATTGATGTGCCATCCTGGATGAGCTGCACTACCTGAGCCACTTGTGTGGGTTGTAGACTCCGTCTTATGCTACCACTAGAGTGGAAGCACCGCCAGCATTCAAAAGTGACCAAAACATCAGCCAGGAAGCATAGGGACTGAGAAGTAGTCTGTGGTGATTACCTGCAGAACCACTCCTTTATTGGGGTTGTCTTGCTAATTGCCTATAATTTCCACCTGTTGTCGCTCCCATTTGCACAACAGCATGTGAAATTGATTGTCACTCAGTGTTGCTTCCTAAGTGGACAGTTTGATTTCACAGAAGTGTGATTGACTTGGAGTTACATTGTGTTAAGTGTTCCCTTTAATTTTTTGAGCAGTGTATATATATATCCAAAATTACATAAATAATTTCATAAATATATATCTTGTAATACCTTTTCTATTGGATTGACAGAATTTCTTAATTACAAGCTTTCGGGAGAATCTTCCTTTCTCAAGTCTGAAGCATTTCTGAGCAAGACAACATATAGAATTCAAAGTTGAGTTGTGATACTGTAGCCCATGGAGCAGCGCAGCTAAGTGGAATGGGCCTTGACATGGCTAGGAGACAGGCATAGGAGGTGTTAATGTGGGGGTTTGGCTATAGAAAGATGGGGTGGGGTTACGGATTATGGGAGTATATACAGCAGCCATTTTAGATCAAGGGCCATCTTAATTAATCCTCACTTACCTGTTTTGTTGCAGGTCTGTGTGGTGTCTCATTTTTCTATCTTTCAGGTGCTGCTATCTGGATGAATGGAAGAATGGCTGGTTGGTGTGTGTGCTGTGGTCCAGCAGGCGGGAGAGGCAGTGGAAGTTCTACTTGGCTCCAGGAATGGTTAGGAGAGGCCCTGGTCCCAACTGGGCCTACTGCTGCAGGGTTCACCACGACGGCTGCTGAGAGGCCTGGACGACTGGCTCAGAGGACCCGACCGCCGCAACGCCTGAGCCCTGGCAGCCAGGTCAGAGGCTGTGGTTGAGTCGCCACATTCGGGCCGCGAATTACCTGGACGTTCGGGCCACGAACAGGCATTGGCGGAAAGTGGTGGACAGTCGGGCCGCGAACAGGCGCGTGGGGAGGTAGGTGAATGTTCGGGCCATGACCAAGCACTTCAGAAGCAAGAGGATGTTCGGGCCGCGAACAGGTGACGGCTGGAATTGGCGAAACCTGCGGGCCGTGAGCAGGCAAATGTGGAATGTGTCCAACGTTCTGGCCGCAAACAGGTGAATGCTGGTTCCAGCAAATGTGATGGGTGCGCACAGGTACGACAGAAATCTGCCGAACGTTCGGGCCGTGCATGGAAGGACCATTCGGGTATTGAATGGGATCGTACGGATGCGGGTGCAGGTTCGGCTCACAAATCCAGGTTGGCGCATGCTGCTGTCCAGTCGGGTCGTGTGTGCAGGACATCTAAGGCGACCAGGAGATCCACTGGCATGGCAGGCTCTGCAGCAGGCGGGAGAGGCGGTGGGAGTGCTGTTGGTCATGGAGGAGTGGCAGCTGGTCTTGTACTCGATGAGGTGGTAAGGAGAGGCCACGGCCCCAGGGGTCAGGACGACAGGTGTATCGGGCATGGATCGAGGGGGTCCCGGAGGGGGAGTAGGCAGGCCAGGACTCTGTTGCACGGCCTACCCATGGTTCTTTCTCATTCCAGGTCACCAAGACGGTCGCCCTCGGTCCGGGTGAAACCTCAGGAGGTGGACTTACGGCTGGAGGCGCCATCACGCCTGGGCCTGGACGTCGGACGAAGAGATGCAGCCTTGTGGCGTTTGACGGCCAGAGGTTTGGATGGTGAGTTGTCGTCTGTTAAACTTTCTGGGGTTTTTGGAGGGTCTGGAGTCTTTTCTGGAGTCATGGAGTGGGCGTTCGGGCAGGAGTGTTAGCTTTGGTCAGGTGTGGGCTCTAGGGCAAGAGTGCATGGGTACAGGGGTGGCCCCAGTGGGTAGTGGGCTGAGCAGTGGGGATTCCATGGCTCCACCGGCAGTGGGAGCGACATCCGAGTTAGGAGGTGAAAGGGAGGAGCTGGTTGGGGGATTCCAGATGCGGACCGTCAAAATGTTCACGTTTCCTTTGCATTCCTCTAAATCTTCTCTCTTCTCCCCCTTGATGAATATTTCGATATGAAGGAGGAGGATAGGAAGGATGCTAAGAAAGAGGAGGAGTAGAAGCGTTGGCGCTACCACAAAATTCCCACAACGTTTGGGAACTGGTTGCTGGTGTTTTGCATCCTGGCAAGTGTCGTGGGGGAAAAAGCCCCCGATCGTTGCTCGCAGCTTTTTTGTTACTTGGACAGTGTCTGGGATGCGCATCGCACATATGGGGGCTTGGCGTGGTGGCGGTATGATGATGCAATTCAGGCAGCGGTTGTCGGTTAATTCGGGGATGAGGTGGGACTAAATGGACCTGCCGTTGTGGATGAAGCTCATGATGGCGCAGAAGGCGTCACCCTTTCAGTCCGGGGCCATCGCGGGAACGTCTTCTCCCTTGTCGGCCGTTCACAAAAAAGGATTCTGCTGGCTGTTCAATGACAGCCAGTGCAAATAGGGGGCTGCGTGCCGTTACAAGCATGAATGTTCCGGGTGCGGGGGTGCACATGGATACAGTTGTTTTTTCAACCGTTCGGGTGCCGGGGGTCTACGACGGTCAGATGTGGAACTTTGGAAAAATCAGGTGGTGATTCATTTACGTCGGTCCAAGACTAATGTTTTTGGAAAAGGTTTGGCAGTTATGCTATTTGCAGTGCCGGGGTTGACGGCTTGCCCGGTGTCTTGTTGTTTGGGCTTTAAGGCAGTACGTGCCATGGCGGTTCCTTGTTGTTACATGCGGATGGCTCTTCACTGTCAAAGTTTCAGTTCTTCCGAGTCTTTAGGTTGGCTTTGGGGTGCCTGGGGCTGATTTCGGCGCAGTTCGGTACACACTCATCCTGGATTGGGGCTTCGACAGAGGCTTCTCGGCTGGGTTTTGGTGATGATCTGGTGAAGAAGATTGGTAGGTGGGAATCAGTAAGATTCAGGTCTTATATGAGGCCCAACCATTTAGTTTAAATATTGGTTGGGAGGAGTTGTTTTATTCCCTGTTAACATGTTTTTCTTTTCTAGGTTGGACCGCTTGGTTGCTGGGACATTCATACGTGTATTGGGCATACTGGAGGGCCGCTGTTTGTCGTCACGGCGTGCAGTTGGGCTTTCTGCGCTTGATCGTGCAATTTAAGTGGTTTGCGTAGTTGGCAGGGGGTCTGGTTGGCAGGGGGTCTGTTCTCAGCTGTTCTGGTTGCTTGGCGAGGGTCAGGTGCCTCATGTTATTTTACTTCACGCAGATGGGAATGATTAGGGGTTAGTTTCTCAGAGAGATTTAATTACCGGGATGAAGAGGGATTTGGAGAGGCTGAGGCAGTTGATCACTGACGTGGTTGTCGTTCGGTCTGAGATGGTGCCGCGGTTGCGGTGGCGGCACGCCAGGGATCCCGTGGCTGTGGCTAAGAGCAGGGGGAAGGTGAGTAAGTTGATGGCGGCTTATGTTAGACGGTTTGGGGGCATTGTGGTCCGGCATAGGGATTTGGAGGCGCAGCTTGCAGGTCATTATAGGCAAGATGGGGTGCATCTCTCTGATGTGGGTGTTGACTTTCTGTTGTTAGGGTTTCAGGAGGGATTGCAGCCGGCACTGTTTTTGGTGGGGGTGCTCAGGTAGTTCGAGGTGTCGAGCTCTGAGCTGTGGCGGGGGATGGATAAATAAGTTGGGGTGTAGGTTATTTGTCCAGATGTAAAATAGTTTAGAACTGTTAGGTTTGGATAGATTTTGGTTGGTTCAAGCTCGTCGGTAGCTCCGAACCTGGTGTGTGTAGGGTTTATCTTGGTATACCCCTACATGGTGGATGAGGGTAAATCCTGCCCTAGGTGGCAATGGTTTAAGTGGTTAGATGTTATTTATATGTTAATATTGTTTGTTTATGGGGGTCATTGTCAGGGTTGTATTGATAAAAAAGTTGGGGCTGAGATGTTATGTTTAAATATGTTGACAATGACCTTTAATAATGTATATGTTTCATTTATTAATAAAGCTGTGATTGTTACTATACATACATTAAGGTTAAGTAAACAGTGAAACAAAAACAAATAAATGTTAACCAAATAAACATCAGCCCCAAGAGATTGTCTCATTGTGTGAGTGTTTAAGACATAGTAGTGGGATTATGTGCCAGTCATCCAACCGGCTTGAGCGCCTCAGTCGTGGGCCCATGCTTTGAAGATATGGCATTTTCATCTAATGCCCAGCCTATGCGAGGGTGGTATAGCAACATAGGATTCCTGAACTAGATCGCTGAGCTAGGAGTGTTTGTAACATATTGCAGCTTATTAGGGATAGACGCTGGAGTAATGTAGTGCCCGGTTATGCCTTTGTGGGTTGCACAGTTTATATTGGTAGGGGGTAATTGGTAGTTAAGTTAAGGGGAATGTAATAAAAAATTATTCAGCCATCTCCTAATTGGATGTGTACAGCTAGGGTGAATTCAGCTTCTCGCACCTGGGTTAGCCCGGTGGTCTGGTTGGATGATATTTGTGTGTGAAACTTCTCATAAGATGGGCTGTTTGGGTTAAGAAGTTTTGTCAATCTAAAGTAATAGTAAAAGAAAAGAAAAGGGAACTCAATAGCGTTGCTTTTTAGGCTGCTTTTGGCGGTCCCTAAAGCTTACCCCTAGGGATTCACATGACCTGGTTTGAGTTTGAACGGAGGGCATGTGGTCTAATAAGCTCTAGGGGCTAACGGCTCGCTTTGGGTCTACATGTAGGTCCTAACCCAACTGTCGGGGGAGCTATGTAGCTTGTCGCTTGATCCTTTGTTGCCCTGTTCCCTGCTTTAAGGATGATTGGAGTGGGGCAAGGAGAGCGGCACTCATAGTGATGCAGAACCGGTATCATGGGGAAACAATGGCCCGTCTCTGCAGGCTGTCCGAGGTGAGTCAGGTGGTGACTGCTGCGTATTTTCCATCAGAAGCCCCTGGGGGAGAAATGGGGCTGCAGTAGCTGGATTTCAGACCTGAGAAGATGTTGTCGGTTCGGTGGTGGTGAAAGAGTCCCGTGGGAGCCCTAAAGTAGGTAAAAGTATTTTTGCCCCAGTAGGTCTTGGATAGGATATGAAGTGTCGCTATAGTGTACCTGCAGTGTGCGGGGTGCCCTCCAGCTGTACATGATGTTGGTCGATCGCAGCAGGGATGTGAAGGGCCGGAGTGAGTGGCGCCATGCCAGAGTACTTCCCGATACGTCCGCATAGAAGGAAAGTGACACTCTCGAACGGGTATGGTGAGTGGTCGCGTACAGCCTTTAGGACTGCTGTTTTGTCCTTGCCTCTCTGGAACCTTACCAGTACGTCTCGCGGTGTAGTGGATTGGGGCCTTGACAGGTTTGGGTAAGCGGAATATCCCGTCTGTTTCCACCACTTTAGCTGACTTGGGTGATAGGAGTGCCAGCAGTAATCTTCACACCAGGTGCACAACCTCTGCGTCCGGTATGTCTTCAGTTATTGCCCCAGCCTTGAGGTTTAGGCTCCTCTTCTGGTCTTCGAGAGCTGTGCACCTCAGTTCTGTTTTGGCATGCTGCTGCTTGATCTCTCATATCTCTTGCTGCAGCAGTGTTGTTTGCTCAGCATTTTGCCGGGTGTCTTGTTCCAGTATGCCTATGTGGCTTGTCAGGCCTCTCAGATCTTGGCATACTTGGGCCACATCAGCTTGGAGTGTGTGTTGGAGGCCCGCCATCAGTTCTTTTAAGACCGCCGTTGTGACTGGGGCAGAGTCTGTGGGTCTTTGGGGCCGGTAGTGCAGGTATGTGTTCCTCCGTTCAGAGATTCCAGAAGCAGAATTTTCAAACCTGCTTGCTGGCTGCATTAGTTCCCAATTCTGGATATATATTCAGAATACGCTAGGCCTGAGATCCACAAGTGCCTTTATAAAGGCAGTAATTCAAAGAAGGACAGGCAGAGGGGTTGATACCTGCTTAGGAGAAGCAAGATAGCAGAGGGGTCGATATCTGCATGGGAAAAAAAGGTAGGGGCAGAGGGGTCACTTCCTGCATTGGAAAACCAGGATGGGCAGAGGGATTGATAACTACCTGGTAGGACAAGCCCTCCCCCAGTCTTGGTAATAGTCTCCTTTGGCAGATCCACAAACCTGTGTTTCATCACATGGACACATACATTCACACAAATAAAGATACACAAATCATACCTCATAACTTTGGCGCCCTGTGAAGTGGGTAGTCGGTGGGTGGGTTAAAATGGGACAGGCTATGGATACGATTCATATCACTGGCTTTGCTTAAAAGGGGCAGTACCACCAGGAAGAGGGGGCAGTTCCAACCATAGAATTGACAGTTCAGCCTGGCGTGAATGCTAAGGGCGTACCATATAGTGGACATGTGCAATTCGTTTCGTTCCAATGTCAATTCGGACGAATTTCGGGCAATTCGGACATTTGGATACTTCCGAAGTTCCGAAGCACAGAATTGCCAAAGTACTAAGAAGAATGAAGAATGTTACACTGTATACCAGTTTAAATAACAAGTATACAAACATAACCTGGATTCAGCTGTAAGCATTTGCAACACTTACAACAATCAAGTAACACGTTCATATAAAATGTAAGTTACTTAGCCAGTCAATGGATGGAAATGAGTAAGTAGATAACTCCCTAATTCCCACGGGAACTATCTACCAAAAGGCTGAAAGACCTAAATTGGTCTTTCAGAAAAATTTACTAATACTAAGTAAAAATTACTTAGTATTAGTAAATTCTGCCCCTATTCAATATACTGCAAGTAGGGGCATGTCTAGTAAACAGTGAGCAGCCTGTGGCTGCTCACTGTTAAAAAAACAGTGCCCCAGGCGTGGGGGCCAGGACAATAGGTCCCCCTTATTCTAATTTAGGGCCCTCACCCACCACTCAGTGGTGGGGGCCGGAGGGGGAGGACAATAGGTCCCCCCATATTGGTATTTAGGGCCCTGATTCTTGCCTAACAAATTAATTTAATGCCCCCCTTCCCTCTGTATGTGTAGCAGACTTAAAGGGATTATATAGTGTTAAGAAATGCATATCCTTATTCCTAACACTATAATGCACTCTGGTCCTAACCTCCCACGCACCCCAGCATGTAAAGTGTAAAAAAAAAAAACTTTATTCACCTACCAGATTGTCTCTCGGTGCTGGGTCGGCGCTCCGCAAAACGTACCCTCCAAACGGTTAACCAACATAACATATCATTCAGTGAGAAAGCTCCTTGACCAATAAACCTCCCACTCCTCTTTCTTAATGATCCCAATGAAAACCCCCAAAAAACATACTAGAAACTAAAAACATAGGATCAACGAAAACTAATAAACTGCAACTCTGTTGTTGACAACACATGTTCTCCAATGAAAGGGAGATATCAAGTGCGGCTCATCTGCTATAATGTGGAAGGAACTGGTCCATATGGTGCCATAACCAATTACGAAGCTGAAAGAAACATAAAAAACAAAGTGGTAAGTTGTGTTAATGGATATTAAAAATCACATCCATGAGGCAATAAATAAGCATAATAGCACATTTAATTAGAATAATCGGAATTGCACCATAGTAGCTCAAAATAATTAGATATAAAAACAGTGATTACTAAACCGTACAACAACGTGCAGTTAAAACCACCAGGGAGGTGTGAGATAATACTCGCCTCAATATCTGTAATCAAATCATGACTTTACGTCATGTAAATAGTAAAATCTGGTAATTTTATTAAAGTTCACCTATTATGCTAGTTCAAAGCTGTGAAAAAACCGTAGTAGAAAAATAACAAGTTGGACGATAATAGAATTCTCGAAAAGTAGGTTCACAAGACCATTCAACACCTGGGAGAAGGTCTTCCAGCCTGCAACCCAATGAGAAAGCCATAACACCCTTGTAGAGTGCGCTCCATAGACCGAATTGTCAATGGTAGCCAAAACCATAATCTACTTAACCAACGAGTCAGTGTAACCGAAGAAACAGGATGATGTGGTTGTCAAAGTTGGGGTATGTTGGATCTCGAACTGCCAAAGTCCGATATTCATACTCCTTAAGACAGGCAACATAGGTTAATATTATGAGGAAAAGAAGGATAGAAAACCGAGATAATGGATGTTTTTGTATCCCAAGAAATATCAAACGAAATGCCGTCAGGAGTAAATGAACGCGCAGCAAGATCCAGTGCTTGAACATCCGACACGTTTACAGGAGATCAGGCATTTTGCTGTGAGTTGTTTGAGTGAAAGGTTCTCATTCTTTGGCCAATTTTCAACAAGACGAAAAACAAGATCCACATCCCGTAAAGAGATGTATCTAGGACAAGGTGGGCGTGCAAATCTGATGCTGCAAAGGAGACGACACATCAACAGATGTTTACCTGCAGGAAAACTGTTCAAACCACGATGACCTGCAGAAATAGCTGATCGATATACATTAGTTGTATGCTAGGCTTTGGACAAAAAGTGAAGTAAGGTACTCACAGAAGCATATATGGGATCACGTGTTGTTCCATTCACCAACTATCCCATGACTTCCAGGTGTGAAAGTAGGATTGTCGAGTTCCTGGAGCCCAAGGTTCCGCCAGAAGGTCAAGAGTTGATTGTGGAACATTCGGAAGAACGAGAGTCCCCGAAGAGGAGCCAAACCAGTAGTGTGAGATGTCCTTGGACCAGAAGGAAGTGTGAGTTCCTGCGCCATCAGGAATATATTGTCTAGATATATCATCAGATGGACCTCTCTGCTGCATAGTATGGCAACCACTGGTTTCAGTAATTTAAATGAAACACCAGGGGCTGATAAAATGTAGAAGGGGAGGCTTTTGAAATGCCACATGGTCCCTTCCCATTGGAATTTAAGGAATTGTTGGCATTCTACGGCCATCGGGTTGGTGAGGTATGCATCTTGTAGGTCACGTTTGACCATCCAATTCTGCAACAGGAGTGGTTTCTCTAAAATGGCAATGGTTTACATTGCAGGACTAAGTGTGACAGGGACACTGCACCCAAACCACTTCAATGAGCTGAAGTAGCCTGGGTGCCTATAGTGTCCCTTTATCCAGTGGTAGCCTGGCATTTCATTTTTGTTAAATAATCTGACCGCAGGCAATTGGGGACAGAATTGGGATGACCTACCAGTCCGCTCCTGCTGCCAGATAGACATAAGTCATCGTACAGCGCTACAGAACTTGTTGGCGTTTTATAAATAATAATAATAACTCCCCATCACGGCCAATGGTCGCCCCTAAACACCAAGGGGATTTATTTTTATTACCGTCCCCCTGAAACCGTCACTTTGTCCACATTCAGAGATTGGTCAATAACCCGGCAGGTGTGAAATGTCAACAAACGCCAAGGCTATTCACATTTTACATCGAAATACGTAAACCGGGATCATAGTTTTGAGAATTTTTCAAGTCCTTGGAATTCCCTTCCAAATGGTGATTCCCACCAATTCACTCTATTATTGGGGAGCCCTGCCAGCCATTCTTCCATTGTGAGGCCATTCTTGGGCTAAGGGCCTGGGTGGTTCTGACGTCATCGCCGCCATGTTGGAGTGACGTGACCAGCGGATGCGCTCGTGCCCCGTCCTGCGGCGGCCGCCGGTAGCGCGCACGCGCCGCTCTGGTTGAGTGAGCGGTGGAAGGAGGGGGGAGGGGGAGGGAGTTGGTAAAGTGGGCGGGGCGTTAGTCGCGCGCAGCACGGCCCCTCCCTCAGCTCGGCCCGTTGGGAGCGCGCCGGGAAACCCCGTGCAAGCGCGGCCGCCATCTTGGGGAAAGAGTGAAAGCCCGAGCCGATAGGAAAACAGAGAGACAGCGGCTTCCGGAGGCTGAGGGAGAGACTGACTGACTGACTTGACTGACTGAGAGAGATCGGCAGCCGGCAGCAGGGAGCAGGGAGCAGGGAGGGGCTGGCACACACCGAACAGGTAACCCCAATATACCGCTCCCCGATACCTGTCACATCTACCCCAATATACCGCTCCCCGATACCTGTCACATCTACCCCAATATACCGCTCCCCGATACCTGTCACATCTACCCCAATATACCGCTCCCCGATACCTGTCACATCTACCCCAATATACCGCTCCCCGATACCTGTCACATCTACCCCAATATACCGCTCCCCGATACCTGTCACATCTACCCCAATATACCGCTCCCCGATACCTGTCACATCTACCCCAATATACCGCTCCCCGATACCTGTCACATCTACCCCAATATACCGCTCCCCGATACCTGTCACATCTACCCCAATATACCGCTCCCCGATACCTGTCACATCTAATGGGGCCCAGACCTCCCTCAATAACCTGCTCCCTGTCAGTGCTCCCTGTATGGGGCCTGTCACCCTGTACAAGCTGTAACCAGGAGAGGGTATTACCCCGAAACTCATGATCTACCCTTCAATGTGCATCCCATGATCACCTACCCCCTGACCCCCATGATCACCTACCTCCCATACACCCTGCACTCCATGATCACCTACCTCCCATACCCCCTGCACCCCATGATCACCTACCTCCCATACCCCCTGCACCCCATGATCACCTACCTCCCATACACCCTGCCCCCCATGATCACCTACCTCCCATACCTGCCCCATGATCACTCCCACTCCCAGCCCACCCCCCTGCACTCCATGATCACCTACCTCCCATACCCCCTGCACCCCATGATCACCTACCTCCCATACCCCCTGCACCCCATGATCACCTACCTCCCATACACCCTGCCCCCCATGATCACCTACCTCCCATACACCCTGCCCCCCATGATCACCTACCTCCCATACACCCTGCTGCACCCCATGATCACCTACCTGCCATACACCCCTGCACCCCATGATCACCTACCTGCCATACACCCCTGCACCCCATGATCACCTACCCCCCATACACCCCGCACCCCATGATCACCTACCCCCAATATACCCCGCACCCCATGCTCACCTACCCCCAATATACCCCCCAATATACCCTGTGGACAGTATTAATCTGCATCACATGAGTTGCCCCCCTCTATACACTGAAAGAGGGTATTGTTACCCAGCACGCCTCTAATCTGCCGTACAGTCACTGCCCCCCATCTGTAAAACGAGAAGGGGTCACCCCTCTAATCTGCGCTATGAACTCTGGCTCCCTTGCCATCTTGATCTACTCCCTGCTGTGACCTATGACCCCCGTGCCATTAACCCACATTGCCACATGTTAGAGAGTATCCCTGCTATGATGTCCATATCTGCATCGTGCACCTCTCCTGTCTGCACTGTCATGTGACTTCGAATACCCCCCCAGCCCCCCCCTCTCTGTATCCATGGACAGTGTCATTCTCTCTGTGCTGTATCCCTCTCTGGCCATGGTGGGGTTAATCTGTGTGCACCCCATTCATCTTCCCAGGCTTTGTCCTGTCACCTCTCTACCCAGTCAGAGATTATCCCAGGATCGTGCCCCCCATCACTGTGTTAGAAACTGCCTGCATTGTAACAGGGGCTGACAGTTTCCGGAAGAGCCAGATCCCGTGATCATGTTTATGTTCAGGCCCAGCAAGGGATCAGTGCTAGCTAGGCCCCAAGCCTGTCACCACCTTTATTTACCTACAGCACTACATTGTCATTTGTGTTGTGTTTCCATCCTGGAATTGTCTTGTGCAGAGTGATTTGTCACTGATGTATTAAAGCACACGTTAAAATCTGAGCCATGGGCAAGCCACCCCAGCCCCTCCTAGTTTGGGAAGGGACAGCAATGCAAATTCATGCAGCTTTTTAGGGATGGTGCAAGTTTGGTGTGAATTTCTATGAAATGGCCTCAGGATCCCGATAGGGTGTGCCCTGCTTGGGTTAAGCTGGCGATTTTTGTGAATGAAGGCCAGATGAGAGTATCCCTGCTCTCTGTGTGTGGCATTTTATTAAAGTGTTGCAGAATTCAGAAATATCTGCAATCCATGCAACACCCACCCTACTTACCAAAATCATAATAAATTACTTTATAATCCAAGTTTAGAAACCCCCTTTGTGTAATTGTATTAATGTTATTAACACTCCTGTTTTCTTGGGTAATTTGGGGGAGAGGATACATTATTGCAAGACCCTTCTTGATTTTTATTGAGGACAGCATTTGACAACTTTGGGGTTTATTGCCTAAACAATCTGATTTGCAAAATAGGGCTGAAATAGCAAAGCTGAGACATGAGCCAATTTTGAGAATTGTTACAAATTTTGCCTATGAGTTTTGTTGGGCAACAGTTCTGTATTTTGTGAATAACTGCTTTTATCAAGATAATTTTGTTGCAATCTAAAATGTTGCTCGTCTGTCAGCACAAATTGATATATACGGTCACGCCATTTCTGTGGCCTGTACATGTTTATGTTCACACGTGGCTGCACCCTATAATATTTGAACAGAGATCTCTGAAGTGTAAATTTCAATGTGGATTTGCAACCAGTTGTAGTGTTTGTAGCAATAATGTGTAACACTTCCATCCTATTCTGTCCCTTGTTTTTTCAATAAATCTGCAGGAGCCAGGAAGAGGTCAGTGCCCCTCAGCCAATCCTAGCCCTCTTTTATATAGTGGAGTTGTACACATTCTATAACCTGGGCAGATGTTAACGGGGGTGTGTGTGCATAGAGACATCATTTATTCTTATTCACAAGGGAAACAAAAAATGACTGGTGTAATTGAATGCAAGATGGCAGAGGGCCTTGTGGCAGTGTATATTTTTGCCCTATATGAAAAATCAGATATATTTGTGCATGTGCATCTTTCAGTACACCACAAACATTTAAATACAGGATTTTTCATTCTTTAGACAACAAATTGATGCTTAGGTACAATCAGATTATGCACCTGTCTTAATACATTGTTGCGTATTTATACATGTTTACATTTACACTTTTTTTTTTTTTTTGTCCGTTGCATACTTGTACCATAAATGCTGATTTAAGAATTGTATTTTTACTCCATTTTGAAGGGGCAGTATATGCACCAAAACTCTAAAGTGGTTATGGTGTCAATAGTCCCCTGAGACTTTTCCACTCGTAAGAGCCATACTGTTTCAAATGGCCTGAAACTGACCTGGTTCCCCAGGCTGTTTCAAGTCTGGCCCTTCTTCAGTGATCACGATAAAGCGAGAGGTTTGCCTTCTGCTTTAGAAATGTATATTTTGCCAAATTGGGTTGGAATTCAGCAGCTCATGATTGTTAGCTGGCGTTCTCAACCAATGAGTTCCCTCCAAACACAAACTGTTTAATATTGGTAGTGCAAAATTAGGAACTCTTTTGCTTTAGTGATTTCAGGGAAAACGGCTTGGCAATGACAATCTGTGGTACCCAGGTAATTGTCAAACTGTTCAACAAGAATTGGACTTTTAAAAGTCGAATAGAGCTGGTGACGCCCTTTAACTTCTTTGCCTTGGCTTACCTTTTGCATTGATGGGCTTGTTAAGGCTTTTGGGATGTTTTTACAATATTATCTTTTCTTTCTCACTGGAAAACTGTGGAGGGGGGCAGCATGATTGACACATGTTTTGACCCCTCTATGGGAGTGAATGCAGTAATTGGCTACCTGCCATGGATGTGCAGGGGAACAAGTCGTCACGAGCAGCTAACACTCTTTGTTGCTATATATTGTGTGTCAGAGGTGTTGTTATGGTTTTAAGTTGCACATAATTTCTGAAAATGCGAAACTATCCCTACAATGGTAGTGGATCCTGCAGCCAGGAAGTCTGAATTGCCGATAATATGGAACAAAAGTAGCATTTGCTTTGATATTTTCAGGTAATATTTCCAACTTTTATGTGTGCACAGCAGTTACTGATTCTGCAATTACCAAGACATTTTCCATTAACCAATTCTTTTATTGACCTTGTAAATGACTGCTTCCAGCATTTATACAATCATTGTCCACTGTATTTGTGAAATATGGACTTTTTACCCCCGATAAGTTTCTCATCGCACCATATAATCTTGCTTAAGCTGTAGTTTTTTATTTATTATATAGTAGCTTGAAGAAAAAAAAATACCAAACTAAGCACATTTACACCATGTACTGCCATGTTATATTTTCATGAAAGATATAGTTTAAATTGGAAATCATAGAATATTTTGTCTAAGAATATGGGTAAGTTGTCAATTACTATAGTAGGGTACCAGTGCAGTCTTGGCACCATAACTATGCCAGTGGGCTGTAGCAGTTATGGTGCTTGGAGGGTTCCTTTAAGAGAGTTGCCCCTATATTTTCAAGTGTTAAAGGAAAAGGGTCCGCCGGGCTGGATGGAGAGGAAGGGGTTAAATTTACCTCTTTCTCCAGCGCTGGGCGGGGAGCTCTCCGCCTCCTCTCCTCCTTTTCGGCTGAATGCTCATGCGCGACAGGAGCCGCGCGCGCATTCAGCCAGTCCATATGGACGCTGGCGTCTTCTCACTGTGAAAATCACAGTGAGAAGCGCGGAAGCCCTCTAGCGGCTGTCAATGAGACAGCCACTAGAGGCTGGATTAACCCATAGGTAAACATAGCAGTTGTTTATAAAAAAAAAAAAGGGGGTTAACTCTAGATGGACCTGGAACCCAGACCACTTAATTAACCCCTTAAGGACACATGACATGTGTGACATGTCATGATTCCCTTTTATTCCAGAAGTTTGGTTCTTAAGGGGTTAAGCTGAAGTGGTCTGGGTGCCTATAGTGGACCTTTAAATACCTTAATATTTTTTTGTTCTCCCTTGTATAGAATTAGCAGTAGCTAAGAAGGCAAAAATAAAAGCAACAAATTAATTGGTTGTAAATGGCATGTGGAGTTTGAAGTTTTTTTTTTTTTTTTTTAATATGGGCTCTATAGACAGGATCTTAAAGTCCTTTTAATAGATTTGATTTTAAAACTGTGTTTGTTAGTGTGGGTGCAGGAATACAAAGTACCCACTGATTGGCTGAGCCACTCATTGATCAGGCTAGAACTGTGAGAATGTGTGGCATTGCTTATCTGCATTGATACATGTCTGTTTTACAACTTGCATCTTTATTTGAAAGTGACAGTCCAGGCTGTCTCCTCCCATGTTCTCAATGCTTTATTTAGATTCTAGATAAAGAATTAACATATACTGAACTAAAGGGACACTATAGTAACCACAACAACTACAGCTTAATGTAGTTGTTCTGGTGAGTATAATCATTGCCTTCAGGCATTTTCAGAGAAAAGGCAATATTTACATTTCCCCTGGGGACACCTCCAAGTGGCCATTCTTTAGATGGACACTGGTGGTGCTTCCTGGCTCAGTGCTGCACTGCCATTCAGCGTCTCCAGGCTCTGCATTCAATGCATCTCTATGAGGAGGTGATGATTGGCCAAAACGGCATTTGGCTCTGTCTCCTTGCCGATTTCAGCTAAAAATCGGCAATTATGATGTCACCGAGGGGGCGGACCCACGCAGCGCTGCAATTAAGGTGTTTTAATTCCTTTTAAGGGGGCTGAGGCGGGGCAAGCCACCTAAATGGTGGGTTAAACATATAGGGTTAGGAATACTTGTTTGTGTTACTGATCTTTAAAGAAAAAGAAACTCCTCTCTGAATTATGCTCCACTACTAGCAATATGCAGCTTAACCATGGAATGAAGTTCAGCACTCTACAGCAGTTACGTCCTTGAGAATACATCAATGGAAGATCTGCAAGTTATTTCTTTTTCCTTTCCTGAATGGATGAGCTAGCTAATACTTGCACGAAAGAGCCTGCACACGGTAGTTGGGAATAGAGTTGTGTTTATAATTCTTCCTCCTGTGGCGGATGTAATCTAGCGGATGATGTGCTTATTGCTATTGTGATTTTGTAAATCGCATCCAATCAAGAGAATGTAATATAATGAAGGGATACCTGGGTAGTAGAAATCCTTGCATCATAACATATGCAAGGACTATAGGCATTTATGGGAATGGATGGGTTTTACAGCAGTGTTAGACCCACGGATGTCAGAGCACGGCTGTACCTGTCCAGCGATCAGAGGCCAAGTAAAACTATAATTGCTCCCAAGGAAAACTAATCCTTTTATCTTAATGAAAAACCAGATCTGGCGATTATAGCAGGGCTCAAAAGTTTCACTCTTCACTAGCCATTGTTGAGGGAATATTTTGCCTCGATGAGTAGAAATCCACTCTTGGTGGGTTTGCTATGGCTTGCAGCGATGCGTAACTTTTAAGGCTTGGCCAGTAGCAAAGAATTTTAAACCCTGTGTTTATAGCATTGCTTTAAGTGCCAGATTGACTTCCACATTTGCGCTCAGTTCTTTACTAGTGTAGTTTGCATTTACATATTTATGCACTGTAGGTCATTGTGTTATTTTTGTTCATGCACCATCTAGCTTGGCACTTTGTGTAAAAGGGCTGTAAATGCTAGATCTTCGCTAATGAGCAGGGCCCCTTGTATTGGTTTGTTTATGCCGCACTGTCTATTTCCCCTGATTGTACAGCACTCTGGAATATATTGGTGCTTTATAAACTGTCTATATTGCACATGGTGTACAGAGCTTTGCATTTCAAGCATTTAGTGTTTACTTTCTCACATAAATGCTATCACTTTTTGACGGTTTAAGCCAGAAGTTGTCCCTTTGGTGCCTGAAAACTCTGCCTCCTCCGGCCACCAAACAGGAAAGTTTGTGTTAGTCCCTGACTAATGCTCTCATCCGATCACTGGTCGTCCATTGTGAGTAATAGTACATACTGTACATAGACTCTCAGCCTATCATTGGCTGTCAAAGCAAACCTTTCTGTAATCTATGGGAGGCAGAGCTGATGGGTGCCAGGGGACCAATATCAGGATTAAAGTATTCAAAAACAATTTACCCATGAAGGTAAGACAGAACCCGGGCACTCCTACCACTGTAACGACATATGGGTTGGGAGTGTTTCTTTACTGTTCATTTAAAAGTTGCACAATGGCAATGTCTTTTTTTTTCCTGTGGTTTTTGGTTTGGTTTGCTGCAGCCGTTAGCATTAAACGGCAGATGACGGCAAATAATCGCATGACATTTGTGTGGCTCACTCTTGAAAGTTAGAAGCTTATCTCAGAGCAATGAACTGCATTGTTTAGGTAATGAGTCAATGTATATAGTTATAAAAGGTTTAATTCTGGGAGTCGTGGTCAGTTGACCAGGAAAATACAGATTTACGGTCAAAGTGGCATATTTGGAAAATTTCTCCAGGTCTTTGTGTTTTTTTGTTTTGTTTGTTTTTCACCTTTCTCTTCATAAAATTTGCAGTTGCCTTGTAAATTCTCCACGTTTACTGAAAAAGCGCCCGTGGTGATTGGAAGGGAGGGGATCTGCGTATAGGATTGTTTTCCGGTCTGATTTGGACAAGAGCATGCTGTTACTGCAGGAGCGTTAGTGCTGACTTTCCAGAAGAGGAAGGCCATCTGTCACTTATAACAGGGAATGTAGAGCTAATTACTAGTTACTTGTATATGGTAAATTATTGAAAGAAGAAATGTCACTTTCAGAGAAGTGACAGTTCCTAGTTAATTCACCACAGTAAATGTTTTTATTTTTTACTGGGGCGCATAAAAACTTGGCTCCGGGGGCGAGAATGACCAGTGAGGTAAGCAGACGCATGCTGCATGAGCTCCCGCTACTTTGAGCTATTACCTTTGTTTTTGGTTGCTCCACGCATCAGGTTGAGATATACCGGACTGCCAGAAACTCCAGCACGCTACGGAGAAACACTCCCGAAAATCCTGGGGGCCCAGTGAAGAGCAGATCAGGGAAATGTGCCTGCTGCTCACTTAGCCGAGCAGGCCCAAGATGGTGGACCTCCATTCAGATTCGTTCCAGAGCTCGACTACGGTCTCAGATGAGGATATTGACCTCTCGGAACCTCCATCCCCACCCCACAGATACCCGGGACATGTCCAGCGACAGCCTGAACCCCTACTGGCCTCAAAGTCAGACCTCTCAATCATTGTCTCAGACCTAAAGGCCTTCTTTGCATCTGAATTAGTGCTTTTGGAGGACCTGGGCACGCTGAAAGGCCGCATTAAGGCCACAGAAGAGGATATTCAAGACCTCAGAATCATTCAAGACTTTTCGGCAACACAAACAACCTCCGCTCTACCTGCGAGCACCTTAATGCCAGTATTGGGCAGCTAGAGGACAGCGCTCGACTACACAATTTGAAGGTACGGGGGATTCCAGACACGATCGGGACCGAGCTGTTCCAATTTATTTGGAGGCCACCAAGAGATGTCATCCTGTGCTTTAGGTCACGCAGCGACAAAGAGGTGTTCCTGAAAGCCACTAGAGATCCATCACCATACATATTTGAGGAGCATTCTCTAACCTTCTTCCAGGGTCTAAGTCGACCGAACTTGCAGTGACGTACAACTCTGAGAGAAGTGACATCCCAACTGCGAGCAGCATCAATCTCCTACAAATGGGGATACCCCAGGGCTCTCGTTGCCGAAAAGGAAGGCCGGAGACACAGGCTGATATCCCTATCTGAAGCAGATACTTTCAAGCGCTCCCTGAGACTAACGGCTAATACAGCCACTAACAACCCGGTCAGGCCCTCTCACCAATGGGATGTGGCGAATGTAGAGGTCTTCACCCCATCGGCTCCTCCGCTCTGGGCTGATCTCCCTTGGAGGGCAGTAATACTCATCTTACCTTGGCCTAACCCATACTTTGTTTGACTTACCAGAGTCATATGCAAATGTTTGATGCTTTATAATTTTTTCTTTTTACGGTTAGTTTATTGACTCAAACGCTACCAAACAGTCCACAGAGGCACTGACCGGTAACTCATTTACAAGGCGTTCCAAGCTGGTCCCTTGGTACCTGTTGGGGTGTGACATGAATGTTAGTCTATCTGTGCACTTTAAAAAAAAAAAAAACAAGAATTTAAAAAAAAAAGGGAAAAAAAACTTGGCTCCGCTGCATTTTCATGTTGTGGCATCTTCACCATCCTATGATGACCCGGGCGTGCGCATGCGTAATTGAGCATCTAATGGAGAATTTCCCATGAACATAAGGCTATCTTAAAGGACTCTGGCACCAGTACATTCCTGCTTTAATGGAACAATTCTTAAAAGAATCACTCCAGGCACCATTACCACGTCAGCATACTACAGTGGTTATGGTGCCGGTAGTGTCATGACACTCCCATTATGAGTAGTAAATACATTTGAGTGTGGTTACGCATCACCAAGCTTATCTAAGAGAACTTTTGTTTTCCTGTAGCAGTAGTGGAGGCAAGGAGTAACGCCCAGCGGACCCCAGTTAGGAAGTCAAGCTGTTGTGGTTATGGTGCTTGGAGTGTTCCTTTAATGTACACGGAAATCTAAACTCTAAATTGCGGTAATGTTTTACTAGTTTCCATCAATACGGTTGCAACAAAATTGGCCAAAGAGGATCAGTTTTGCGTACACCACCTATGGATCCTAACCAAACACCCAAATAAGTTTATTATGTTTGCCCTCTGACCTGATAATGAGACACTGTACAGTGCTACAATAATTGGAGTGCTAATTTTTTATTTTCTCCTCAGAACCTATTCTGTCATTGATTTTATTTGGATTTTTGTTTAAACCTGTTTTTGAGAAGGGTTTAACTGGATGTTTTTACAAGATTACTCATATGTCAATCTGGAGAACTGGTTTACACACATGTTTTAACCCCTTTCCTACCTGTTTGCTTGTAAAGTGTCTCTTCTCACAGAATAATTTTGTGTTTTTTTTCCCCCAGCGAAAGCGTTATAGTATGAAGGGTGATATAAGATTTGGGTGAATATGTTTTTTGTCTTAATGTAAACAGCACAAAATGCCTGTTTATAGCCTTAGTATTTATGCTCTGGCAGCCGTTATGGCACCATAGTGTGTCCTCAGTGGCGTGCCTACTTTGTGTGTGGTGGAAGGTAGCCATACTTACATGAATCTTTCTTAAAAGGATCTTACCGGCTTCTTTCTTCAGCTTCTTTAACTTTGTACGTAAAGAGCAGTGTCATTGTTGTAATCTCGCTCGTACGTGAGTACAACACTGAGATCTATGGAGGGTTGGGCAAGACCATTGCTTCTTCTGCAGAACAAAGATGGCAGTCTCCATCAGCTCTTACCTGCCTCTTTGTCAAATTTGATCAACTTCGCCGTTGTCTCTATTTGTGTGCTATCTTTTGATTGATTGCGTTAGGGTTTCAATGAAATAGCGTTTTTTATGAAATGCTCAGTGTGTAGAGGTGAAAGAGCCACTTTAACTAGGGTTCCTTTCAAGGATTAGTAAATACAGGTAGCTTTTACAAAATTCCTCCTCTGTAGCCCTGCACTCTGCCTCTGGAGATGTCTGTATGTCTACTGACGTCTTCCATGATCTTGTCCAATTCACTGTTTCTCATGAGCAGCATTTGATTGGAGGACAGAGTTTCTCTGTTTTAGAGGAGACCGCACCTCTAGTGGCTGTTTGTTAGACATTTAACCCTGCAATGTAAACATTGGTTTTCGTACAATACAGCAATGTTTTACAAAGAACGATTAAAATGACAGGACCACTGCCCCAAATGACAGGACGTTTATGCAGACCATCTTTAAATTTCATTCTTTTTTTTTTCCTCCATCCTTCTTGCTGAAAATCTAAAGGGTTCCAAAAGTTATATTTAAATTTAAGACCAGAGTGGAAAGCATAGCTGGCTTGGAGAATGTTTCCAGTTTAGACCATTACAGGGTTATTCAAGGTGAATTTAAAATTTAAGGTCTAAATAACCAACCTCTAGTATTCCCCTTGTTCCTCTGGCCCTGGCAGAGAGGAAGCGCCTCCTCCTGGCCTTGTCCAGGAACACCAGAGTCCGTGCCGTAGCCCTCCCATCTCCTCACCGCTGACAGTGACAGGTAGACAGGCCCTGCTTTAGCTTGTTGTGACAGCAACATGACATTCTTAGCATTATGGCAAGTCATGTTATTCATCTTAAACATGCTTTTACATTGCAAAATAACTTAAGTCTTTTTATTGCACTGCTAGATGAATTTGTTATGCTGGTATAAGAATTTATAGAAGAACTTGGCAAATCTTGTTTCTTCCAGTGATTTCCTGCAAAACTCTGCCAGCGTAATGTGGAGAAATGTTAGCTTTAATGATGGTGTGTGTGTGTGTGTGTGTATGTATGTATATGTATGTATATATATATATGTGTATGTATATATATGTGTGTGTGTGTGTATGTATGTATGTATGTATGTATGTGTATATATATATATATATATATATATATGTGTATGTATATATATGTGTGTGTGTGTGTGTGTGTATATATATATATATATATATATATATATATATATATATATATTTATTAATTAGCAGGTACTGTATTTAATCACTTTATTTCTTGTAAAACATGCAATATGAGCTTATTTCAGTAAGGCCCTTCTCACTTCCTGTTACCGCATGCCAAACCTCTTGTTTAACCATGCCGTACAGAATGTGTTAAATGTTTTTGGGGCATTCAACTGCCCAAATACAAAATAAACACTATATATTTAGAGGATAAACCCTAAATGAAAACATGCATGCCTTTTTACTTTGTCTTGTATGCTGCCTTTTTAAACCCTCCCCTTCTAACCTGCCAAGACTTTCTGTGGGTGTCCAATCACAGACTTCCCAACGCAGCTCAGTAAGAAATCTTTGCATGGCAAGTACTCTGGGCAAATAATACCTCTTGAATTTAGCTTCACTGAGTTAAAGTACCAGGAGGTAACAAGGCTAGTTGTCTGATTGAAAGCCAGAGGTTGTAATAACGTCAATTTATAAAAGTGCCAATCTCTAACATCTGCACATTTTGTAAAATGAGAAAAAGATGACACACCCGTCACACACAAAGCATTTCAGCAAGCTAAAGTGTCCAGAGTGTCCTTTTAAGTAGGTGATCCTTAAAGGGACACTGTAGGCACCCAGACCACTTCAGCTCATTGAAGCAGTCTGGGTGCTGTGTTCCTTTTGAGAAACTGCAATGTTTACATTGCAGTTCTAAGTCTGCCCTGCAGTTTAGTGTTATGTAGAGTAAGGTAGTGATGATACTCAGACGTTAATAACAAGCTGGTTAGGCGTCAGCATAAACCATAATAAATCTCAAGCCATAGCTACAGTGAGAGATTACCCTCGCCATTTCTAGTGTGGGTGAGCGTGTATATGCCTTACTTTACTTAAGGTAACAGTGTCCACATTAGGGTTGTCAGAGTCCAGACCGTTTGTAGGCTTCAGGAGATGGGCTGGTGAGTGTGTAAGTAGCTATCCTCAGCCAATGCCTCGTGCAAACCTCCATGGAGAGTCTGGTTCCCAGTCAGCTTTAGCGTTGCCCTCTCCGGTATGCGGGAGCGTGGGTTGCCCTGCTTGTGGTGCAGGCGCTGTATGTGTTGTGACAGGTCCCTGTCTCTCTGGCTCCGGGCTGTTAAGGGAGCTAGCGACATCTGTCCGTGGATCCTCCTCTGTCGCGAGGCTGGATCGTGGGCCCTGGGGTTTCCGGCATGCGGTCTTCCCCGCGGGTGGTTGGACTGCGGCCTGGAGATTCCTCCAGTTGGGCTCCTGGCCCAGAAAATGGACAGGTGTCCGCTGCTTCTCGGCAGATAGGTTCGGTCTCAGGAGGGGTAGGCAGGGATTTACGCTGGGCGATGCGGTCCCAGAAGGCCAGGCAGACTGCGTCAAACCGGGCCTCAAAGGCCTCCCTCCAGTTCTCTTCGGTGTGGCCTGTTGGATTGCACTGTGAATGAGTTGCAGCGGCAATGTTGAGGTGCCGCGTGGCTCACCAAGTTTCCTGGTCCGGCCTCTTGGCTCTAGTTTGTGGCATGTGTGTTAGGCACCCTGTGTGGACCGGGATATCCCCCGCCGGTCCAAGGGGGGGGGGGAGTGGGAGGTGCGAGATTATAGCGGTCTGTGAGCCTGTTCTCTAGTGAAGAGTGGCTGCCTCTCCCCATTTCGGTCCCAGGTATGCCTTAGCAGGTTTTCAGGGATCCCGGTTAATGACAGGCATGAGTCGGGTGTCAAAGTTTTCCCTCTGGTGTCCCCTCTTTGCTTGTTTTCCTCCAGGTAGTGGACGTGCTTGATTTTGGGTTTTTTTTCCCCCCAGAAAGGCAAGTTTGGTCAGGAGCTCCACCCCCTGCCTGTGCCTCTTGAAGGGGGGTGGTATAAAAATTTTATGTGAGACCAAGTGTCCCACTCATTATTGTTTTTAAAGCCCTCTCATGTTTTAGTAGCACCCACTCCCAGGGCACGGACTAGTTAATTAAAAATAATAATCACTAGAACAATTACAGCTTATTGTAGATTTTCCAATGAGTATAGTCGGTCCCTGCAGTCTTTTTATTATAAAACTTTTACATTACAGCTTAGGAACACCTCTAGTGCTCTAGTGGCCACTCCTCAGACTACCACTGGAGGTCCTTCCTTGGTGCAGCACGGCGTTCAGCATCTCCACGTTATACATGGAGACACTGAACTTTCCTATTAGAGATGCATTGATTCAGTGCATATCTATGAGGCGATGCTGTTATTCCAGGGCGATGTTTGGCTCTGCCCCGCCTCCTTGTCTGAGATGATTAGAGTTGATGATCTCAGCCAATCAAATGGTTTAATATGGGAAAGCTTTGTGATCTTCTGATGTGAACCAAGGAGGTGGATTGGGGGCAGAGCCAGCCCCAGCAGACGTTAGCTGGGAATAAGTGTTTTTACAGGCATGGGGAGCTAACGTGGTCAGTTTAACACTATGAGGCAGTGGTTTCCAAACCAGTCCTCAAGGCACACCTGTCATTCCAGTATTAAGATGTGTCAAGGTCTTTTTTTTCCTCTCTAAAACACCTTAAGCACAACTGGGTAATTCCTAAATCCTGAACTGGTTGGTGAGCCTTGAGGACTGGTTTGGAGACCACTGCTATAGGGTCAGGAATATATGGTTGTGTTCCTGACACTTATTGGGTCCTTCACCGTGATCCCCCTTTATGTGATTAGCGACTTTTGTTCGTAATTTAACCTCTAAAGGACACATGACATGTGTGACATGTCATGATTCCCTTTTATTCCAGAAGTTTGGTCCTTAAGGGGTTAAATAACTTGGTTACAAGGTGGGAGCCGAAAACCAGTAGCTCCTTCCTTGTAGCGAGCTAAATTAAAAAAAAAAAAAAAAACGAAAATTTTACCCAACAAGCAAATCTTTCTTCCTATTATTAGTACAAATTTGCAAATAGTCTTTTGGATGAAAAAGTTTTCGTTTGAAAACAAATGCCCAAGTCTAATACACTTTTATAAACTCAAAACGGCATGTTCTATTCCCAAAATGACCAGATTTATTTACTAAAGTAAGAATTGTCTGAAGATTAATGTGAAGTTCAAGGACAAACTAGCTAAACTGAAAACAATTGACTATTCCACTATTTTGGCCTACATTTTAAAATTCACTGCAAAGTCTCACACTAGTTGAGCTGAGTAGTAATCACTTTATTAAAAGAATCCTAAGCACAGTATTAGCGCATGTTCATTGCATTAATGCAAGCGGTTTTGTCAGCCGTTGCTTCTTGCTATAATAATTTAATTGTATGGTGAATCATAAACGACATCTATTACTAATCCAGGAGCTGCTGTCTTGTAGGTAACATGTCTTGTGTGCAGTTGTGGGGCACTGAGGTCTGTGCCTGGTGCGTGCAGTGGTGGGGCACTGAGGTCTGTGCCTGGTGCGTGCAGGAGCCTTTTACAGGAGAACTAAGCTGCATTGTTTGACTTCGTTTTATTTATATTATGACTTCAGAGAGCTTAGTCTGTTCACTTTAAATATATAGGTAGGACTGTGTGTCGAAACACTTTATAGTGTTGCCATGCTCACCAGAGAAACTGTTTGACCATTCATGTTTTGGTGATAATTTTCCTTTTGAGGGTTATGGGGGAAAACAAACCCAGTATTTAGGCATCTGATCTGTGTCTTTCCCTGCTGTCCTACCCTTTTAAAAAGCGATAATGTGCTTGTATTGACCTGGAAGGAACTGATTCTTGGTTGCTATACTTTGCCTGTAAACGTTGCTACTTTTATCAGCACATCAGTAACGACAGGATATGATAGATGTGTTCTCTTTGGGTAATAGCCAAGTCGTGTTCAAATGTTCTTATCTTCAACCTCAATAATGCTTTATACTTTGTCTATTGATCAGTAGACATGTGTTTAAACATGCGGTCACTTTTCCTTTTTAATACTGAATAATCTAAACCTTATCCATGTCTTCCCACCAAGACGTTCTATATATCATCATCATCATCATCCTGCTCATTAAACGAAGACCCTGGTGTCCTAGAACTTGATATGAGCTTGCTGAAATCTGTTAAATTTTATAATTTAAAAAAAAAATTTACAGTGAGGCGGTATGGCTAAGAGGCAAAGTAACTCTAAAATACAGTTGCTTCCTTTAAGGAGCTAGAGCTTTGCCACGGCAGACTTGTAGCGGTTATGCTACAAAATCCATAGGTGCTCTCCCACTGATAAGCTCCCTCCCTATACATTTTTTTTTGGGAGTGGTTTGACAAAGAAAGCATGGCTTTCCCCAGGCAGCAACAGCCTGCTTCCTCTGCAGCAGTATTTACACTTCCTCATTACCAATATCTATTTCTCCCAATCTAGAGGACATCAATTGTCTGATTACACTGATTGGGGGCTGGTTAGTGAGTGGCTTGGTAACACACCAATAATGCATTGCGCTCTGCTCACTGGAGGGGCTTTGAGTGGATGGAATTAATAATGGAAAGGTTAAAGCAAGATGCCTTTAATAGCCTTATCTTTAGGAGACCTTTGAGGTTGGAACAAACAAGTGATACATTAAGAAATCTCTCCCAACTCTTTTTAGTTGTATAGTTTTCTCAATTATTTTGAAACTTTATAGTGCATTTGATTGAACCAGTTTAACCAGCTTGGACTGCATGCGAGTATTAACAATTTTGGAGAAGCTGGGAGGGATCAATGGAGTGAAAATTCAAGCTTCCTTGCAGGCGTGCTCCTAGTGCTGCCTGCAGGGGTACATGGGGATTGTGTCTGCTGCCAGCGCACTTGGAGTAGTTATGATTCCTCCAGGACCATTTCTAAAGGCAGAGCTGGTCATGGAGGTTGGACTAACCCTTTCAAACTTGGCAAATTATTTCCTCTGCTGCAAATCTTCTTGCTTTTCAGTTTCTCTAGCCGAGCAATGGCGGAGACATCCCATTGTTCTCAGTTTATGCACTTTGAATATCCCCATTTGGATTTCAGAGGTAAAGGGTTACTTAAAGCACCTTTACCAGCTGGGCCATGCTGCTTGTAGTCTACAATACGAAAAGCTGCACATACGCAGATATAGCCCTGTAACTCCTCCTCATACAATGTCATTGGCCAATTCAGAGCAAGCTTTCCAGGCGAGTCAATTCTGTACATATTGAATGTATTTACATATTGGCAGCCAGGACTAATAGCCCACGTCCTCCCCTCAGCTGAACTTCTGTGAGAGGGAATTACGTCATTGGTTGAGGATGACCTTTCAAAGCTAAGTTTTACCTTTTTTATAAAAAAAGTATAAGCAGGACAGTAAAGGGTTACTCTTACTGAAAAATAAGCCATGTTTAATTAACACTGATTTGTGGTTGGTGTAGCCCTTTAAGGCCACTGATGTAGTTTTCACTCATAAATAAAACGGTGTAACAAGATGATCATTGAAACCCTATGAAAGTACTGATACTGGTAGAGGCTATCTCCTTGCACTAAAGCCTTAGTTTACTGTTATGATCTAAAGTAAGCACTGATTGTACATTTTCAAGCAATTTCAGAACACTGCATTCTACAAAGCCTGCTATATGTTGCTTAACACACTGCCAAATATTGAATAAACATCTTCATTTTTTTTTTCTGCAGACCTGTTCAGTTAAAGATTACAAATCCTGTTTGTGTCACAGTAATTTATAAGGTAACCTCATTTTCCCCCCCTACTCTATTGTGTAAATGTAATGTTTAATACATCCATTAATAACACACTTGAGCAAACCTCATAGATTGCAAGCGCGTTTCAGAAGAGCCTTCACCACATCTTGCCTGTGTTGTCTCCTGTGTATCCTTCTGAGTGTATGGCATTCCAGTAGAAACTTAGAGGGACACTACACTTAACAGAGCAACTACAGCTTAATGTAGTGGTTCTGGTATGTATAGCATGTCCCTTCAAGCATTTTTCACAGAAAAGGCAGTGTTTACAGAACTACCTAGGAACACCTTTAGTGGCCGTCACTCACAGTTAGTAGGGGTGCTTCCTGGGTTAGTGCTGCAATGTGCTTCACTGATGTTCAGCATCTCCTCTGAACGCTCCTCATAGAGTTGCATTAATTCCATGCATCTCTTTGCGGAGGTTTTGATTGTTGCGGTGCAGCTTTTGCTATATATGAGCAATAGTCTGCCAGTGCTTTCCTGTGGGAAAGCATTGAATTGGCTGAGATCATCAATTTTATGTCAGCCAGGGAGGCGGAGCCCACAGTGGCAAACCCTTGCGGCACAGGAGTAAAAGTGATTTTAAACCCTTTTTATTGGAGGGTGAGGAGATGCTGGCTACCTAAATGGTGGTTTTAACACTGTATTGTCTGGAATACTTGTTTGTATTCCTGACACTATAGTGTTCCTTTAAATATAACTGGCCTGTGCATACAACTTGACAAGCACAGGGTACCATGCTGATCTGGGATTTAGTATTCTCCTTCACTTTTAGCTTTTTTGTGTGGTGAAAACCACTTCTGGGATTCCTGGTCTCCAGTGTTAAAGGGACACTATAGTCACCTGAACAACTTCAGCTTAATGAGGTTATTCAGGTGAGAACTATAGCTCCCTGCAGCCTCTCATGTAAACACTGTGTTTACATTGAAAGCTAGGAACACCTCCAGTTGCAGTCACTCAGATTGCCACCAGAGGGACTTCCGAGTTGATGGAGGCATAATTTGCCTCTATCCACTCAGATCAGCTGTGCACGAGCATCCTGTGATTCAGAATCTCCTCCCTCTGCATGCAGACATTGAACGTTCATCATAAGAGATTAATTGATTCAATTCATCTCTATGAGGAGATGCTGGTTGGCCAGGGCTGTGTTTGAATCATGCTGGCTCTGCCCCTGATCTGCCTTTTTGTCAGTCTCAGCCAATCCTGTGGGGAAGCACTGTGATTGGATCAGGCTATCACATGTCAGCAGACTGCTTTGTTTTTCTGAGTCTAACAGCATGCAGGGTTACAGCTTCTGGCTTGAATACAGTAAGATTTTTACTATATTTATGGAGGCATGAGGGGCCCGGGGGGGCTAGACGGTGGTGTTAACACTATAAGGTCAGGAATACATGTAGTTGCACTGGTGACTATAGTGTCCCTTTAAATTTAGCCGACTTACAATTTTAGTCAACTAAAACAATTCAGATGACTAAAATATAGCTAAAACTAAAATGGCTTTTTAGTCAAAAGATTATGAGTAAAACTAAACTGATCTTGGTGTCCAGAAGAAGTGACATTGTAGAATTTCCTTGCAGTGCTGTTACATTGCTGTATTAGAGTGTAAGTGTGTTCCAGAAACTGTCTCTGCTATTACAGCACGGAGAGACTGCCTGCTCTCTGCTGCACAACTGGGACATAACTGCTGCATCTCCTGATCTCTAATTACTGATAACACATGTGAGTAGTGGGAATCGGGAGGAATGCATCAATTAGAATGTGCTCAACACATGGCTATGTAGTGTTGCATACACCTCTGGCATTTAAAGATTAATGGAGATTCTAGGGAGTTTTGACAACCTTTGAGTCCTAGCAAAGCATTTTAAATAAATAGATTTGTTATTCTAAGCCATGTATTCTTAAACCTTATGTCGTTTCCTTCTAGGGCCACAATGGCAACCGCACCTTACAACTACTCGTACATCTTTAAATACATCATCATTGGTAAGTTACATCTCATTGGTGATTTCTGTATTTTGTTTTTTTTTTCTCCATATGACAACATACACAACATTGCTTTAGACTGCTGGTTACAGGAAAGGTCCCCTCATTGCAAAGAATTTGAAAGTCCAGTTCAGGGAACATAGTCTTTGATCTTTATAGGGAGCAGTCCATCCACAGATCAAATGACAAACTACATTTCGAGCCGGGCGATCTCTAGCAGTATGGATTGAAACATATTTTCTTGAAACTTTATTCCACCTACTCAAGGATGGAATCTCCTAGGTGCATGTACATGAAAGGGACACTATAGGCACCAAAACAATTTTAGCTTAATGAAGGGATTTTGGTGTATAGATCATGGATAAAAGATCTTGGATATTTTAATTATATAACATTACATTTTGGACTTTTACCACGTGAGTGCAGCCATTTACTTATATTCCTTGGATTTTGAAGCTATTGTTGGTTGGCACCTGGCTACTGAGGGATATTGAAGCGTGAGTGCAGGAGCATTTTTGTTTTATATATATATATATATATATATATATATATATATATATATATCTCTATCTATCTATCTCTCTCTTTCAAAATATAATAAAGTAACATTTTTAATGTTAGTGCTACTTTAAAAACCATGAGCCTTACACCTCTGTATGACTGCAGAATTAAAGCCTCTCTAGGGAGTATGTAGACTTGCTTTGCAGGCTTAGACTTCTCCATTTGTTTCATGATAATGTCATTAACACACCTGTCTCAGCAGATTGTGTAATGTTTTACAGCTTCTGACTCAGGCTGATTTATTCCTTAAAAATAACTTCCTGCAGATTCAATGAATCACATGTAGGATGAATTGGGATGCAATCCATTTTTATTTATTTATTTTTGAACACCTGCCATGATGCACACAGTGTAAATCTAGTAAGGATAGTGATTTAAAGGAAAAATGTTTTTGCAGATGGAAGTTCCTTCTCTTTGTCAGAAAAAGGTCTGTGGAGTCTGTACACTTCAACCACTGATTCCTTCTAATATATATAATTATATTGCAATTTACAGTATTTGGCGAAAGTCAATATTTTAAAGGGACACTGCACTGCTCAAACACACAAATCTACCATCTAGTACAGGCATAGGCAACCTTTGGCGCTCCAGATGTTGTGAACTACACCCTCCCATAATGCTTACACCCATAATGCTGGCAAATGGGAGGTGTATTCCAAACAGCTGGAGTGCCGAAGGTTGCCTATGCCTGATCTAGGAGATACAAGCATGTATGTTTTCACTAAAGGTGTAATTATGCGTTTTGTTTATTGGGTTACATTTATAAACAGCGTGTAAAAGCTGCAGATCTTGTGTCTGCAGCCTTTGCAAGTCCTCCTGTTTAAACCCTGCCCAGACTTTCTGTGGTTGTCCAATCAGACTTCCCAATGCAGCTTAATGAGAAGTCTTTGCAAGGCAGGTGCTCTAGGCAATTGCTGCCTTGTGTGTTTAGTTCCACTCAACTAACCAAACTAGGAAGTGTCAGTTTCTCTTAATATCTGTGTAGTGGACCACAGGTAACCTGACTGGTTACCTCTGCTAATTCCTTCATTCGGCCACTCTGGACTATTAAAGCAGACAGGCATCGTTCCCAGTAACCAGACGAAACATAGCTCTGGGAGTCAACTGAACTTTATTGGAACACCCACGGCTTTTATGCGCAGTCCCGTACATGGGGTTTACAATAAAAGACAGGGGTTTCAGTCCCAGGATCCTCTGTGCCTGAAAGAGAATTGCGTGAGGAAACCTCTTTAATTTAATTATCCCTCCGGTATAGAAATATCTACAATAGTTCCCCCACAAATGCACCTTATTATTTCAAAAGGGGTTAGTTGATTGTAAACCTTCTGCCCTTCCATGCAATCTAAATTCCTCTTTGATGCTCGGGCCCCAACAGAGCTATTCTGGAAGGTGTGAGAAGTCACACATAAGTGACCTGGAAGTCTGGGTTTCTGTACAAACCTACTCACATCTGCATATGTCTTGATTGACTCTTAGGTACGAAGTCATTTGATATGGTAATGCTCATTAACTTTCAAGAACAAAAAGAAACCCTTGTGTTTCAATATCCTATCCAAAAGGGACATTAATATCTACCCACAGATTGATACTCAAGCCTCATCTTTATCATATCCAGAATGGGACAAGCACAATCTTCCAATCAAGCCTAAACATGAGTTGCGAACAAGGGGACCCCCACAAACAATACATTGCTAAATAGCCCTGATCTGAAAACAATAAGCAGGCATGGTACTCAGTGACTGCATTCCGTCACAATCTGGAATTTTTGTAAAGTGATAACACACTCTTTACACGTAAAGCACTTCAGCAAGCTAAACTGCTTTAGGTGTTTGGATTGTCAAGCCTGCTCTCAGCGTACATAAGCCTTCAGGCCTTATAACGATTTTGAATAATTGTTGTCTCAGTAAAAAAAATATTGTTTCGTTCTGTTGTAGTGTAGACAGTTTTCAGTTTATTTTGTATTTTTGGCTATTGAAAATATAGAATTATATAGCTGTAATTATAAATACATGTGCATATGCATTAATTAATTTATTAATTTTTCCTTCTCTTCATCCAGGTGATATGGGAGTGGGGAAGTCCTGTCTGTTGCACCAATTCACGGAAAAGAAATGTAAATATGTTTAATTTATCGCAAGAACATGCTTTTCACTAATTATCTACCTAAGCCAAGAGGTAAAATGCATTGCTGTGTTTAGATCTGCCAGGGCTTTGTCCCTGTTTGATGGACCTAGTATCTGTGGCTAACCGGGTTAGTACTTGGCTAGTTGTTATACTGCTGCTGGAAACTGTCTGTTTTTATACTGCCTGATGTGGGTGAATAAAACCAGACTTTGCTTTCAATGCATATTGTATCGGATATTCACATTTAATGAGCAAATATGAATTGCAGCTGAATCGGACCCTGTGATAAGGTGATCTTCTAGATCTGTAGCGCTTTATGTAAGGAACTAAACTCTTGGTTGTTCATGTAGAAAATGGAAAGTAAATAGATTAAATGCACTTTGCAAAATCAAGTTGTTATAGCAATTCAATATTAGTAATAAAACAAACGTCCAGCGACGCTGTAAAAATCTGCACCCTTTTTAAAGTTGCTTTTAGTGTTGCTTCCCGGCCTATACCAGTCGCAACAGCCAGTAGGAGAAAGCTCCACCATTGTACTAGCTAATTGGTTGTCCCAGAGTGTGTACACCTTTTAGTACCTCTCTAAAGCAATCTGTATTGCACAGTAACCTGGCATCTTGCACCTTAGTAATAATTGATGTGTTTCCAAGCACCGCTGGCAATATAATGTGACCCGTTTCTACACAGTGTTTTACATTTTACGTACAGCTGCACATTCCGATTAACCGAATGCCCTAAATCTGCAGATAAATCCACAGGTGGCTCTCAAGCTACCTGGGAAATGGCTGTGGCTGACTGCATCATGGGAGTTGTACTGTTATTCCAAACTCTCTCTTCTCTAAACAGCTCTGCATTTTAGTATTTTCATTAAACTAATATGTGAGTTAACATATTAAAGTAAAAGATAACTGGATACTCTAGAGATTTCCTCAATCTCTTCCTCTCTCAGGATCTGTTATTCTTTTCTTCCTGTCTTCTTTAGTTTTCCTTAAAATCATAAGACAAAGTAAGGACTCTTTGCCTTATGGAGGTTTCCTCCGCTTGACCAGCTTTGACCAGCGGAGGAGTAAAGTGTGCTTCATTTCCGCTGGTCAGAGCAATTTTCCTATAATTCTTAGCTTTCCTCAGTGTTCCTGTGATGCTTCCTGTCATTTTAGCCGAAACTGCCGAATTGCGTTCTAACTGAATGAGAACAGTATGTTTGTTTGTTTTAGAAGGCAATTTGGCACTTTGTTCATATCGGAATTTCATTAGAATGAATGAAACTCCGATTCAATTTGTGCCACGGCTGCTTCGGTATTAGAGAGCTATCTACCAAAAGGCTGAAATACATAAATTGGTCTCTCAGCCAACTTTACTAATACTAAGTAAAGATTACTTCATATTAGTAAATGATCTGCCCCTACTCGTTATACCGCGAGTAGGGGCATGTCTATTAAAAAAAAACAAAAAAAAAAAAACAATTGGCCCCTACCCCTGAACGGTGGGGGGGGGCCATAAATAATGTGGGGGGGGGTGAGGGGGAGAAGACCTACTGTCCTCCCGCCCTCCACCCTTGAGCGGTGGGATGGGGCAATAAAGATAATGAGGGGGGGGAACCTAGTGTCTGTCCCCCCACCCCTGGGCGGCGGGTGGGGGCCCTAAGACAAATCTCCTGCCTCCCCCCAATCAAAGAGGACCAGGGGTCCACAAGCCCCTAGTCACCCACCCCCCACCTCCAAAAAAAGTTACCCCTTACCTACCCCCCTCACCCTAAAAAATAGTGAGGCAGGAATAAAATAACTAACCTGTAAAGAAAAATTAAACTTACCATTTGACGTCTTCTTTTTTTTTTTCTTTTCTTTTCTAAAATCTTCATTTTTCAGCCCCAAAAAAGGGCAAATAAAAAAACCACCATACCCGTCGAACTTAAAATAATATAAAAAAAAAAAATCCATCTTCACCCATGGAGGGCTCCGCAGACTGAGCTGTTGGGGGGAGGGGAGCTTATAAAGCCTTGCCCCGCCCTGCAATTAGACTAAGAACACTCTAATTGGCTTGTTTAAGCCAATCAGAGTGCTCTTTGGAATTTTCCCACGCTGTGTAAAATTACACAAAGCACTCTGATTGGGTGGCTTGAAATCCATCCAATCAGTGTGCTTTGTGTCATTTTACACAGCGTGGGAAAGTTCTTTGGAATTTTCCCACGCTGTGTAAAATGACAGAGCACTCTGGCTAGATTCCAAGCCCACCAATCAGAGTGTTATGAGTCAAATTACACAGCGTGGGAAAATTCCAAAGAACTTTCCCACGCTGTGTAAAATGACACAAAGCACTCTGATTGGATGGATTTCAAGCCACCCAATCCGAGTGCTCTGTGTCATTTTACACAGCGTGGGAAAGTTCTTTGTCATTTTACACAGCGTGGGAAAATTCCAAAGAGCACTGTGATTGGCTTAAACCAGCCAATCAGAGTGTTCTTAGCCTAATTGCAGGGTGGGGCAAGGCTTTATAAGCCTTCCTCTGGCAGAGCTCAGTCTGCGTGGAGCTCTGCATGGGTGGGGGGGGGATTTGTCTTAGGGCCCCCACCCGCCTCCGTGGGGGGGAGAACAGTAGGTCTCCCGCCCATTGTAATTTATGGCTCAAGGCATGTCTACTCACTGTGTAGTAGACATGCCTCTACTGGCGGTATAGCGAGTAGGGGCATTCGGGAGATTTTAATCTCCCTTATGCTATTATGGGGGGTCATTTTGACCTCCATAGAGTGAGAGAGGACATGGGGGGCTTAGGAACATGGCTCCCTGCCGCTCCTATAGTTACATATTACAAGGAGGGAGCTGCGTACCGGTAGCTCCCTCCTTGTAACAAACTGAACGAACAAACGAACACTGTTATTTGGTGTTAGTTTGTTCGTCTGATTTTTCTATTCATTCGTCTTTCTGACGAATGAATGAATAGATGAAATTCCTGTTCGCATGCCCAAGTGTTTCACTGGGCATGTGCGGGAATCTCAGTGCTATCTATTGTGGGCAGATGACGTGTCCAACAGGGACTTCCTCTACCCACACAAAGATGGCGGCGCCCTGAATATAGATCGGGGCAGAAAATAAAGAATGAAAAAATAGGTAATATGGGGGGCTTAGGGGCACTTGGGGAGGATTAGGGGGTCAGTTAGATGTAGTGGAGTCGGGAGGAGGGTTAGGAAAAAAAAAAGGGGATTCGGCCTTGACAGTGCCGCTTTAAGGTTCAGTGTTTAAACTGTCTTCAAATGGTTTAACACAGCATAACTCAGCCTCCTCTCCAGTGGGAACCGGGGTTGCGGGCAGCTGAGGACCCTTGTCCAGAGTTAAACCAATTTGAAAAAGTTTTAGCGCTGAAACAAGGAATTGCACCATCAAGATGAATTACCGTATAAGACGAGTTTTTTTTTTTTGGCACATTTTTTGTGCTGAAAACCCTCCACTCGTCTTATACTCGAGTCAATGTCTGTATTATGGCAACTTACATTGCCATAATACAGACCAGGACCGCCAGGCTCATTAGAAGCCCGGCGGTCCTGTTGGGGGCTGGCAGAGAGCTGTAACTTACCTTTCCTGCAGCTCCTGTCAGCTCCCTTCTCCTCCGTGCAGCTTCCACTATAAGTCTCGCGAGAGCCGTGTGGTCAGAGTGTTGCTACGGGTTACTCTGCATCGCACGCACGCACACACACACACACACACACACGCTCTGCATCGCACACACGCACTCATACAGTGCATTCATTATATACGAGTATATACGGTAGTTCTGATGTCTGGAGTACCCGAATAGGATGGATTTCTCATGTCCATATTTGTTTGCCACTGGGATGGACCAAGCACGGTTATAGCTGTTTAAACTATTTTTCTCCTTTCTCAAATCTTTATTGTGGTTTGTCTGCCAGTGGGTGAAAAAGTCAATGCATTCATCCAGTGATGCCTACTTTCTTTTTCTGTTCTCAGTTATGGCAGATTGTCCTCATACAATCGGGGTAGAATTTGGCACTCGAATTATTGAAGTTAGCGGCCAGAAAATTAAACTGCAAATTTGGGATACAGCCGGCCAGGAAAGGTTTCGTGCTGTGACTCGCAGCTATTACAGAGGAGCTGCAGGAGCACTTATGGTCTATGATATCACTAGGTAAGTATGCTCCATCTCTTGTGTGAAAGAGTTCTTTCTGCCCTTCATGTATTCATTAATATGTAATGCTTTCCAGAGATGCACTGCAATGTGCGCTCTGTGATAATTTTCCCGCCCCTTGATTCTGGAATAATGTAATGAATTAGAACCCCATGTACAGAGCCCTGGGACTATGGGTTTGTAACAATAACTAGGGATCTAAAGCTATCTTGATCTTCGTTTTCTGTTTGGACCTCCTTCCTGTGTTCAATATTCCTTTTCTTTCCCCCCCCTTTATGATCCCTTCCCACATATTTGTTAAAACATTGCTATTTGTGCCATTATCACAAACATGACGTTTTAGTTTTTTTTTTTTTTTTTCTATTTACATAACTCTTTTTATTTCTGTATTTTTTATGCTCTTTCTTCCCACGGTTGCCAAGCAATTTCGATGTATTAAATTGTTTTTTTGTCAACAGGAGAAGCACATACAATCATTTAAGCAGCTGGTTGACGGATGCACGGAATCTCACCAACCCTAATACTGTAAGTCACGCTCAGGGCTATTGAGTCTCCATGATACCAGTGGCGATGTGTTAGTCTGATTTCCTACACATAGGGCACTTTCCCATAAATACTGTGAATTAATACCATTCACTAATTTAGCATGGCACACAGTATTACTACCTCTCCATTCTAGAAAAAGCGGTTTATTTTTATTCTACCCTTTTGAACAAGCTGGTTAAATTGTAGTGACATCAAAACTTTTCTATTTGCTTTGATTTGGCTTGCATAGTGGGGAGATCACATCTTGTGGTCTATAATGTGTGTCTGATTTTAGTTCTTTTTATTGCATGTAAGGTTTGAAACTTGGCCAGTAAATAAAATGGAAAATAATTTGTTCCTACCCACCTTGCTGTCTCAAATTTTAGCCCTGCATGTAGGTTCTGGCAGCAGCTTGTAGCAATAGCTTGAAATCAGAGGAACATTATGAAGGAGGGGATTTATATTTTATATATATATATATATATATATGTGTGTATTTATTATTTTTTCTTTTTCTCTTTTCTTTCCGATACAGGTTATCATTCTTATAGGAAATAAAGCGGACCTTGAAGCCCAGAGAGACGTTACTTATGAGGAAGCTAAACAGTTTGCAGAAGAGAATGGTACGTCACATATCATTAATCAAACCAAGCTAGTAAGCGTGGAGCTGTAAAGGGATTGTAATGGATTTATTAATTGCAATAGAAAAATACAGTAAAGTGCTGATCATCTACCACTTTACCATATGACCAGTCTGCAAGGGCGGATGCTCTAAATTCAGACATTGTTAATCTATTGCAGGATAAAAACCTAAGGTAGTTGATTGTCTTTGACAGACAGGTAATCAGTGAGCCATAAGCCATGTGCTGTTTAAATGGCTTTATGAACCATTTGTAAGTAAAGCGATTCCAGTAAGTGGATGCTGTGGGTGTGAGGGAGTCATTTCTGTTAGACTACGGTTTCATATTTGCAGATTAGCTCAAAGAAACACACTAAGCACCTAAACTATTTTATAGCTTAATGAGGTGGGTTTGGTGTGCAGATCATGGCCCTGTTGTCTTACTGCTCATTTTCTGCTATTTAGGAGATACATCATTTTGTTTATGCAGCCCTAGCCCCATCTCTTTGGCTGTTAGTCTCCCTACTCACTTCCAGAAAAAATGATTTCCAAGTTCAGAAGCCTTTGTTTAATATTAAGCAGTTTGCAATTGATAGGAGTGTATTTTGTTTGTCTATATAGTGTATGCGGTTTGTTTAAGGCTGTAAAGATGACATGCATTTTATTTCTCCCCATTTTTAAGGTCTTTTGTTTCTTGAAGCAAGTGCAAAAACGTAAGTACAAACATTGCTGGATCCGGTGGATAAACCTCTACATGTGTAAACTTAACATACAGCTTTTCCTTCATTTGCATCACAGTATTTAACAAATAGAGAATTACATTTCTGATTAACGTGTTTCATAAGTTTGGGTAATCACAATGCTTGAAAATGGCATAAAAATTTGAAATTGATGTCCATTCTGCATCTGTATTTGGCACAATGGGCTTGGATATTCATTTATACTGAGACTGGGAGGGTACCACTAAAGCTTCTGTATGTGAAATGACATACAGTATTTAGATGCTATACTACCACAGTGCCTAGTGACCTTGATCCTTGTTTTCCCATAGTAAAGCTTTGGATTGGCTGAGATTGTCCATTCTGATTATCTCTGCTAAGGAGGCGGATCCAAATATCATCTTGGCCAATCAGCATCTCCTCATAGAGATGCATTGAATTAATGCATCTCTGAGGAATGTTCAGCATCTCCATGCAGAGGGTGGAGACCCTGAATGTCAGTCACATTGTGTAGCACTGCACCAGGAAGCACCTCTAGCAGCCATCTGAGAAGTGGCCAGTAGAGGTATCCCTAGGTTTTAATGTAAACACCGCCTTTTCTCTGAAAATTAAGCTGTAATTGTGGTGGTAACTATAGTGTCCCTTTTAAACGAAAATGTGATGATAGTTGTCCGCTATTGAACCATTATCAAGTAAACTTGTCCCCAGATGCCATTCTTCTATTTATACGTAGTTGAAAGTGTTGGCGTGAGCAGTGAGGGGATGACGGTGATTGGCTGAGTGTCACTTGATGCACTGTCAATCACTTCTGTCCTCTCTGCTTTTGCATTCATACTAGCAGATATATATCAAGTGTTAAACTATTTTTGAATGGTATAACACTTAAAGGTTAGATGGTGCCAGCCATCTTCATTGATGTAACGTTGTTGTGGTGCATGGAGAATTCCTTTAACACCTAATACAAGACAAGTAATCACGGTAACCGTACATTCGCCATAGTTGTTGTGATGGAAAATGGAAGAATTGCCAGTTGATGATTTCTCCAGCTGTCCCAGTGCCTCAGTTGTTGGGATAAACCTTTATGCCTTCAATTGGCTGACAGGATAGAAGGGACCGACCATGTTTATTTAATTTTATAAGCGTCTCTGAATACATTGCACCTTGGTTATTTACCAATCCTCCTTCTGCTTTACAGAGGTGAAAATGTGGAAGATGCTTTCTTAGAGGCAGCCAAGAAGATCTACCAAAATATCCAAGATGGCAGCCTGGATCTAAACGCTGCAGAATCTGGAGTACAACACAAACCTTCGGCTCCCCAAGGAGGACGGCTAACCAGCGAACCTCAACCCCAGAGAGAAGGCTGTGGCTGCTAATGAAATCTCTGTGGTGGCTGTTTCCGACTTTTTCCACTCCTGTCTGTCTGATGCAGTATTTTTTTTACTGCCCCATTATCTTCTGTACATCGTACTGGTTTAAATTAAGGGGGGGGAGGGACTCTGCTAAGACGACAGTTTAACACAATACTAAACTGCTCCATAACTAGATGTATTCAGGTTATCAAAGCAAGTCGAGTAATAAACACACAAACAACCTTTTCCCTGCATGGTATTAACGGTAAAATTTATTTTCCTTAATTGTCTTTGTGATGTCTGCAATCAATTGTTTAAATATAAGCACTGATGCTGGACGTTGATTTGCTGCGGGCGCCGTCTTAAAGTTTAATTTTTCTCGTAACTAAGCCTTTCCTTCTGTGACTTGTTAACTCTGTCCACAGTAGCCAATAGGTTTATTTGCTGTGAATGTACTACATGGTTGACGAGGGGATCCTGTAACTTTTTGTTTTTTTATTTCTCTTTTGGGGCTACAACTACTTCTGTCTTAACTTTTGATGGACTTTTTTTTTTTTTCCCTTCCTCCCATTTCTTTATAAATATTTTTCCTTGTCTCTCGTGTTCCATAGCTTTCCTTTTTTATGTAAAGATTTTATCCTTTACCCCCAACAATTATGTAAAACAAAGAAAAATATAAATAAAAAAAATCTAAACATAACCCAATGATCTTTCCAGAGCTCCAAGCTAACATTCTGTGTATATGAATATGATTTTAATGAAAATAAATTGAATACTGGCATTAGTATATGAAGATATGTCACTTTGTACAGTATGTCGCCCATTTCCAGATGTAGCACAGTAGATGTAATTGCTTATTTATAAATGCTTGGGCTTTTTCGGAAAAGAAAAAACAACCAAACCCCACCCCCTTGCGTTCCAACTTTTGCACTGTGGCTTCTATTGTGAGGTTTAGATTTCCTATGGTTGATTAAGCAGCCTCCTCCCGCTGTTTTTTGGTTTCTCTCCACCCCCCTCCCCCTTTCTTTCTGCCTTACAATGTATAGATAAACTAAAGGCTGGGCTGATTTATTGCACATATTACCCATAATCCCCCCTTTACTGCAACATGTTTAAATAGACTTACAAGTTCTGCTTCTTTTAAGATGATCAGTTTTTAACACTAAAGTAGGATGGTTTGTATAACAAAGTGTTTTGTTCTGAGCCTTTAGCCTGTTCTTTTGTCATATTTCCAAATGCAGTTTCTCTTGATAAACTGCTTTACTTCTAGTGTACATGATTGCTCCAATCAGCCTTTACAGCGAAGTACATGAGATTTGTTCTGACTACAGGAAGCGTGTAATATATCAGGTTTTTAGTATATAAAGAAGCAGTGGTTTTTTTTTTTTTTTTTTAAGTAGGTAAAAAAAAAATGCAAAGTCCCCTCTAGCATGAACTTAGCAAAATATGCTTGTACCATAGCAGCAACTGCCTGAAAGTGTCATTTCTAATAAATCCAATATTAGTGGTGGGGGGGGTTCTGTTTTGCCCCTGGCACTGAGGGTAGTTAAAACTTGCCACTGAGCGTATGAGACTGTTGTACCAAAAACTGGAACATGATTATATTGTGCAGTCCCTACCTATATATATTCTTTATTATGGGAGTCTCCATGTCCAATCATTGCGCATACTGTTAAGAGGGTTAATGCATTTTAACATCCAAAAAAAAAAAAAAAGCAGATGAGCCCCAAGAGAGGCCTATCCCAGGGACCACGACCTACTGATTGACTCATTTTTGGATCAAAGTTGATTATCTGCGCTTTGTTCTGATTATATACCCCTAGCTTTTTACGTTACAGTAGGTCACTTGTTTATAGCTATCACTAAAGGATTTGTTTGGTCTGCTGTACTTTCCCTTGATGTAACAAAATGCTATTAATCTTAATATTTGTAAATAAAGTACCTGTATCTAGATAATTTATAATCTGTTTCATTATCTTTATTTGCATAGTGTACTGGTTCTGCATACTTTCCAATACATATAAAAGGACATATTCCTGGATTGCATATACCTCAGGTAAATATCTGTGACCAAAAAGTGGAGGTGCCTCAGCCAATTCTTGCTCTCCCAGTGTGGTTACTAAATTCCCCGGCACATATGTGGATCTGTTTACACACACATCCAATAACTAAATAGAATTGAATGAGTGCATTTGCCAACTTATGACCAAAACCACTTCAACTTACTCAGATGGTAACCGTGCAAGGATCTGTTCCTGCTGTCTTACTTCTAAAATCCTTTTCATTTTGCTGAATAATTGTGTGTAGACCCAGACCCTCCCCAAAATGTCCAATTGGTCTGTTTTGCAAGCATGTGCAGATTTTTCTATTCGCTGCACGCATCGGATAGCGTACTTAGTTTATAGAGCAGTTATATTCATCCAATGTGATGTGTGCAGATGTAGAGGGATAAACAACTTATCTATCAAACTCCTGTCCTGCTTGAGTGTATGGCATAAGAATGGACCAACAAACCAGGAATTGCTTCACAGTATTTCTGCAGTTAAAGGCAGACAGACCGCTCATGTCAATTGTATAGATTTAGGGAAATTCCATTCAGGATTTCACTAAAATGTGAATGTCAGGAAATAAACATTAAGGCTTCAGCACTTTGTTTATGAACATAGAAATACTTTACACATGTACATACAAACAGCATTTAATAACCAAAATTATTTTATTATCAAAGTGTAGCAAAATATACATGGAAAATATTTGGCACAAACTCAAAAAATATTTTTAAAAAGTTAAATATAAAAGGTTTCTTATGTACAAGATTCAGTGCATTGTAGGAAGGAGTGTGAGTGTACGATTTACAAACTTGATAGTGATTTCACAGTATCTTGAATCAAAAATCCTTTTAACCAATGTAGGCAGACCTCACGTGACAGCAGCTGTCAATCTGTGCGTCTTCACCAGATCTACCAAACGCCTGGTCCCACCTTAAAGAGATCAACAAAGGTGCTCATTACTACTACATACTGTTCTACAATCTAACCAAGTATCCACAATGGTAAAAGCACAAACATGCGTTTTCAGTAGGACACCTGCTGCTATTACCATTGAGATGTTTAAAAAACAAGTCTGAAATTTGAAAACTAGAAAAATGCAATCTCTATCACAAATAATGAATAGTCATTTTATTTTGCTGGATGCAAAGCATCATGCAGATAATTCCTTTAAATATTCAAAATCACATGCAATAATTAAAAAAAACTAAAATAAAATCAGGATTAATCACTAAAGTAAAAATTCAAATTTAAGATCAAAATAATAAAACTGGAAAAGTTCTCTAATTCAGATCTGCTTTCAGCTCAGCTACTTTGGCCTTAAAGGGACACTAATCACAAACGTTAGTTTAACCCCTTAAGGACACATGACGTGACATGTCATGATTCCCTTTTATTCCAGAGGTTTGGTGAATGCATCATGACCCTACTGTCTCCGTGTCAATTCTCTGCCATTTGGGAGTTAAAAATCACTTGTTTCTGTTTATGCAGCCCTAGTGACTCCTTCAATGGCATGCACAGCATGCATGGGTGAAACATTGTTTAATTTACAATCTGATGTTAACTTGCTTTAGACATATTCTGCTCTGTAAACTGAACTTTAGTCAAACACAGGAGGCTCCTGCAAGGTCAAGCAAACAAAGCAGGACCGCACAGCTCATTGAAACGCATCAGTTTACAAGTAATTGGAAACTTTTTACATTACTGCTTAAAGGGACACTCAGCACCATAACAACTTCATCACAATTTAGTGTGCGGAGGTCCCAGATATTGTCTTGGCTTAAGGAGTTAAACTGTTAACGAATGCCAAATTAAAGACAGCACCTGTACGCACTGGTCAGTTACTTCCTTCAGAGGTCTGCAGTTTCAGTAAACCTATCACTAGCTTTGCATTCAGAAAACAAGATACATTACTGTTTGCAATGTAGAACCACTGAACGGCTTTAAAAAAATAAAAAGTCAAATGAGAGATTCAGTAGCTTGTAAAGAATTTATCCTCCACGAGGTGGCACTAAAATCCCAAATTAAAAGATGCAAAAACATACATTCTAAATATAGTTTTCATAAAATTTTTGTAAAAAATTTTGTTGCATTTCAGCTCATCCATCAGGATAAGGATTTAACTAGCATGTAATTTACAAGCTTTGGTTTAATGCCCCATTAAATGTGGTTAAAAGCGCTTGTAGGCAAAAACCCATAAAGTCTAATTGTGACTGTTCACGTTTCATCATTCAGCTCTTACCTACACGTTTCAGGGTCAAACTCCTGGTGGGAAGGTGGCGTTGAATAGAAATGGAGTAGATATCTTGGCATCGGTAATTTGTAATCCGAGTATAGATTGCTTAAGTAAATGAAACAAAAAAAAAATAATCTAATGTAAAATCAGAAATCTTTAGCTTACATTACGCTAGTAATTGACTGTTTTACACAAGCAATGAATTGAACTGCTTCTCTGTAGTTAAAAGGTTATAAATGAGTGAACAAGTTACCTCCTGGATTATTCTGATATTCAGGCAATCACCTTGTATCTGTTAGTGCCAACATTTGCTCACACTGGCTTTACCTGGCATGGAGGGTTCAGGGCATCTTCATGCCAAGAAGCCATGGCAGCACATGATCTGTGTGAATCGAACGTAGAATCGGCTGACACATGGCCAACCAATTCATCCAGAGCATCGACCTGTCTTCTTAGACTGTGCAGGCTCCCCTCTGTCTGCTGTCGTCCTTTACTCAGTGCATCCGCTTGTCTAGACATGAGATGATTGAGTTCAGCCTATGAAGACAAAAACACACCTTAGACTGGGGCAGGTCCTAGTTTAAGGGGATTCTATAGTGTAATTTGGGGGGGGGGACGAGGGGGTCGCTAGCGCGCGACAGGCATTGCGTGTGTGCGTGTTAGGGCATTCCCATAGGAAATGATTTAATTAACATTGGATGTCTGCATGCAGAATGTGAGGATTTCCAACGTCCGTGTCGGTTAGCCCCCGGGAAGTGCCACTAGAGGCTGTCTTAGACTTATTGTAGTTTCTCTAAAATTGCAATGATTTACATTGGAGGACTAGAGGGAACAAGGACACTTCAATGAGCTGAAGTGGTCTGGGTGTCTATAGTGTACCTTTTAAGTGTTCAGACAACAGTATGTTCTTTGTGGTTTTAATTCTTAATTCAGAGAGACATATAAAGCTCTTTTTGGGAACTGGGCACGACAGAACAAAACTCAAGACAAAGGGTGTATATACCAACGCATTCTCACCCTGATAATTATTGATATGGAGCAATAACACACCTAGACCCAGGCCAGTATCATTTCACATCCTCCGGTAAAGTAAATCATGGTCTTAGTGACAGAGAAAGACTTGCACGTGGGTCACTGCAACAAGAACGCTCTTTCCTTCCAAATAACGTGGATATTTTTAATCAGATTTATAGGGAGACTTCCAAGAAAACGTCAACGTGCAACGTTTCACTCAGATTTAGCATTTTAAATATGAAGTGTCACTTCTTTGCTAGACATTTCCTTATCCAAGTAAACGTTGCGGAAGCACTTACTGGATTAGTGCAGTGGAAACATGTACTACTTAGATTGCGGCATTTTCCAAGCAGATACTCGAGCATAGATAAAGGTGTCAGAGCATTATGGGTTTAAAGGAATTGACATTCTGTGTTCGGCTGGGCCAGGTAATCTTGACAATTGATGGGTGGGAGGGGGGCAGCATATTAGAGCTTTGGAGCTGCTGCAAACTCGTAATAACGAGATAAGCATTTAGTTCATTATAATGAGTTTTTATTAAAGGAAAACTATAGGCTCAGGAACACAAACATGTATTCCTGAGCCTATAGTGTTAAAAACACCATCTAGCCTCCCCTGACTCCTCTTGCCACCCTAAATATAGTAACAAATCTTACTCAAGTCTGCAGCTGCTGCCTCAGCCTCTGACCTGCCTGCTTACAACTGATATCATCAGAAGTGATTCTGTGAGCCAATCACAATGCTTTCCCATAGGATTAGCAGAGACTGTCAAGATGGCCGAGGCAGCACATGTCAAACACAACTCTGTCCAATCAGCATCTTCTCATAGAGATTCATTGAATCAATACATCTCTATGAGGAAAGTTCAGTGTGTGCATGCAGAGGGTGGAGACACTCAATGTCAGTCACACTGTGCAGCACTGCCCCAGGAAGCACATCTAGCAGCCATCGGAGGAGTGGCCAGTGGAGTTATTCCTAGGCTGTAATGTAAACACTGCGTTTTCTCTGAAAGCACTGTGTTTACTGCAAAAAGCCTGAAGGGAATAATTCTACTCACCAGAACAAATTCAATAAGCTGTAGTTGTTCTGATGACTATAGTGTCCCTTTAATAATATTTAAAAGTCTCCTCTCAGTAGGCATCTCTGCACCCTTCTAGGGGCTATATGTAAAACAAAAATTCAGTGCAGGAGAGTGTAGATTACCTTGAGTCTTTCTTCGTGTTGCTGTAATTTTCCTCTCAAAGCTTTTCCTCTCCAATGATCGTCCTAACAGAAGCAGGAAAAACATTCTGTGTCAATGTCATTCAGAAATGAAGATTTTAGGGCAAACCCATAAAATGTTAACTTACTGAGAAACTAAACTCTTGAATTTTTAAAAATTCACTATAAATGAAGAAAAAGTCACCAAGGGGAGTAACAAAAAGAATAATGAAACGTGATAAGACGAAATACCCTCCTAAATAATCTATCGTGGCTGAAACGTACGGCTGCCAGATTACAGGCAGAGATTGAGAATAAGAGCTCACAGTATAACATATACCAATAACAGAGTGTTTATTCACAAAATGTCCGAAAAGAGCCAAACCATTCGCTGCAGTACAGGGCAAAATCCAGAAAGTAAACATAATGTGACAAAGTCAGGATTCTGCAGAGCACGATACGAATAAGCTTGATTTTGATCCGGATATTAGCCAGACTGAAAGCTGCTGAACGGTTGAAATTCGGAACCGGCTTGTTAAAATCCAGGCCCAGATGTTCAAAGTCCAGATTTGAAATCTATGGGAGTGAATATGCCTTTATGTCTCTCATGCAGTACTGCAAGTGGGGGCAGGTCTACTAAAACATAAGCAGCTGCTGGGACTGGGCAGGTTTTGTCTCATAGGGATGCAGCCTGTATACATTACTTAATGGCACGGACTCAAAATACAATAAAATTAAATTAAACAATATGACCCAAAATGAAAAAAAAACCTGTCGGAAAAAAATAAAACCATGCTGTAAGTAAAATAAATCTTCCCAGGCAAGTCTAATGAGAGATGAGCTGTTCAGAGCACGCTGTGCGATCTGGGTCTTTTTTTTCCCCATTTATTTTTAAAATAGAAAACTGGTGCTTTGTACATATTCTAAATCCAATACTTTGTATAGGGATCACATGCGAAAAGCACGGATTTTGAAACCAGATACAAAATGCATCAGGCCGATTGTTACAGATTCGCTTGGGTTGCCCAAATTCCAACCAGAATTAGCTTTAATATGAGAACTGTTGTTCTGGATGGATTTCGTGCACTTGGACAAATATCTGGTATTTAATGAATAAACCAGGATATCTTCAGACGGCTAATCTCCCATTGGATGCACAATGTTCTAACTTGGAACCGAACATGCTGGTACAGACTCTGCAATTTATAGAATATACTCACTATTACACGTGATTTGGAGATTCCCAGAGTCTCTTTATATGGCTGCCGTAAGTCCTGATTGGCAGTAAAGGGAAAATTCTCCTTCAGGTTCTCTAACTGAGACTTCATACTTTCCTTCTCTTCCAGAACCGCATCCACATCTTCTAACAGCTCCTGGTCCTCTGTGCAACGGAAATCTTTAAGGCTATTTTGGATTTCCATTTTCACTTGGGCTTTTAATACTCTGACAGCTTCATTGACGTCCTGCTGTCGCTGGTCCAGATCCTCTTGGCTTCGGAGCTAAAATATAACGGGATCAGACAATACTAAAATGTTTTGTAAATTAGAGACGTGCTTATCACGTACCAGCTTGAGTGCAAGAGAGACAGGGACACATTCAAAAGAAGAGCCAAAGAGCCGCAATGAACAGATTCTTCTGATGCTCCTCAGTTGGCCAACAAACTATTTACTCTATACTCAAGAGCAGGAAACAGTAAGCACACCTGGTAACATGTCCATTAAGGTCAGGTGGTTTCAGAGAACAGCAGAACAAGATTTAAGATGGACAGCCCAAAGTTACATCTCCTGCTGTTTTAATACGACAACTCCCTCCCATCAGCCTCAAGGCTGTCAAATCAGCATGGCAGTTGAGGTTCTCCACTACCTGGGGATTTAGCTTTTGCAACCCATGATTTTAGTAGTTTGGTTTAAACACAGACCTCCGGTATTGCTTTGACAGTATGGTGTATGATTAACAGAATATACCTGTTTCTTTAGAACTGTGTATTCTGCTTGCATCAGTTTGACTTCTTTCAACAGGCGCCTTGCTCGGTCATGGTTGTCATAAGCCGCTCGTTCCACTGTAACAAGTTTTTTCTGCAGGCTACTGTTTGCCTCTTTAAGTTCCTAATTTAATTGCATACAATTAGACAGCAGTGAAAACCAGTGACAGAACACAAAGCGCTAGGAACCCCAGCATGCTGTGCGGTTTGCTGTTGGGGGCCCCAATGCCATTGCACATCTCCTGTACACATACAGTCATAGTTATGGCCCCCTAGCATGACTGCAAACACACGAATGACACAAACACTAAGCAATATAATGGAACTCACATGGATACGGCAGATAGTGTGTTCTGTAAATAAATGCATTGCATAATAACATGCAGGTAACAACGATTTCACCTGGGACACAGATTGGACTGGGTTTTTCATCATGTGTCAACAATAAAAATGTGAAAGCAATGAAGGGGCAAGTTTGTGTATGCGTTTGTTTTTTGTTTTCTTTAACGAGGCTTTCAATTGAGCCAGCATTGAGCCATTATTCCACACCACAGGTTGCCGTTTGAAAGGTGTGCTGGCATGCAGCGACTCTCTCTAACCTTCCAGACTGTCCAGTAACACACAAGTCATGGATGACCAGATATTTGTGGACTACATTTCTCAAGATGCTCAAACATGGAATGGATCATCATAGAAATAAAGGCTCAAGCAGGGTACTGTCTCTGGAAAATAGGTTATTTTAAAAGAATGTATGTGTGACTATGTGATTGTTACTCAAAGAATATGTTTGTTTACACTATACCACACCTAAAACAAACACAGGCTGTTTACATTTTTTATGAACACAAAGCTTTATTTTGGTGGCGAGTTCACTGTAAGACGTTCCTGGACACAAGACGAGACAGGAAGAGACTGGTGGTCATTACTAGTGGGATGTACCTGGATGATTTCTTCGTACTGTGACCTCTGACCTTTCAGGGCCTCTTTGAGCATCGTGATTCTTTTCTCGTCTCTCTTTGTCTCTGAATTCATCTGATCTTGCAAGCGGCTTAGATCACTGTTAGAAATCTCCAGTTCTCTCTTCAGAGCCATAATTTCATTGTTTTTTTCCAATAATTGCTCTTCTCGCTGGGTCAGCTGATGTTCTGGAAGTAGAATTTTTCTTTCCATTATTAAGACTTTCTCATTGATAATTCTTTAATGAATCATGAGAGCTATTCACTAACAAGTGAGATATAATGAGCTTTGCCAGAAGTTGAATTAAATGCGAACACAGTTTTTTTAATGTCGTTTTGCACAATTTGAATGCTTTTTGAGGTACTGATTGATAGAAACTAATTTTGGGAAATGTATTTATTTTAATGAAGCCATGAATTTCAGTAAAGTAAATGAATGTGATGTGAAGACGGGGACTGCAAAATATTCTTTGTTTTGCCACTATTACTTCCAGAGTATTGCACCTTAATGGCAGTGAAAGGGTTTAAAAAAATTCAATATTAAAAAAAAAAAAAAACAAAACAAACAAAAAAAAACCAGTGTCACCCCTCCCGAGCCTCTCAAGTGGGGGCTATTCAACCTCTTCATCCTCCACGGCCCCCACCCCTGAGCGGCGGGTGGGGGGACCTATTGACCTACTGAGTCCCTACTTTGTGTTATATTTTAAAGAAAACTAGCGCAGATAGAAAGAAATGAATAACAGATCCTGAGAGAGGGAGAGAAGAGGAATCGATTAAAGAAAGGTAATTTCGGCATGACAGTGCCGCTTTAAGTTACAGCTTTTCTATCAGTTATTACAGGGCAGAACAGACTTACTGGTATTATTGAGAGAATCCTCTAAAGCCAGACACCACTTCTCCTCCTCTTGCAGTTTCAGGGCTCGTTCCTCCAAAACATTCACCTTGGAGGCTAGCACCTCCAGCATGTTTTGTCTGTTTGCCAGTTCCCATTCCACGGTCTGCTTGTGATCCATCAGTTTAGCAGTGGACTCTCTAAGCTGGTCTTCTTGACACTCAGCATCTTTCATGATTTGCTTAAGGAGCTGAGAATAAACGGGACCCAAAGATTACTTTAGTATCTTTATCAACTGAAATGTCAGGTTTATAGATGTAGTGTACAAATCCTTGGATAAGCACCCCCAGAATAACTGGCATGATCAAACACTATAAATATAATGAACTGCATGGAATATGAGCTATAGAAAATGAGGATTACTGCCAACGCAATATCCAAACTCAACCTGCTAGTTGGCTGCACAGTGTTTGGGTTTAAAACACCGAAATACAGATATGTATTCCCAGGTAGTAGTGCAGACGTGATGACAGCTGCATTCTGGGAGAGTGAGGACCAACGTGCAGCCACCTGCAGCTTCATAATTGTAGATTAGTCAAGAACTGAAATCTTCCAATATTAAAGGGACACTATAGTCAGCAGAACAACTACAGCTTAATGGAGTGGTTCAGGTGTGTATAGCATGTCCCTGCAGGGAGAAAAGGCAGTTTTTAAATCACAGCCTAGGGACACCTCCGGTGGTCACTCCTCAGATTGCTACTAGGTGTTTCCTGGGTTGGTGCTGCACAGCCATTAAATCGAACACCGAACTCCAACCCGAACATACAGGGATATGTCCGTGTTCGGATCCGGGGTCCAAAAAACGTAATGTTCAGTACGAACCCGAACTTTACAGTCCGGGTTCGCTCAACTCTAGTCAAAATGCATTTCCATACTTGGTGCCATGTAATCTGAACTCTGCTTCACATGTGAGATGAAGAAGAACATAAACATAAATCAAAGTTGAACGCTACCATTTCCTGTTTGGCGAGTGCCTCCTCTTTTCCCTCTGTTGCCCTCTGTAAGCAGTTCAGTTGCTGCTCCATTCTGATCTCCTTCTCGTGTAGGAGCTGGTATCTTCCTGCACTCTCTTCATTCTCCAGTTTCAGTGTAGACTGCTCTCGTAACAGGTCGTCTCGCTGCTTTGTGGTATTTCGCAGGTCCTGGAAAGGAAAAATACACGATTTCTTGGAAGTTACATTAAACTAGTGGATTGAAAAACATATTTCTATTGAACCTTTAGGGTGAGCTTGTGCTAAGTTACTCAATCATGTATTTCAACAGACACGGTCAAATGAAAGCAGGACATTGTAACCAGGAGAATATGTAGCATGTTCTTCCTTCACATCAAGCATGTTTACATTTGAGATAGTGAACAGGCCCAACAGCTTATGACCAACGTCTACATTTCTCACAATTCAAATTATCCACCATCTAGGTGTCCAATCAGCAGTGGGAAGCTCATAGAGAAGATCAAGGACTAATATAATTAAAATAATTGAATTTAGAGGATATATCTACCAGAGATCTATTAACTCCTGCATGTGACAAATATAAAAGTTTATTCATTCATTCTTAGAAGGCTGCAGGTTTCGCATACACGCACTGACAGGTCATCTTAGGAGAGCCGAACAGCTTTCATTCAGTGAAAGTGTTGGGGGGGGGGGAGAGGAGAGGGAGAGTGTGTGTGTGTGTGTGTGTATACACGTACACAAAACGGTTTCTTTTAGTAAAAACTAAAATCCACAATAAAGGCAGAGAAATCAGTTACCTGTTCAACTACTTTGAGTTGGTCTTTCGCATCAGTAAGTTCATCTTTAAGAAGGTTCAGTTCTTCCTTTGTCTCTGTATTTGGGAAATGTATTGATAACATATGCCATTTAAAGGTGATTTGACTTGTACGCTGTGTTTAAGCAATTTAGACACTTGTGTAGAGAATGATTTTGGTAACTGATTTTATAAGAATACATTTTCCACGTGTAGATCAAGTACAATATTAACAGGGTTATTCACTAAACTCGAACTTTTTGTGAATTAAATCTGAATGGATAAACGGAATGGGTTCTCCAGGTCTGCCATTTTTGCCCCAATGTTGCCATTTGGATCTAATTAATAATAACTGTAAGGGTTCTTTTTACATTGATAAATCCTTTCTGAGTGGGGAACAGTTTTCGCTGCCTCCTGCCTGAGAAGATCTCACCTTGCAAGGACTGTTGAGTCTTGTCAGATTCCTGCTTCAGGCCTTGTTTCCGTTTACTCATCTGCTCGAGATCTCTGCGCAGGTTCTGAATGTCGGCCTCCATTTTCTCCCGGGTTGAAGCCCCAGTTCTATTGCACTCCTCAGTGGTGACGAGGTCTCTGATGTGAAAGAACAAAACATGAATTGCACAAAATGTCTCTAGCTCAGGAACCTCATGAATACGATGTACAGTTCAATTCTAAACCGCCTCCTCTGTATTACCCTCTGCGGTCCAACAGGGGACAACATTAAGTGGCTTCATGTCAGCTTGGAGTGTCCCACTTACAATATTAGATATATTTGTTAAGAGGAGACTCTTCATTCAGTGTCAGGACAGGAGTGGACAAAATGTTGTGATCCAGTTGTTGAACTACAGCTCCCATCATCCTTTACCAGCCTAAATAAGTGTAGGAACTGAAATGCTACTTGCTGCCGGTCTTTGGCCTTGGCAATGCCTTGTTGACCATGAACAAGGCCTGGGTGACTGTCATGTGATTTTGGCACTCCGATACCCACAGCTCTCCTGATGCCTCCAATGTGTCCATTACCCATAAGGCCTTTGGCTTACCGGTTAGCCTGCGCTAGCTTTTTCTCCAGATCCTGGACGTTTTTCTCCAGCTGTTCCTTATTCCGGCTCACAGACTCCATGCTCTCCTGCAGAGCCTGCATCTCGTTTCTCAGAAGCTCCATTTCTCGTTGCTCCTTCTCGTACAGTTGTTTTTGCCACTCCACTTCCCTGCGCAGGCGATGGCATGCCCGCTGAAGGTTTTCTAGTTCCAGCTTTCCCTTTAAGAGAAAACTGCCATGGTTACACCTAGAATATGACCCGCACTAAGGGGTACAGACACGGACTGTTCATGGAGAATTAAGGTATTCAAACAAATATCTCAACAAACAGGGGTTGGAGTGGATGATGGATCAGTAATCTGCAGCTTACCAGCTAAGGTCAGACATATAAAGCGTTTTCAAGTTGCCTGAAGTCCCAGAATGTTTCATTGAATTAGATCCTCACTCGATTTGTACTTCAGAAAAGAATTGAGATCAAACAGAATGATGGTACAAAAAGACGCAGCTTTTGCACAATCGTCATAATTGAATACAAATGTTTTCTGAAATACAGTGAGGATATAATCGAATGAATCATTCTAAAAACTTGTTATGCAAAAGGGATTTGCATGGAAGACCTCCCCCCCCCCCCCAAAAGGGTATTTTTACTGGCACTACATGTTCTAACTGTAGCTACATAACTGCATTACATATTGTAATCTTCAGTTATTATTCTTCTGTTTTTTTTTCTCCTTTTACAAATTTCTCTCGCCCTGAAACTTCTAACTTTCTTAGCATCTGCCCTTCACTTCTTCTTGTTTCCTCAACACCATCCCACACCAGCCACTGGGTCATTACATACAACAATTATATTCCCAATTATTGGCCACCTCCCCTACAATATAAAAATATCTCCCATCAACGGAAACATGGTGAGAACCTTGCACAGTCTACAAGCAGTATTACAAACTAATGCAAAAGAAATCTGGAAATCTACATCAATTTGCGATAGGATTAACTTTATATAGAAACTTTTTGTTGTTGTTGTTAATATAGAGTAAAGATTTTGAAACACCATATCTCCACTGTTTGCTTTGGGAAAGGAAGTTCACTAATATCAGGAGGAGCAGTATTTGAACATAAATGTATACATTCGTTTTTTTTGCCCCTTCTTGTTCACTGGCTAGATACGATGGCATTAAAGGGACACCATAGTCACCTGAACAACTTCAGCTTAATGAGATTGTTCAGGTGAGAACTATAGCTCCCTGCAGCCTCTCATGTAAACACTGTATTTTCTGAGAAAATACAGTGTTTACATTGAAAGCTAGGAACACCTCCAGTTGCAGTCACTCAGAGTGAACCAGAGGGACTTCGAGAGTTGATGGAGGCATATTATGCCTCCATCCAATCAGATCTGCTGTCAGCAGAGCACAGGGCAGCACTGTGCACAGCATCCTGTGATTCAGTATCTCCTCCCTCAGCATGCAGATTCCCTGATTCAATTCATCTCTATGAGGAGATGCTGATTGGCCAGGGCTGTGTTTGAATCATGCTGGCTCTACCCCTGATCCGCCTCCTTGTCAGTCTCAGTCAATCCTATGGGGAAGCACTGTGATTGGATCAGGCTATCACATGTCAGCAGACTGCTTGTTTTTCTGAGTCTAACAGCATGCAGATTTACAGCTTCTGGCTTGAATACAGTAAGATTTTTACTATATTTATGGAGGCATGAGGGGCCCAGGGGGGCTAGATGTTTGTGTTCCTGACCCTATAGTTATCCTTTAAGGTGTTTTTCTAATGTGTGATGTTGGAAAGTCAACTTTTCAACTTCTGCTCCCAACTTTCCAGTTCCGGATTCTTTGTGCATTGACCTGCGCACAGCCAGGATCAGAAAGGAGGTTCTCACCTCCAGTACGGCAGCCTGTATCTTCTCCATTTCATCAACTTTCTGGCCGTGCTGTACTTTAAGCCCTTCAAGCTCATTGTTTTCAAACTGCACCATTTCCAACACATGCTTCAATTCTAATAATAATAATTTAAAAAAAAAAATATTTGGTATTTTTTCACGTTTTCATTGCAAACCAAACAAAAAGCATTTAGTGGCTCGGCATTACAGGTAACATTTAAATATATGATGCCCCCTTTTATCGTCAGTACCCAAGCCTTACAATCAGCTTTCTCAACATAATGACATCAATATCTACGTGCCGGTTAATGAAATGAACTTTGAGCTACAGATTTTTGAAGATATTAACATAGCAGTGTAGACGTCCTACTATGGCATAGTGAAGAGGGTGCATGATCCTAAACACCTTGTATTAATGTTAAAAGGGTCTGTAAACATGTGATCAGTAAATTAACACAAAATACAAAGATGTGTATGTGAACCAGAGTTCTAATAAATTATTTTGATGTCAATATTTGTCAGCAATCTGGCTAGAACAGTTTATGAACATATAAACTGATCAAGGCTGAAACATGACAAGATTATACAGCTTGTGATAAATGGAAATGAAGATATTACAATAATATATACAAACAAAAACCACTTATAGCACCCGTTTCTTAGGAAACAGAGAGGATGACTCACAGGAAGCAGAACTTGAAGGAGGCGTGCAAAAATATTTATTATAATGATGATCAATCCTGCGCACAACCCACCGTTCAAGTTGTCCATGCAGTGCTGTGACAGTAACCGGTAAATGGACAGAAGACGCAGATAGAGGGAAACATACCTGATTTGTGCTTATTGATTTGGGAGGCTACTTTCTGAAGGATATCTTCTTCCTGCTCCACTTGCTGTTTGAGAATAACCAACTGCGACCTCCTCTCGTTCAGCTGGGCATTCAGCTCCCCTTTTTGGGCACTTAAATCCTCCAACAGAGACCTGACCTCCTGAAATAAATTCCATTTTGATTCCAGAATACCGTGAAATTACCTCCAAATAAAGAGGGAGCAGAGCTTCTAGCTTGGAGGAGGAGAGGGTTCAAAACAGCCAGATTTCTCAAGTACCCCATATAAGTTCCCCTGATAAGATCAGGCGGTATATCAGTAGACAACAAAAAAGAAAGCAGAGAGTACCTAACAGAAACGCAATACAAAGAGGGCTATCACTGCGTGAAAAATGTGCAAATGATGCACAGTATCCACACAAAAGGGGTCTAAAATAAAAATAACAAATAACTTTATTTGGAATACATGGTAAAAGAAAAAAAGAATAGAACATAAATGAAAATTTAAAACCAACCAAAATCGTACCCCACAGAATAAAAGGTAAATGGTTGATGTCTGAATCAATACAGCACACTGCACACGTCTGTGCAGGGTGAAAAAAGGGAGCGCAACAAGGAGGGGGGATAATAGGATGAAAAGAGCTATATACAGTACTGTAGATTATGCAAAAACTAGATAGCTAACTAGTAAATAGAATAATAATTAAACAGGATAACTCGCTAGTGTAAAATTGCTACAGAGATGTCACATGTCGATAGTAACGATTGTAGCACTGATTGCAAAGGTTGTGCGTATCAGATAGCAGATAAATGAAACGTTATAACTTTTCTGTGATAATAGTGAGACTGCTGCTACCATTAGATACAAAGCGTAGCTACAAATTTAGAACTACAGTGTAGAGCTAACATACTTGAAATAGCTGGATATCGCCAATGCTGTTGGCAACAGAAAGAATAAATGATAGTTGATATGAAAAATAAATGGGACTGAGCAGCTACACTGGAAGTCTGCAACAGAGTATATAAAGGAAGATCGCGCGTCAGGGGATATCTGGCGCAATTTTTCGCCATCTACCTACTACCCTTCCATACTATATTGTATCTTCTCTCTGGTTGCTGTCTCTAATAGGCGATCTTTAGTGGGCGTTAGGTCCTGGTGCCCTCGAAGGCACACGGGGGGTGTTCTTTAGCTTTAGGATAACTCTCCTTTCTCTGCCTCTTATCTTCCTTTATATACTCTGTTGCAGACTTCCAGTCTAGCTGCTCAGTCCCATTTATTTTTCATATCAACTATCATTTATTCTTTCTGTTGCCAACAGCATTGCCGATATCCAGCTATTTCAAGTATGTTAGCTCTACACTGTAGTACTAAATTTGTAGCTACGCTTTGTATCTAATGGTAGCAGCAGTCTCACTATTATCACAGAAAAGTTATAACGTTTCATTTATCTGCTATCTGATACGCACAACCTTTGCAATCAGTGCTACAATCGTTACTATCGACATGTGACATCTCTGTAGCAATTTTACACTAGCGAGTTATCCTGTTTAATTATTATTCTATTTACTAGTTAGCTATCTAGTTTTTGCATAATCTACAGTACTGTATATAGCTCTTTTCATCCTATTATCCCCCCTCTTTGTTGCGCTCCCTTTTTTCACCCTGCACAGACGTGTGCAGTGTGCTGTATTGATTCAGACATCAACCATTTACCTTTTATTCTATGGGGTATGATTTTGGTTGGTTTTAAATTTTCATTTATGTTCTATTCTTTTTTCTTTTACCATGTATTCCAAATAAAGTTATTTGTTATTTTTATTTTAGACCCCTTTTGTGTGGATACTGTGCATCATTTGCACATTTTTCACGCAGTGATAGCCCTCTTTGTATTGCGTTTCTGTTAGGTACGCTCTGCTTTCTTTTTTGTTATGTACTTTCACTAGGGGTTACCCCTCTTCTTTGAGTGTACCTTGGCTGTAATTCAATAGTTTTTGGTATATCAGTAGACATTTCACGTGAAGTTAAAAATTAAAACAAAAATCTGAATATAAACAGAGTATGAGATCTAATCTACCTTTATCTCCTGCCGTCGCTCAGACACATCCAGCTCGCCATCCCGTAAGACTTCCTTTAGATCTGCTTTCTTTTGTTCAATGTGATCCTGAATGAGACGCAGTTCCTCTTTCTTCTGGCCAATGAGCCTGTCCAGCTCCACAATTTCTTGCTGTTGTGTTGATACCTTTATTAAGAAACAGAGAGGATACAAAGTGTTATAAACACCATACTCTGCAGCAGTTGTAAAGGTCTGCATTGCTGTTTACAGAGTGTTTGACCTCTGAATAAAACCATAATATTGTACCTTATTACACACTGAAGACAATAGTATTTTTTAAAAAACAGTATACATACCAAAAATGGGGAAAGCAAACAAAAACAAATCAGTTTTACAATCTACAGTGAAAAGCTGACAACTAAACAACTCCCAGAAATCTTTGCTTCACCCATAAAACACTGCTTACGGGATAATATCAGAAATGCTGTAAAATATTAAGTCTGCACAAAACTCACTGCAGAAACCTCTGAAGAAACACTGAATATTAGCAACAAATACAGGAGCCTCAACTTTGTGCACCTCTTTATTACTTTTAATTTTGAGTGTCCCCTGGATGTATTATTTAGAATAATAGTTTACTTACACCCAGGGCTACAATGCAATCATTATCCCTTATTTCACTCAATTATTATTACGTCTAACGAACCAATACATTCCGCAGCACTGTACAATAGTTGGAATAACAAACAAGTATTTACAACAAGGCAAGTTGGACACACAGGAAAAGAGGGTGCCGGGGGCCCTGCTCATACGAGCTTCATTCTAGGGGGAGTGGGGTAAAATGACACAAGAACTAAAGGTAGGAGGTATTTCATGCAATGGAAGATAGGTTGCTGAATTATTACATGTTTAACATGCCATATGGATAGGAGACAAATCTAATCATGGAATAAGTGACATTTCCATATAGTAACCTCTGTCCTGGTCTGCAAAACAATGATCCTAACGGGGCATGTAGGACTGGCCCCCTACACAGCATGTGATCGCAATGGGCAGATACTCACTGTGTATACATCAGCAATCCAAGCACACGGAATAAGTGGAAGCACCAAAATCCCTTCATCGGGCTTTAAATACAGAAAATATACACTATACAAACACCCGTCTGTCAATCAATCAATACGTGACTGAAAGACAGACAGACTGGCGTAGGTGTGCACAATTTCAAAATAAGTAATCTATTTGGAATTATTTTTTCACTTGCACTATTTATGTACACATTAATATAGGCCAATACACAACAACAACACACACCAATAAACACATTTAATAAAGAAATCACCTGCTTGGGATGAAAGAAGCCTTCGCTGAAAGGTTCTGAGAAAGTATCCTCAAGTCCTGTAACTCTAACACTTATGTCACAAAAAACAATTGGAAACAAACGTCTCTTAAAAATTACCTGAGAGTTTAAGCGTTCCAGTGAGACCACCTTGTCCTGCAGAATACTTTCAGCTTCTTGCAGGGTATTTAAATGCAGATCTTCCTTTCCTTCTGCCACCTGTATATCAGCTTGGAGCTTCTGGAGACTGGACATAACGAGTGATCATTAGAAGGTTGTCTTTTACAACTCTAGGATGTGCAAGCCATGGTCCAGATCAGAGGTGCCAAAAATTGAGGTTTTAAAACTTCCGTGATGCTTTGCCATTCTACAATGGTCACCCTTGGTTTATAGGCTCTGCATGAGAACATCCAGCGTTCGATTTTTCCCAGAGGAAAGCATTGATTCAATGCTTTCCTATGGGGAGGTCTCATGTGCCGCAGCACCTGCGCTTGAGTAGCAGCACTGCTCGTCAGAGGACAGAGGAGCCACGACCCGGCACCGAGGGACATTGGTGATAGGATCAGATAAGTAAATAAAAAGTTTTTAACCCTTTTTTCGCCAGGGCTGGGAGTGCGATAGAGAAGGGAGGCAGAAGGATCTACAGTGCCAGGAATACAGCTTTGAATTCCTGGCAATTACAGTATCCCTTTAAAGCAGGTCTATGGCTCAGGCATCCACCTGGAAACACGTATATTCTTTACCCAGAGACCACATGTCTCCTTCTAGGAGTGTATTAGGGCATGTGGGAGGAGAAACTAGGAACATGCCACAAACAGGTGGTCTAGCATCCAAACATGAAATTAGCTTATAAGGGAGAGCGACATATTACCCTCCCTGTCTGTATGGAAAGTACTTCTGATCAGAGCTTTTCTAAATCAGATTCTAACAGGAACAAGTCCCAGGTATAAAGTCTTTTATAACATGATGTCCTCCTTTATATAAGCTTTTAGGTTTATTTTCCGGCACGGAGGAGGATTCAGGTATGTAAAATCTGCCCCAATGAGGTTTAAAATAGATTTTCAGGATATAGTTACCCGTCGGCCATTGTATCCATTTTGCTGCTGAGAGCCTGGAATTCGGCGTCCTTGGCAGATACCACCAGATTGATTTCCTTTAGGATGTTCTCTTGTTCCAGTCGATGTTGCTCCAGGTCTTGTGCGTTGGTTTGCAAGATCCTAAAACAGGGTTTCTAGATTTACCACCAAACACAAGAACAATGGAATCTCTGTTTGATCCAAAACGAATGTCCTGAAAAGCTTGGCTACTGCCCTCTTTAAATAAAAATCCACATATACCCCAAACTTTACCTCAATTGCTGATTAGCTTTTACCAGCTGCATGGCGGTATCTTGTGCGCGTCGCTCTAGCTCCTCTGCATCACTCTCCGTCTGGCTAAGGCGCTTTTTGGCACAGTTGTACTTTTCAATTAATTCAGTGGTCTGGAGGGGGAAAAAAAATATATCCATTTTGATACAAATGTCAATTAAAGACACCAGGGGCGTATAACAAGAATAGAGCGTGTTAATACTAAAATAAGTGCTTACTTTTCAATGTGACCCTATTACGGAGCAAAGAAAGTTATGAAGGCAGCGAAGAATCTGATGCAATCACATCACCAAAGGGAGTTTTAAAAAGTTAAATAAAATAGAATGAAACATTAGAGTACAAATAATATTGGTTTAGTTCCCCCTAAAACGCTGGGAAATAGGGTTTGGTTTTCCAGGAAAGTAACTCCCATAGATTTCATTGCAAAATGATCTGCAAGAATTAATTTTAATTAAACATCTGCACAACTTGTGGTCTGTTGCCTTTTACACAGACTTTCTTAGATGGCATTTATATCACCTGACCGGTCAAATGACCATCTCCCCTTCCCTGCACAGTGGCGTGCTGGTATTTCTACAGCTCATCTGTTTGAATATTAGATCCTGATTGGCTGATGACATCACATACAGTCAGTGCTTATTTTGTTAACCAATAACAGTCACTGAGGGCTTTAAAAAAAATTTGATGTAGCTTCTCAATGCAACCCCCACCACCCCAAACCTTAAAGTAAAGTAGTAATTACTTTACTATCAATTGGTAAGATGACATTTTTACATATTTATTGAAGAATTGTTGCACACGGATTCCTTTTGGTTGCAAACATTTGATTGTTTTCACAAAAGGAAACAAAACAAGTCAATTAAATAACAGAGATCAAGAAATTCAGACCAATCGAATTACAAGTAATACTATGTATAAATCCCTTTTACAGAAACATTTAGATGTGAGGTCCACTCAAAGCATTAGATTTTATAATTCTCCAGCTCTCATACTGGATTACTGCTCACATCATTCTCAGCCAAGGACTGCAGCGCAGGAAAATAAAAATGGCACTGGTGAGTGTCTGCACGTAGTTACGGAACAGTCAGTGCTCAGTGCATACCTTTTCGCGTGTATTCTTCATTTCTGTTTCAGCTTCAGCCAGAAGTCGGTCAGCCTCGCACAACTCTGCCCGGCGTTTAAGGAGGGTTTTCTCAACGCATTCAATCTCGTCCATGATGTCATCGTGGTGCTGCAAGGATTTTTCAAGATTCAGCTCTGTAAACAGGTTGTCAAGATGTCCTTCGACAAAGTCTCTGCAATTGAGAGAAGAATTAGTAACTTATCCAGCAAGAAACCATTCAGAACAGGAAGAAGAAATTGTAAGTTTGTATAGTACAGGGTAGGTGCCAGTCTATTGGAAGTCGCTGCCCAAAAAGATGAAATGATGTATGTAAACGGTTTGGGGGAAAGCTTACTACTCCGTTATCCCCTACATACTGCATGAAAATCAACAATCTAGTTTTCTGGCCACACCTGAAGAAGGAACTTTGCCCACATGTCTACTAGAACTATGCCAGATTAGGCCTATATTGTAAAAGTCAAAACAGGGTGCAAGACGCAGGTACCCACCCACGTCTCAAACAAAGTTTAAATCGTTTTTGCGGTTACAGAGAGAACATACACCAACTATGAACCTGCAGAGAATCCCATGCTAGGTCATCAGTTGTCCGTGTCCTTCAACATCTGGATTTCATATCAGCAACACTTACTTTCTTTTACGTTTCTGGGATCTTGTGCGCAGTTCTTCTGCTTCCTTCATCAGGACTTTGTTTTGATGCTCAAGGTTATCTATATTGTCTCGTAATCTTTCCTTTGTTTTCTTGTCTTTGTGTCGACGAGAATTCAGAAGATCAATAATGTCTTCGAGACGAGTAACTTCATTTTCCTAGATAGAGCGGAGATCGTTCGTAATGGATTGGAAAGCAAGAGCCAAACATTGCCAAACCAATTATGACAGAAACTTAACTCAGAGCCCACAACGCACAATTTATGTGAAAAAGCAGTCAAGTGTTATCTCACTATAACAGTAGAAACAGCTTGGATGCCCATGTGTCTAAATGCCACAAATTCATTCAAGTGGCTCAACTAATTGGTATAGGTTAAATCTGGGTCCCGAGTCTTACGGTTCCCTTCATGCTAACTGGCACAGCGTAAAAAACCCCGTGAATAAACTTTCAAATGGGATTGATTGGAATTTAAATACAATTGTTGCAATTCACTGGTTTCTATTAGTACCAACAAACTATTACTATACTGAACAAACAAAAAGATGTTTGTTACAAACAGATATCGTTATATGTACACACAATAAATTAGTTTGTGAAGTTGCATACATTTTACGTGTGTGTGTGTTTTCATTTTTTTTAATTCCAGATCTTAAATTTGTGTACTAGGAATAGGAAACACTTTTGTGGAAACCCAGTACTAAAAGGTCTATGTGAAGGCTAAACACAAAACTTACCATATTGTGGTGTGCGGGCACATTGCAGTGAAGTACCCCAGTAGGGATAAGAGGAATTGTAAATTGAGGTGGGGGTGGTCCATACACAATCTGTGTTCCAACTGGTGGAGGTCCATATATAACCGTTCCAGGAGCCACCGGCCTGGGGCTATATGGGGGAGGGGGTCCATAAATAACAGTTCCTTGGGGTGTAGGAGTACCATCTGGAAGTACAGTATAAATAACGGAGCCTGGAGGAGGCACAAAGTGACACGTCGGTGGCACTGTGGGTCCATTCTCTTCGTCGTCATCTCTGTTATCTGTAGGGGAAAGGAAACCGTTTAATGCACTACTAAGGTCATCTACACAATGTGCTATTTAATACCTGCAAATCTATCAATATATTGAAAACTTTAACATGAGATCTATTTACTGGTACAATTTAGGCGTTTGTCAGCCACTTGTGCTCCCATCTGCCACTTAGTGATGCTTGGATAAGGCAGAAGTGACTGTGATCTTCAGGTAAGTGTATACTTGCAGTTCAGTTTGAAGTCTGAAGTTACCTCTGTTAGTATGCAGTCTTTGCAGGCCGGGTCGGAGAGGAGAGTAGACCCAATGTCCAAAGTGTGCACGATCTTCCTTTTTGGGATATTTGCAATGGCTGCATTTTCGTTTTGCAGGCGATGAGGTCATTGGGTAATGAACACCAACTCCAGAGTCTTTAGTGCTGGCAGAATCAAGTCCCAATGACTGTAAATCAAGAGAGGCACATTAAAAGACAGAATTGTTAAAATACCAAAAATGGAATTACGTTATCTGCTGCAGTGGTTCCTTACCTGATTTTAGTACCCATTCCTTTCCTTTTATGGCTTATATTAAAACCAACCCTTTAAAAGCTGAACACATACATGTCATGTAGAAGGATCACAGCAATTATCAGGATATTAATGTCAAGGATCTTTATTAACCCCAGAGGTATGGATTGCTACAATTCATCAGAATGCATCAAAATGGAACCGCATAATTTTCAATAAACATAATAAGTGAACTTTAGCTAAAAGCTGCAGGTGAAGGTGCAATAGTTATTTTAAATTGGGATTCATTACTTATGGATGCCCAAAACCTGATCATCAATCGTCCCTTAAAGCATTTTAAAAATCGGATCATATTAACTGAACCATGGAGCCAAGAGTCAGACTGGTTAAATGCTTTGCTATTATTACTAAGTTTCCTTAAAATGTTGTACTATTTTAGGTGATTTAATGAGCAGACTCAAATTGTTAGAACACAATTTTATATTTTATGTAAGTGGAGAAAAAAATAAGCAAATAAAACCCAAATAAAATAAGTAAAAATGTAAATGTACTTTTCTTAAAGTAAAAAAAAAAAAAGCATTGCATGAACGGTAATGATTAATAATACACACAAATAAGAAGGGGCTTACATTTGATGAGGAAGGCATATAATACCAGTAGCCTCTGCGACGGAATGGGTTGGTCAAACTGGTAAGGTAATCGTTCTGGTAGCCAAGGGCATGCCTGAGGTTATCAATCTCATCCAGCAGATCCTCTATCTCCCCAACGTTATCTGTAATGGCACAAGATCAGCAAAATAGGTTACAGACTTCCTAACAGGAAGGATTATTCACAAAGTGAACACTGTTGAGAATTGAAAGTGAGTTTCAAATTTAAGGCTTAAATAGTCAAACTGGAGACATTCTCCAAGTCAGCTATGCTCCCAGCTTGGCAATTTTGCCCTGAAATGTGAAATTCACCTGGAATTCCCGACAATTCGAACTTTAGTGAATAACTTGGTAAGATCACAGAAAACATTTATACAAACCCTGGTTAACCACCACTACTTCCTCCACCAGGGGAGTCATTTTGGGGTGACTGGCATATTTGCAGAGAGTCCCTTAGCTATGTCTGCTAGAACAATGTATAGATAAATGGACGGATTATGCACCGAACGGAGAATTGCAGGAAACTGGAAATTCTAAGCTAAAACAGACAATCAGGAAAAAAAAATAAAAAATCCAAATCAGGCCTTGATTTAATATTTTGGAATAAGCGTTACAAATATATAAAAATATAGCAATATATTGAAAAAATATCAAAATATTGAAATATGTTTCAAAATATGAAGTCATTTGAAAGCTTTTCCAAAAATATTAAAATTGAGGCCTTAGTGTTTTTCCTGACATTTGCAATTCCCTCGTCAATCTACAAGTCACAATTTATTGAATAACCCCAAGGGATTTAAAATTGCTAGCTCAGCCCTCATCAGATGTATCGCCACATGGAGATGTCACAAGTGAACTTCCTGAGCACGGTTTTTAAAAACGTAAATATGGCGTTAATTTTCTGTATTGTAAAAATGCCCCATGCACTCCAAAATTATTTTAAGTTAAGCGTTTCCATAAAACTATATATTTGAAGTTTTATTTCCTCTTTAAAGCGGAACTCTCACTTCTCTGGAATAAACCGTTCCTTCCTTGTGAATAGTACTGTGAAGGTAATTAAAACGCACACTTACCACCTTAGACGCACAAGCTGTGTGTCCGAGTTGTGGGCAAATACTGACAATTGTACAAAAATACCAGCTTGAAGGCTCTAGTATTACGTGCCCGTGCAACATATAAAACACTGTAGGGGTTAATGTAATTTACTGGTCAGGTCCACAAAACCAGGCATGTAATGTAAACAATACATAGACACTACGAAGAATTTGAGCAAAATAAAAGTAAGACTCGCTGCTAACCTTTAGTTAGACAGGAGTCCTTGTGCATGCGCAGTAATACAACACTAATGTTTATGGAGGATCCCTCCACAGACACAGTCTCACAATGAGCAAGACAATGCCTTTTGACGGTGATATTTTTATCAAGCGGAGGAAAATATACTTTGCCTCATGTATTTTACGAGAAACAGATCAAAAAGAATAAAGGAAGAACTGATTAATAGTGAGGGAGAGAAGAGAAACAAATTGAAGGGTGACACGCGATGAGGTAAAAGGTCTGTGTTTTGGGGTGGTTCCACCCTAATTTTTGCATTTGTTACTCGTATACATTTTTTTTTTAAATTCCTACCAGCGTTAGCATGATCCAGCAGATGCTTCAGTCGATCCATTTCCACCCTTTGCTTTCTCATGGTTTGGTTCAGCTTGTCAATCTCTGCTTGCTGCAAGTTTGATGCAGCGATCCCGGAGTCTGCGTTTTGCATTTCCTCTTGGAGCTACCAATAGATAGAATGAACAGAAAGATGAAAGGGGAGTTTAAAGTTCACCTACCCTGAGAGTCTGGGCCCTTTCACATCCTCCCTGTCAGCCCAGTCTGTGCATGTGCTGGCTGATGCTAAATCTTTGTATGTGAGAAGTTGGTTTCATTGTAAACAATTACAAACAGGAAATGAATGACTTCCCTTCCTAAATTTTGGATGCTGCACTTGTGAAAGAGACGTCAGGCGTACTAATCAAGTGATACATATACACCAGCAGCATTTAATGGTCTTTGTCAGGTCAGGCCACAATTCCACATCAGAGTCATTCAGCGCTTTGTTGTGTTAGTGAGCCGATACAGATACAACACATGTCCTCATTCTACCCTATTCTGAGCGTCATGTGACACAGCTACGAGATGCAGCCTGTAACACACACAATCCACCAATCTGTCCACTTCCGCTGTTTGTCTTGTGACAACTAGCAGCTGCAGCCTGTTACACAAGCATTCTCACCAACCCTGCTTTACAGCAGCTAGGAGCTGCACTTAGCAACAGACTCATCATTCTGTCTGTGTACACCAGTCTTTGGAGCACAGATATAGACACTTTTTTCTTCTAACAAATAGTGTCATTTACATTGTTACAAGTGAACATCCCAAAAAACTATCAAAGGACTGCAATAAATTAATGAGGAAGAACAAACACGCACACCAGTCACAGTTAGCCAGGACATTGGGCAGGGAAGTGACGTACATTAAGACCAGTCAGCAAAATTTAAAAGGAAATGTAGCCATCTTCGCCTGTATGCATCCGTTTGCTACAGAGAAAGTGAATGACCAGTAAACCATACCTGTTTTTCTGTCTCCTTCAGCAGACTCTGCAGCAGATCAATCTCTGCTTCAGCTTTTGCAAGGTCTCGAGAAGCCTGGGCTGTCTGAGAGCAGACATTTTCTGCTTCCTGCATATCCTGTTGTAAGCAAAAAACAAAACAAAACACATAACCAAAAAGGTGTGACAAATACCAATCATCAGTAATAAGACTGACTTATGCTGTGTTTTAACAAACTGGGTCCCATTTGAAAATTGTTGCCAAGGTTAAAAAATCTTGAATCTTAATAGCACCTCCTTCTGAAGGCTCTGGAAGGCTCAATCAGAATGGTAAGTAGCTTCCAGTAGTCAAGCCTCACTCATCTTATTATGTTTAGCTTGGCTGTTGGCTTACCAAAGCCATCTATCACGTTACAAAACAAGAGAATCAAAATAACATTCCGATAATGCCACCAGAAAATGTTATTGTATGCAGAACACAGTAGTGGTAAAATAGTTCCTAAATTTACGCAACAAAATATTCAGAATTGGCATTATAAATACAAAAAAACTAAACACAGGCAGATTTTGATTAAGCTCTGCTTTATGGAAAAAGAAAGAAAATCACAACTCTGGATTTCAGCCCAGTCATATACTCTAACTCAGGACCATTCTACAACTCCAACATTCAGTTTTTTAGTTGCCTCTACCCAGGGGGTCCTCTGCTCACAATCTGTTTTATTGCAACTCTGATAACTATTAAAAACAAGTCTGATGCTTGCTTGACCCACAAAGCTGGAGTGAGATTAGAGCTCAAGAACATACTTTACAAATTGTAAAAACTAAAATCTGAAAGACCCAGGCCGTGGGACCAAGTGTTCCTGATAATGGCAAATTAATCCGTTTTGGAGTTGCATTTAACATCAAAATAACTAAACTGGAAAAATTCTCTAAATCAGCTAAGCTTTTGGATCGCCTACTCTGGCCTAAAGTCTGAAATTCTCTTTGAATTCTCACTTTCGTGAATAACACTATGAGCAAGCAACATAAAAAAAAGTGTAAATGTGTGTTGTTTTTAACGCAACTTTATTGAATTGTAGTGCTCAATCCTGCATCTGGCTTTATCTGTTATTAGCAACAGTTTACAGCAGCCATTTACTGACAAGGTCATTTGCTTGTGGACCCATATTGTATTATAGAGTCCCGATTGCTTGTGGACCCATATTGTATTATAGAGTCCCGATTGCTTGTGGACCCATATTGTATTATAGAGTCCGGATTGCTTGTGGACCCATATTGTATTATAGAGTCCGGATTGCTTGTGGACCCATATTGTATTATAGAGTCCGGATTGCTTGTGGACCCATATTGTATTATAGAGTCCGGATTGCTTGTGGACCCATATTGTATTATAGAGTCCGGATTGCTTGTGGACCCATATTGTATTATAGAGTCCGGATTGCTTGTGGACCCATATTGTATTATAGAGTCCGGATTGCGTGCTTGTGGTCAGGGTAAGTCAAGACATGCTGTATCCGTCAATTCTGGAAAGCTTTTACTTTATATTCAACTATCCAGCACTCCAGACTATACTGAAACAATCTAAATAGATGCTAACCAATCTTAACCACACAGTCGCCTACCTCCATTCGCTCCTGATTTAGCTTAAGGACTGTTCCATGGAGAGACTTCAGATGATCTTTAGCATTGGAAAGTTCAGAGGCAGCCATCTTGTCGGAGATCGCCACTGCGCGTTTCAGCTCCCTCAGTTCTTGTTCTAGACTAGACAACTGTTTCTGTGCCCGAGCATCTTCTAATTTTCTCTACAGTAAGAAAGAAAGAGTTCAGCTAGTTTATTTCTATTTTATTGTGTTGCATTGTTTACAAGACACTTTGCTCCGTCTGTGAAATAACACCAGCAAGTCTTTGTAAACTATTTTTTGTAAAATTAAATATAAATATGTAAAAAAACAAAAAAAAAACTATGCATATATATTCTATTTCTAATATTTATTTTTCTTTTCTGATGTAGTTGTTTAAGGATAATGAGGATGTGGTGACAAGGGGCAGTTCTAATGTTAGAAGTTTTTTGGACACACTCCTTCTAGCTGTAATTTAGCACTCTGAGTTAGTGAAAATGTGGCTGCGTTAGGCCCACCGCAAACTTAGACTTCGGTCTCCATGAACTGTATTAGGCTTTGACAGAGATCTGTTGGTTTTTTTGTAGAACAAAGCATTGCTGATCCTCTGATTCAATAAAGCATCAGATTTAAATTTCTTACAGATGATGCTGACTAATCTGCTGTCCTTGCACCATAGTTCACGATCACTGAGTGTGCTGATGAATTATGCGGCAATCGACTGCACTATATGTACAAGTGAATTATAGTACAACAAACCTTGTCCTCTAAATCCTGCAGCTCCAGGAGGAGTTTCTCACGCTCGTCCTCAGCCTCCACGAGTTGCTGGTCTGCTAGGCCTTGGATTTCCTCCATGTTTTTTAATTTTTCATTTAGCCGGCGAATTTCATTCTCCATCTGGCGCTCCTTAGCTTCATGCTGCCTCCTTTCTGCCTGTATCTACAGCGATAAAAAAGGTGGTTCAAACTTGGCATTTTAAATTACATTATCTCACAGAAAAGATTGCTTGGTCTAGTCCTTCCATCAACTGCAAAAAAACAAACAAAGCAGTAAATATTTGTCAGTGCGGTCCTTGCGTATTTGGACAGCAGCATGTGTTTTGAGGTTTTGGCTGTGTGTTCCAGAACACGGGATATTATGACTGAAATTACATAGTGACCAACAGGCCAGAGTGTATGAAAAGTACTGTAAGTCCTACACTGAACATAATCTTAAAGTGTGTCTACCTGTCAATCACAATGCCTGTTCCTGTATAAATAAAGTTCATTTTTCACCATACACCTGGATGTTTTATATTGAAGATTTTTCCAACACAATTTATGAGTTTATCATAAAGATTCAATCTTGATGAAAAACATTTCATCTGAAATTCCATATGCTTGAGTTCAAAACAAGAAAAAATAAATAAATAAATAAAAATGGAGTCACTACTTAAATACTAATGGACTGTGTAACAAATCATTCTTTCCTTATTCTATTTCTGGCAAAGCATCATGGGAGACTGAAATCCTAAGCACTAGGAGAGTTCCGTGACGGCGACCCCCTGTAATCTTTAACATTCCACATACCCTCGCTTCAGCTGCTTTGTTGCAGGCTCTTTTATAGTCTCCGGGAGCATCCTTAGCCTTCCCTTGCAATATAGCGATTTCGTCTTGTAATCTCTGCTGCCTTTCCAAGGCCTCTCTCTTTTCCTCCTGAGCCTTTGCAAGCTGTTCGTTGATTTGTTTTTGGAGATCAGCCAGATTTTGCCCTAGAACGTCCGAGCCACTGGAACACCTACAGTGTGACAGACATTGAAAAGACATATATAAAAGTTATTAACACAAATTAGCAGAAATGCAAATGAGAGAAGAGGAGTATAGATTATTATTGACCAAAAAAGTAAGCAAATTGGAAAAACAAAACATACTACTTATTTTCATTTACTTGCAAAATTAAGCATGTAGTGCTTCTGTCTTAATTAACTCCATGTGCTCTACATCAATCACCCCTCACAGCACATAAAAGGTTATTCTCTAGATTGCAAGCTCATTTGAACAGGATACTCAATAATCACTTGTTTCTTGTTAACAATTGTAATAATTTGTCTCTCAGATGTTTTCTGACATATCCCACATTACATCGCCCTATCACATTCTACTGCGCTTTACAATTTTTAACACATTGGTAGTGTAACACAAGGGTGATGAAATTGGCAGCAAAAAAAAGCAGGTAAGTTACCTTGCAGGGAGGATATCTGGATTGGCGAATGTTATGCTGTGAATTATCAGTTGACACTGGACCCCAAGTCAGTGAGTGTAAGCTCTTTTGAGCAAAGTGCCCATCACTTTTAGTTCATGTACAAGTGATGATTTTCTACCCAATACTACTTTGTTCTAAGTGCATAATTAGAATTGAAGTGCTCATTGGAATCTGTGTTTTATAAATAAAGCAAAAAGTTAGCTGTGTATCGCTCCTTTGTGGTAAAACACTCTACCTTTGCACTGAGGAGACGATTTTATAAAACACACCTGATATTGTTACATTCTACCGCTGAGTGTTCCCCCACCTCCAACAATATTTACCTAATTTCTCCGACCCCTGTCTGCAGTTTCCGTTTCAGGTCTGCAACACGTGCGACGATCTGTTCAGGGTGCACTAAATTATCTAATGCATCGTCGAGCTGAGTCTGGAGATTTTCGACCTGCTCTTTTAGATGATGATTATCTCCCTGCGAGACAAAAAGATAAATCTAAAATAAGAAGACTATCGGTACACATTAAGGAGTCATTTTACAGAGAGAAAGATATCTAGCACCCCAGTGTTAACACAAAGCTTGTATCTTGCAAATACTGAAGTTCATCGACCAAAACAAACAGTGGTGCGTGGGAATGTTTAATATAAAACATCAAGAACAGTAATGGCTTTTGTGCACAGAGCAGCCAGAGAGGATCCTACCTGCAGTTGCTTCATTTGAGACAATAGCTTTTTGTTGTCTTTCTCCTTCTCTTCCAACAGTTGTGCCTTAGTGAGGGCATTCTCCAGCGCCTGCCGATCCTTTTCCAGCTCTGCTTGCAAAGCAGAATTCTCCATCTGAAAAAACAGCACACCCACCATCAGCATAAATTGGATATTTGTTTTCCTAATCTATCATTACATTCTGGAAGTAGTCAAAAAGCTTACTTGGCTGAGACGTTTCCATCTCTCCAGGTCTTGCTTTAACTGGTTGGCCTCTGCATCTCGAACCTTCAGCTGGTCTTCAAGCTCTGCTTCGTACTCACTGAGGTCTCCCTGAGCTTGACGAAGAGATTCGTTGAGTTTGTGTTGTTCTTGAAGGCTGCGCTCCAGATCAGAAATTTCCTGTATTGGCAAACCAGCAATATCAATTAGCCTATCCAAAGACATATTCACAGAGCGACAAAGGTCACGACAACACAATGCCCTAATTTGAACAGGTCTTTTCAAAGAGATTTGATTTGATTTTCACCACTCTGCATTGTAACTTTTCAGATATTTTAAGATTTACTAATAATCACATTAATAAGTAAAGCAGGCAACCTATGTGCATTAGGGATGGCTGTTTAGTGAGCCTGGTCTAGACCTATATTGTCTACAAATAATATAAAGCCAAGTTCAACTGTTTATTTGACTATCAATAGTGGATCTGGCACCATCTTTGTCAAAGACCTTCAGGGAATAAATATTTTATATTTTTCATGATACCAGCTCTTCAAGAAAAAAAACTTATGCAACACTGAGTTATCCACTAACCTTGGAAATGTCTGGAAGACAGAGGAAATCTAAAAGTTTTAGGTTAAACTAGATGAGTTGGAAAAACACTCGACAACTCATTGAATTACCATCTTAGCTATTCTGGAATATAATTTGCAATTTCTTGTTAAATTCAAGGTTCAGTAAACCACCCTTTGTATATTTGGATTCAGTAACACTAGTCTTAAGACCTTACCAATTACCATCTTAATAAAGTTGCCTTTTCCATAAAGTTGGTTTATAACCAACCACTTCTTCAGCAAGACTCAACATCAGAGGATTACCTGTCTCATGTTTTCAGCATCCATTGCCACAATCTCCAGTTGCTTGTTTTCTTCCTCCAGTTCTGACAGCCGTTGAAGTAAACCCTCTCTTTCAGACTGAAGTTCACGACAATCCTCGTGAGCTTGCTTGGCCTGGCCTTTAACACTTTCTAGATAGTCCTGCAGTCCAGCTATTATGCCTTCTAGATCCCTCTTTAGGGCTTCATTAGCTGCGATCTGACCTGATAGTACACGAAGAATGAGATTTGTTAACATTCAACCAACCGAGGTTAAACAAACGTACATGAAAAGAGACCACTGCGACCCAAAAACGCTGCAACCTGGGGGTCCGGTTAGTATTCCAGATATAATGGGGATATTTAAATAAACTCTGGAAAACAGTAGATAAGTTATAAAAACTGATGGCACCAAAAACCCATATTTCTGGTTTGCAATTTCACAGCTGTTGCAACAGCGATACTTTAGGGGGAGAAAATTAACATATTACTTTAGATGGCTGCCTCTCAGCTTAATTAGTGGATCCCACTCCACTTTATTCTCACCTTCCAGTTCTGCTACTTTCCCACAATGTCATTTGGATCCTATCCCCTACACACCCCACTACCTCCTGATAGTAAGCTTGTTTGAGCAAGGTCCTTATCAACCTATTATTCCTGTCAAATCTGTAAAAGGTTGTCTTGTGTATAATATTGTAAAGCACTGCAGAATAAGTCGGTGCTATATAAAATGTTAATTATTATGTTTCCCCTTTTAGCTTGGACATGGAACATTTTAGCCACCCCAAATTTCTGTATTTAAATGCGTTGTCACCACTATTTAAAGTGCAGATTCCATGATGTTCTGCATTGTGCGTGTCTCGGTGGTGACTGAAATCTGTTGTTGAATAGATACAGAGAAGTATTTTTAGAAACTCTCTGCATAATCTCCAACATGCACATTTCCTTTTAACTTCTTGAGAGTTTAATTTTTTTTCTGGATGGGGCAGACTGGAAAGGGCTCAGGGAGGACAGATACCATGTGATCAGCTGGAATCGAAAGTGTTGTGAGTAGTTTGAGGGAGTTGGGGGAGGCCGTTTTGTTTTGATGAAGATTACAGAATTTCCCCCGATATACGCTTGGGAGGGCAGTAGAATTCCATATATTATATTTCAAAGCCCACTGGCTGGATGATCGTAAGTGTTCTCTATAATATTTGAAATAATAACATAGCGTTTATATACGATAAGTGCAAACCAGGCATTAATGTCAGAATTTCAGAGGGTAGCCAGGGAGAGGTTTCTAAAGAAACCACAGCAAATTTTTTATTCTTTATTTTGTTATAGAAGGGCTGAAAAAAGAAAGTTTGGATGAATGGAGGACATGTAAAAAAGATGATTCTGTGGCGCAGCTTTAGAAATCGGCAATTGCCATGGAAACGGGAATGTTCCTGCTGATTGATAAACTTTTAGAAATTTATCCCTGAATTGCTCTTTATACAGCAGACGGCTGCCTGAGAGACATGGTAATCATTCACGGCAAATGCAGTGTCCAAGATCACCTCTCACTGCATTAGATCAAACTGAGAGAAGCAGTCATCAGTCTCACTGGAAAAGCTTACAGTCTATAGAGAAAGCTGTTTAGGTGTAATCGTATTTGGGTGAATTGACTAAAGGGGATCTGTCACTTCTCTGAAATTTACCCCACTAAATAAATACATTGCAAATCTCAGAACTGCTGGTAACCTTTTTGGGATGCTCGGTGTTCGTTTACATTTAAGTTAAAGATTTAGCAAATGACATCATAGACCTGTTCAGACAAAGTAAAGTCAGGGCAAACACTGCAAATGCAGAGAAACACTATAAACATTGTCTAACTTCTCCATTTCTCGGTATACTTTCCCTGCGCTGACTGCTGGAGTTTATAACAATGATTAATAGAGAGCTAAAATGGAAGCGCCCTGTTACAGGAGTTAAAGAGTTTCTACATTTAATTTCATTTTTCAGATTTTAAAAATATATATTTGTTAAACATAGGAATTGGGAAACATATGATGAAAAAAATCCTGGGATGTGAGTTTACCTTTAAACAAACTGTCTTGGCTGTCTCATAAAATGCGTGAGAGGAAATTTCATTTTAAGATCCCCCACGTAAAACGTCACACAAGCATGTATTTTCCTGTACAGGAAACGGTGTGTTAGGAACAAAGTCTACTCCCAATTTTTCAAATGACAACATCTGCGGCGGCAGCCTTTGGGTAGCTAGGCCTTCATTGGATAAGGATATTCATTGGCTGCTGAGTTTGATCCTCTATAAAAGCAGGATTGACAATTAAGGCTAAAATAAAGGAAACTATAAGGTCTCCAGCCCACCTACGTAAACATGGCGCAGGTAAACGTAGGACCTCGAGAAATCATAAAGGGGTTAATGGAGTGTTTATGTACAGTTTATAAATTAGTAACAAAAGCTACCATTAAAAATGTAACTCAGGGATCTTCCAAAATGCTAACCCAATTTAAAAGCCACTCGTGACGATTTTATGTATTTGCCAGTGTTCACAGAAACCTTACATTGCCAGGAGCCAGGACTATTTGTCACAGTCACCTGTATTGATGTACAAACTATTTTATTTATTAGGTACCAAGACGCTTGACTTGCAGAATGGGTCACAAAGTTAACTGTACACCTGAAGATTAAGTCGAGTCGCCTGTTACAGACATCCAAACGGCTGAGAATCATTTGCCAAAAATATGCCCAGCCACGTCACAGATACACATAGAATATTCTTTATTTATGTGTGTTTAATACATTCTATATTTAACTTTATTTACATTTGTGAGCTGTGCCAAGCACTTCCTAAGTACTGTGTCAGCTTTTAAAGGGCTTTGGCAATGTTCCATGTGAGTGCCAATGCTTGTGGGTTACCCATAGAAATGTCACGCTGTATAATTGTGGTTCTTGTACAGTTTTCAAGACCATTACCATCTGCCAAACAAGCAGCCAGTTCTACCTACCCTCAGTGAGCTGCTGCTCCAGATCTTTAATCTCTTCCGTTTCTTTGGCTATTCTGGAAAGCATCTCGTCCAGACGACCTTCAAGCTTCTGGTACTGCTGGGTCATCATGTCCAGCTGCTGTTCTTTGCCGGCCTTCTGGGCCTTCACATGGGACTGGGAAACAGAAAGGATATGCTTTAATAATTAAAAGGAAAAAAAAAAAATCCTGAAAAATAGTTAGTTAGTCGAATAAGAGGGAAGAAAATAAAATGATATTCACCCAGGAAATGTATTTATCTGATATTTGCGGCAGTAATAACATCTCAGTACCACAGTTAAGAAGATGTTAATTATTAATCATACGAAAGACAAGTCAATAAAATGGATCAGGTAGAATGAGCAGAAAGCCAGATGCTTGTGTTTACACTGTTTAAAGGGCCCGGGGAAAGGAACAGAGTAAAAGAATATGAATAATACACAAAAACGCCTAAAAACTATTTTGTTGCCATGACACTCCTAGAACACCTGACAGAATACACTAAATTATCACACAGCATTGGTACGCTATATAGTTTGATCCAAATGTTCTGCCCCTTGTTTTTAAATTCAAGACAGATTAACTAAATGCCTAGCCATAGTTGGTTAGTTGCTTTGTGCTACTGGCTTTGTCATGTGGCTAAGGCTACAAATAAAACGTGTTAATGCTGTGTCTACAGCCAGGCATTCATTAGATGAGCAAAGATGTTCTGCATTGATTTAAGGAAATCCCATATATAAAGAAGCACAAGGCTCGTGTCGGATTCTGTACCAAATGGTAGAAATTTTCCCATCTTACAGGCTTGCTGCTTTTAAAGTGAACCTGTTGCTCTCAAATGTGTGGATGACAAGGTCAGATTCAAGTACGTCATAAAATGCAGTGTGGCACTGCACAATCCGTGGCACTTGCTGCAAGTTGGGCAATGTGAGATGGCATGCACAAATACCCTCTGAGGTCACCATGCTCACAGCCAATATCACTATTCTGGAGTCAACTGTGCATAAACGAATCTTGAAAGCAAATACGACATGTTATCGTTACATTTGCTGGCAATATGGCAGACGCTACAAGGCTCAAAATGTTATGCTGTATAGAGTGCCACTGTGTCTTTTATACAATTATGCACTTTACATGCAGAGTTTGAGAATGTCACTTAAACACGTCACACTGTTGCACACACTAGAAATATGCCACCTATGTCCTATGCGCAGAGCAGGTGCAATGCATCTACAGAAGTGTCAGTGTGACATTGTGATTAATGCCTCTGCTGTGCTCAGAGGGGACAGGATGCGGACAACTAAAAGAAAGGGAAACAGAATTGATTGACTTTGCAGCACTATGACACCACGTACAACAACAGGGATTAAAAGGTTAAATGGGTTAAAGAGGCTGTAAGCAAGCTTAAAGGTTTGGTATCAACAAACTGACAAATGGCACCAATCTTCCTCCACCATAACCGCAAGTCTATAAATACACAGTATATGTATTTACACATATTTTATTTATATACTTTACAGATGCAATTACAATATTACAAAACAAGCAAAACGGCTAGATCATTTTTTTAATAAACAAAAAGTCATCACTGCACCTCAATTCACGTCTGTTAGAAAAAGTACCTGTCCTAAATCTTTTAGTCCCCAATAATACAAAGTTAAGCACAGCAAGACACACAATAAATATAAAACGTGGCAGAGCAGCAAAATAAAAAATAAAAAAAACAAAAAAATAAAAAACTTACAACATTGTTGGCTTCAGCAGACATGGGAGAAACCCCACCCTCATGATTTAACTTGTAGTGGAAAATATAAAAATGATACTTTTAGTAAGAGGTCGGAAAAGTTAAGCGTTTCCTCATTTTGGATTCTTTACATTGCAGAGCCATCTGTGAAACGTTCAGCTCATTGTGAAATGGCCGGTTGGGAAGCAGCAAGCACCCTGGCTGCAAGAAAGCCCTCTCTTTGTCAGCGTTCGTAGGCAGAGGAAGCTGGGCTGTATCAGAGCTCTGTTCCCCCTTGCTCAACTCCCTTGAAGGTTTGAAATCACAACACAGGAAGCAGAGCAATCCGACCAACCAAACGCAGGCTTTGTAACTGCCAGATCTCCTCTGTGAGACAGACAAGTCTATCTTCTAACAAGACAACTTCTCTTTATTGCAACATGTAGCAACAATGCAGCAGCTAGGCAGAACCCCTGGCTGCTGAGACAGATTTGAGTAATTATAGCTAAACAACAAAATAAAACTGTGTGAAAAAAAAAATGAATTATTTATGTTACAATGTAATGCATTGTGTATGGAATAGTTTGGTATAATTGTTCCCTTGTGCTGTTTACACTAGTTGGTCCCAGAAGATCTCATTAGTCAGGGAGGAGATGACTTTAGATCTAATTTCCTCTGTGTTGGTAAACAATATGATGTAACACTACACAAGACATGAAATAAAAAGGGGCATTAAAAAAAATTAAATGGGACTATTTTTTGCATTTAGCACTAGTTGTAATTGATTGAACAAAAAAGATGTTCAGAAATGTCATAACTTCATATACATGTATTTATTTTACAAAACAGAATTATTTAAGCACGCTTGCTAAATTCATGTAAATAAATAAAATCCAGGGTAATTTTTTTTTTTTTTTACACACCCACATTCATTTTCCGTGAGCATATCTATTCCCGTTTTTTTGATGGTGGCATAAATTATTCCTTACTGGCTAAAGCACATGTAAGCGCAATAAGATAGACCAAGCTTTTTTTTCACAAGAAGTTCCATCAGGCTTTTTACTGCATGGTTGGTGCATTAGTTTTTGTAAAGAACAGTTTCACTCTATTGTGTTGGTCCCCTTATCTCAAAACCGAGCCGGGATAAATCATTCCTGACCTGGTCGACAGCAGTGGGAGTTATACTCCTGAAGAATAGCTGCTATTTTAATTTGGCCCTCTCCCAATAATGTTCAGTATGGAGAGGAGCTGGTAGGACGAGAGAATCATCCTGTTTCTATCCATCTCCTATCCCGGCATGTCAATATCAGGAAGGTAGAGGACTAATAAAGTGAAGATGCTTTTTAAGAGTAATAATATATATATAAAAAACCACAAAAAAAAACCACAAGCAATAAATAAAAATACCCAATCCCAATTCATCTTGTTGTGGCACTATTTCCCCATACTACACAATGGGATTTTGGCTGTAGTTAGTGTCTGATGACTTCAGAAATAGTAAGAATATCTTCCCCTATGGTTATACTCCACTTTACCTCCACTATACTTCCTCTAGTTCTAGGGTGGCCAAATGATACCATCTGTAATTCTGGCAAAGCATCACAGGAGCTGTAGTTCTGGCCACTCTTGTTCTATGATGTATGCTTTTTTTAAGCACCTGTTTTGTTTTATTAGTAAAGAGCTACAGAATCTGTAAGTGCTCTAAAAATATCAAGCTAATTAATACCTGACCTCAAACCTATCCAACCTGATCACCGACCCTGGACCTCTTTGTATATAAACAAACCACTTCCTCGGTCTATTCTACACTGCCAGTGCACCCATGATCGCCCACACGTGGCTAGTTATCCATGCAGTCATATGAACAGTTTATACTTATTTATTATAGTATGCATTAGACTTACAGGATTTTGCAACAACTTTTACAGACTACTTGTGCTGAATACCTGTGTGCTGTTCTTAATGGAAATTAATTAAAGGCACATTTCCTATCAAAAATAAAGGGCAAATTTGTACACCATGTAAGCATTGAACTAAAATAATTGAGGGAGGCATCAATAAATAAAATATATTGACAAGAAAAAAAGTAAACACACTTTTTTCTTCTCTAATCATCTATTATGAGAGTAAAATGCCCCATGTGTGCTGACAGTAAGCAGGAGCGCTAAAGGAGGGAATTGTGGGAAATACATTCTAGGCGAGGAGAACAGGTTGGCAGGCGGGCAAAGATCACTTCGAACTTGCACAAGTGCTGCCACCCCCCGCCCCCAGTACATTCTTCAACAGTGTTTAATAGGGTGAGCAAAAGAGGAACTGCTAAAGAAAAGGTGAACATGGCACTTTAATTATACATACTAAGGGACACAACATGTATTCTCAGCAGTTTAATTTAAAAAAAAAAAATATATATATATATTTTTTTAAATAATTGTATATAATATATTCTAATAAGACTCTGTGGCAACTTACATGGGACTCTTTAGAGAATCTTCTCATGGGGATAGAGGAGGGTGTCCAAGTAGCTATCTAAACTAGATCTATGACAGTAATGCATACTCCCATTCTTCAGAAAGCAACACGTAAAACATAAAATATATATGACCTGGTTTATTGGGTGGTCCACTGGGCTAATTGATAATATAGACTACAGAGTTGCATTCCGATGACAGAATAGATGCACAATGAGCAGACACATCATACAAGTAGTTAGAAGTCCAAGAGTACAGGAAGACAGTTGGAGGATTACAGTAAGAAGGAACTAAACATTATAGGGAGAGGTAGTCAAGCTATGCTCGGACACCCAGGAGAGAAGAGGGTGCATTCTCTATACACAGAGACAGACATTACTAATGGAATGTGTATCATGGTAAGCATTAGAAAGGATAGAAAGCCAAAATAAATCTTTAATTAAAAATAAACATTCAGGGTTATAAGAAGAAGGCAAACGGATGGATACAATTCAGCACTTGTGACTCCCTTCCTTGGGTAAAGAAAAAAAGATTAAACCAACCGGGCTTTGGCACTTTGGGTAAGGCAAGGAATGTGTGAATTTCTGGTACATATCTTCCTGTATTTTGTATGTGGCTGGACCGAACTATGCAACATGTCAACAATGAATATTGAGCAATTCAACTTTGGTACCCTGTGTGCATGTACTGCTCTGACCTCATATAAAGAACACAATGACTATTGCATTAAAAACACATTTTCATAATATCCTTGCATAAAATATACAGGTTTTTAAACTCGAGCACGGACATGATTTCCATTTAATTGAAGAAAGACGAGCTCACTATTACATTCACCATGTATCAGAAATGTATTCAGAAAATCATTTTAGTATTGTTCGTGTCCAAAAGATTCAAGAACCCACTTTCCCGGATTAACTATTTTGCTCAAAATTTGAAATTTCCCTTCTCAATTGTTGACCAAGCCCAGTTTAGTGGTTACATCAATATTACTGTGGTTTTAACAGTTAGAGGCATTGAACAATTAAAAACAAAGTGATCAATAATGTAAAAAGGTGCACACTGCTGCACTCCAATTAAAACAAAACCGGATATATAGTGAACTAAACAGAATTGTAATATGTAGGCAGTTTCAAAATAAAACCTCAGTCAGACCTTGAAAATACAATCTCTAACAGTCATTGGTGAGTAGATATTTAGCCCTTGTTAGTGTGGGTAATGGTAAACCGCAGTGTAGGACTTGAAATCTTGATCCCTGTTTTCGGCTATAGTCACAACTTTGTTATTTTGCCTAAATTAGTTTTCAATTCACTACACTGTGGTGTTTAGTGAATAAATCCCGCATATGGAGTTTATCTTTTTCTCCCACGTGACCTTATATTCTCACATTATATGGATTAATGTAAAATCATTATGTATTCTCAATGCAGCCACGCAGCCCCATATTCTGCTGATTGAATGTTTTGGGAGGTCGTTACTGCGGAGTGAGGCACAAGGTAAGAATTGTGCAGGGCCTTGCACAACCCAGAGCAATGAAGGTTTGTACTTGGACTGGTATTGCCCAATCGCAATGCTCTTCATCCTAAACTGGCACACTGGGGTAATTTCCAGGAAAATGCAGTATTTGTGATTGACCAAAAAGTGATACATGTGTATGAATTAACCAGAATATTTACAAGTGGCAGCAGGATGAGATAAAACAGTGCTAGTGATATTCCTAACATGTACCACTGTAAGTAGCAGTGAGTTTTGCGCACAAAAAGGCCAATCGTTGGCTAACCTAGGCTAATTGCTGCCAGCCATCCCATGGCAAAAAGCAGATATGATGCTTGGAGTATCTTTACTGTAAGACTGTTTCAACACAACCTTAAATCTGAAGATTGATACAAATAAATAAATAAAAAAAACATTTATAGAAAGGGAAAAATGGAAGTTTGAACGCTGAGGTTCAAGGCGGAAATTCCCTTTGCATACAGTTACAACCCAATAAGCGATCAATGTCAATCGGTTTCTAAAACACTTACATGTTGTGGATCCTGGGGATTGAGAGAGTCCAGTTTTCTTTGCAGGTCTTCGATTTCCTTCTGCTTCTTCCTAATTTCTTCCCTCTGCCAGTCCATCTGGTTTTCTAACTCCTGGGCTTCCTGGCGCAGATCATTTAACAGCTGGATTTTGCTTCCTAATTGTTGCCGAAGTTTTTCCTTTTCTGCCTCTGAAATCTACAGGAGGAAAACAAACAATTTGTCTTTACAGCATTTCATAAACATGACTTTTCCGTGGGTCCAGTCTGATCATTACTTTCATGAATATGTCCATGGTGCCTAGAATGAGATTACTCCCATGTTTTCATGTCCAGTTACAATCCAGCATGCCTTGCTGCATTAGTCCAACTGCGCAGGGGAGTTTGCATCTGGGTTAAAACCTACCTTTTTCTTAGCAACAGCATCTTCCAAATCTTTTAGATCTTCGGTTGCCTTTAAAATCTGTTCTTCTGCTCTTACTATTTGTTGGTGTAGTTCTGACAATCTTGTTTGCGCTGTCAAAAGAATACATGGAAACATGAGCACAGATTTTCACATTAGCATAACAAATAAGTCAAACATCTTCAGTTAATCAACAGTCTGAACTTCAGGGACAACTGCAGAATTTACTGCTAAGTATAAGAGTTTCAGTGGGCTAGAGGTCAGATTTGAAGTAGAAAAAAAAAAAAAAACCCCAATCCTCCCCCTCGACCACTAGTTTGTAATAACCTCACAGCAAATAAATATTGCTTATGTTCACCTTCCCCCTTCCTCCCCCACAGAGGGAACATGCTGCAATGAGCTAAGCCCAGCACCACCAAACTTAGCTCAGAACACAGAGCTTCCAGCTGAGAATTGACCCCAGGTAAGAAGTTATACCATTTTAAAATGGTTTGACAATTTACCTTGGAGAGAAGGGGAACCGGGCCACTTCTGGCACTATAACCACTACAGTGTTCTGTAGTAGTTATGGTGCTTTGAGTGTTCCTTTAAGCTTTTGAGGTCACTAATGAATAAACCAATAAAGTTATTGTCTTGCAATTAACGTAGACAGAAGCTGCTTGCTTCAATAAAAAATAAATAGACTGTTGGTTTGCCATCTAGAGCAGTGAGCAAGACCCTGCTATGACAGGCGTATTTGGGGTCTGGAGTAGAATTCAGTAAATTGTTTTACCTGCAGTTCCATATGCAGCCACAAGGGTGCACATGTTACAAACGCTGGCTTGCATGCACTCCTTCACCTTTACCCTTTTAATAAGTCCACGACATATGCAATTTTTATTCCATTTCAACATTCATAGCAGACAATATTTAGACATAATGCTCGTATTTTAGCACTCACTTATCTACTTAATCTTTTCTTTGATACAAAAGTAGCATTTTATTTTTTAATTTAAATACAATATGAAATGCTGTGGCAGGCTAGAGTGGGTCCTTTGTAATATAAAAGCATACAAAAATAAAGAACTGGGATTTATGGATCTTGTGAATCATCCTGTGTGCAGCAGTCTGCAGAATTACTAACCCTGATTGGACATGGCTGTGACTGGAATCTCTCTCTGGGCAGTCGAGACCTGAGAATTTCGGGTGCCTTTTTGACACTGCTGTACTATAACAAATAACTGCAGTTATAAGTCACTCTGCCCAAGGACAGATTTCCCACAAGGCTGCCAAGGCCATGGATTTACAGCATTATGGTCAGTGGGGAGATCAAAGATGATGGCAAGGGGGCCCATAAAACTTGTAGTCTGCACCTCCAGACCACATATGTTGCTTCTGCGAGCCTTGCCGCGGGTTACCATTGCAATACACTGCCAAAAACGAGTAATGCGAGTGGCCTGCATCCACAAGAGGTGCAGACCAGATGAAGCACCCAGTGTACAACCTGGAGTCAGTATTCCACTCACCTTGGCACAAGGTAAGGAGAGGGAGGCGGATACATTCGTTTTTGGTAAAATACACTCCTTCTGAAAGTGTATTGCAATGGTAAACCACGGCAAGACTCGCAGAAACAATATATGTGGTCTGGAGGTGCAGACTACAAGTTTTCTGGGCCCCCTTGCCATCAAAATGTTCTTTTTCATTAAGAAAGATCTTTGGTCCCCCCCTACAACCATAATATCCTGAGTCCATGGCCTTGGCAGCGGCTTATAACTGCAGTTATTTGTTATAACATCCCTACCACCAGTCCAACGCACATCATAGCCCTCAACATTCCTCCCACAAACACACACTACAACACCTATTAACCTATCCCTACCAAACGGACACATATCAACCCCTCTTCCAGCCCTGTCCAACGTTTGCCTCTGTTGTCCCACTTATCTAACCACCCACCTAGTTATAGTCGGCATCCAATTATACTTCAAAATAGTCACATTAACACATTCGGATACCCTAAACTAGTTGCAACCATTCAATCACATACAACAAAACTATATATAAAATTTATATATCCAAAGGGTTGGGGAGAGGTGGGTTGGCATTAAGAAAACTGACATTGGAACAGCATGAATTGTAAATTTGGTCCTCAGTATGCAAAGGATACGTTGCACTAAAACAATAATGTAAAGTTGACATGATGCTTAGAGTGACCTTTAAATGTATAGATAATGATTTTTGTTTGTTTGTTAATGGAGGTACACATTACTGCGTGACGGCACATGCAAATATAGCAGCTTCTTCACAAGAAGCTGTGGAGCAGGAAGGGACCAGTATAATATTATAATAATGAGAGCTCTAGTACAAGGACGTAGAAGGGTAGGGCAATCATAAGCCTCCTCTCGTGACCATTGTCTATGAGGTGGTGGGCTTCTACGTGCAGAGAGTTTTGCAGGTCGCTAAGGGTCTAATGTGCAGGAACACAATGACAGGTGATCTGGCAACATAACATCTCTGTTTCAGGACATGGAGAGTCCCTGTAATAACAAATATATAAATATGTAACCAGAGGTTTTTTTCATTTTAAATACCCGCTTGTATATTTTTCTCTTTATCCTCTAAGTCTATATCGAGAGTTGTGTGAATTCTGGCAGAGATCTGTTTATTTCTAATTTGATCGTCACCATCCATTTCAAGCTTCCCGACGTGGAGGGGCTGTGCGGCGTTTGCAATAAAGCCTTCTTGAGCATACAGATTCCTTTTGTATCTGGCTTTTCCGATGTAAGGACTTTCTCCTGGGGCTTCTTCAACCTCAACGTTCTATAAATTAAAAAAACAAAACAAAACACACAAAAACATTTCACAGATTAATATTTACGTACCACCCCAACACAAGTTTGTAGATAAAAAGGTAGTCTACATCTGACTGAGAGTACACAGAGACATTTACGTAGTTATGTAGCAAGCTGACATTTTTGCTCTTCAATTTTACACAAGGAAACAAAATTTGACTATTGCATCATGGACTATGGAGGAAATCAGAAATGCTACAGAACATTTAAAAATAATATACGAAAATAGGTGAAAAGCCAAATGGCAGGGTTCCTTCTGTTGCCATTAACAAAGTCTCATGGAAACACTTTAGGGGGAAGGTTGCTATCCCTTTCAAAATCAAATGATAAAGATTAAAAATACATAGCATATCCTTTTTTTTTTTTTTTTTTTTTACACGATAAGAGTAATTATGTGCCCATTTTATGTAGAATTACCTCTGGAGACATGTATCCCATCGGTTCGAATTTGGCATCGATTTTGTAGAACGCCAGTTCCTGCTCTAGCTCGTACTGCTTTTGGCATGCACGCGTTAGCTCTAAGGTCTTCTGCTTCAGCTAAAAAGTTGTTAAATTAAAAGTACTGATTATTACATTGAAAAAAGGATGTTCTGTTAATTTTGTATACAAGCGTCAAAAACATGTAACCCCCCTGAAAGCCAAAAGAGTTTCATGCATCACAAGAAAATCCTTGTGCTTATCTCCCGGCACTCAATGGGCCAACATATCAAAACACACAAACATATAGGAATGGAAACATTGCTGTAAACAACACCAACACAATTGACCATATACAGTAACAATACAGCTCATTAATACATAGGTAGGAATAAAAACAGAGTTATGGAGTGTTTGGCCAGGAACTTATTTAACATCTTAAGGGTGTTAGGACGTTCAAGCCATACAGAAAAGAGAAGGGTATAAAGAAGTAAGGACGGCATGAAACATGATGTAGTTTTGGTGCGAGCAGGGCTAAATCCGTACTGGAAACAAGGAACCCAGTTATCAATCGATATCTGGGACTCCCCGCTGTCACCTGTGGCTAGTGAAAGTCAAGAGGACTCGAGCACATGCTACATGTCTAAGGGATTGATCAAGGCACAGAGGGGCAATAAAACTAATTTTTATGATTATTTGTGTGAAAATCATTGAACCAAAGGACTGGATCCTGTGAATATTCATGGCATGGCAGCGTGTAAAAGGTGATGGAATTTATCTGTTATTTGTTATTATTATCGTCGTTATTGTTTTTTGGGTTTTTTAAATCTGACATTAACGAATACCCTGCGGGTAAAAAATCACAGATTTTGTTCCATGCATTCATTAAAGAGTTAGCATTTACTGTTCCTTTAACTTACAGAAAGATAGACTGACTGGGGCTTTAAGAATAATGTTGACAGTGTGCTCTTTGGTACGTTAATTGTTAATATTTAATGACTTCTGTAGGACAGTCTAGACACTGAACACAAACAATTACTGTAAAGCATGAGAAGCAAAATAGAAAGATTGCTAAACTGGTTATTAAGGACATTAGTAGATTTAATTATTATTTTTTCCCCACATGGATCTATATATTGTTTGAACAGCACAGGCAGTCACGGAGCCATGATATTCAGCAATTGAGAGATAGTATGCGTGTGTGGGTCTATCCCAGCTTAGAGGAAATGAGCTATTTCATGCCTGGATACATGTACTTTGGGTTAAGCAGAGGAAATCAAACAGTCAGCAAATAAAAACTTGTGTAAGAATCACTGTTACCTTACACAGTGCTGACTTGCAATTAAGGTGTGATGTTTTAATAAAGCTAAGAAAAAAATAATAATACAAGATTTGCCCTTCCACCCAGCTCAGTTACATATGATTTGATAGAATAATGCAAAGAGCGAATCAAAAGCCCATTTCAATGCGTTCATCTAAAGATGTATTTAAAAAAAAAACAAGTTAGTTTTCTTTAGGGTTTTTAAAAACCAGAACCAACACTGAAAGCGACAAAAATTTCAAAAACATTATTTCAAGAAAGCAGTTCATGCCAATAGAAATATTGAAGGGACAATAAAGATATACAAAAATAGAGCATTTCTAGCTTGCATGAACACAAATCTAATGTAGAATCAGGTCTCTGGCTTTTAGGGTATTGTTTTGGGGCTCAACTTCACAGATAGATCGGTCATTCTGTGCCAGAGACGTGACTCAGGCAGCTTGGGACTCTGTTCCGGACGGCCTAACCATTTCTATTTATATGAACTGTCTAATCTAAGTATGTTAATATTCTTTAAAGTAGAGAACTTTATTTTATTTTTGCATTGTGCTTTTAAATCTTTAAAGTGGTGAAATTCAACATAATTATTATTATTTATAATGTGCCAACAAATTCTGTAGCGCTATATAATAGGTGGACTAACAGAAATGTACTTGTAACAAAACGAGTTGGACGCACAGGAAAGGAATGTGTTGATGGCCCTGCTCAATCTAGCTTGCATTCTAGAGGGTACCTAATGGATGTGCATTAAAAGCGACACGGTCTTGCCAAACTTACCTTTTTCCTATTGTTTCCTCTTCTCTTCGTCTCTCAGAGTCTATTCTTTTCTTCATTTCTGATCTAGTTTTCTTTAAAATATAAGACAAGATAGGGACTATTTGTCTTATGTATTTTTCCTACGCCTGACTTTCTCTGACCCAAGGAGGAGCTTAAGTCAGCTCCATTTAATGTGCCAAGAAGAAGGGTGAGTATTTCATCTGACACAGGAAATGAAACGACTTAAAGGACCACTATAGTGCCAGAAATACAAACTAGTTTTTCTGGCACTATAGTGCCCTGAGGGTGCCCCCACCCTCTGGGTCCCACTCCCGCCGTGCTGAAAGGGGAGGAAGGGAGTTAAACACTCACCTTTCTCCAGCGCCGGGCTCCCTCGGCGCTGGGGACTCTCCTCCTCCTTCGGTCATCATCGGCTGAATTTGCATGCGCAGCAAGAGCCGCGCGCGCATCCAGCCAGTCCATAGAAAAGCATTCTCAATGCTTTCCTATGGACGCTGGCGTCTTCTCACTGTGAAAAATCACAGTGAGAAGCACGGAAGCGCCTCTGGATTAACCCTAATGTAAACATAGCAGTTTCTCCGAAACTGCTATGTTTACAGCAGGCAGGGTTAATCCTAGATGGACCTGGCACCCAGACCACTTCATTAAGCTGAAGTGGTCTGGGTGCCTATAGTGGTCCTTTAACCCCTTAAGGACACATGACATGTGTGACAGGTCATGATTCCCTTTTATTCCAGAAGTTTGGTTCTTAAGGGGTTAAGCTCCTCCTTTGGTCAAAGAAAGTCAGGTGTAGGAAAAATACATAAGACAAAGTAGTCCCTACTTTATTTTATGTTTTAAAGAAAACTAGACGAGAAAGGAATAAAAGAAGAACAGATTCTGAGAGAGCAAAAGAAGAGAAAACAATAGGGAAAAGGTTCAGCGTGACAGTGCCACTTTAACTCAACAGCCATTCCTCAATTCTAATCGAATATAGAACAAATCATCTTAATTTTAAAACAGGTTGGAGAGTTGGTTGGAAAAAAAAATAAAAATGAAATATATAATGCACATGTTCGTTTCCTCATTGGAGATATATATGACTTCTCATAGCGGGTTTACTAGAATAAAGTACAGACAAAGCCAAAAGTGCCCCATGTACGTTTTGCTAAATAACAGTAGGTGCACTTTTCATTTTTTAGCACACACAGTCAGACAATTCTAGGACTTGTTGGGTTACTGCTATGATCATGTGATCCAGTCCTGTATCCATATAGTGTACCTCACAGTAAGCATGCAGGATTGCTCCATCTGGGCGCACATTGCAAGGCTGATGGGAGGAAAGGTTACAGATGACAACCAAAAATTCACAGCAGCTGAGATTCCATGCAAAATAACAATAAAACAGTTACAAACAATACGCTGGGATAGTCGTCCATCATGCAGCCACATTAGAGGGTATGATGCACAACATGGGATTACAGAGGTGCACACATCATGCTACCAATATGGGGGTGGAATGGGATCCACATTAGACAGACTAATACCTTTCGAGAGGAACACAGGCCGACTGAAGAAGGAGCTAAGAAATACCATGAAAAACGCTATAAGGAAAAAAAAGGAAAGGAAAAAGGGACCAAGAAAACTACAATCAAGAGAAGGTTATGTTAAATTAAAAACAATGCTTTAAAGGTAAATTTAAGTGATCACATATGGTATTGAACTCCGTATAACAAATCAAAATTGTAGGATACAGTTTTCTCGACAGGTTGCACACATGAAATTCGTCAGTAGGAGGCATAGCACATTTACTGTGTACGTTAGAATTTCCAACAGGCAGTCCCAACCAACCGTAAATGACATCTCCAATGATGCAGTCAGTCTACAGGCAGGAAATTAAGTGTGCTCACACAATTTCTACCCCTGGCCAGTCGCAGTCCAAAATAGCTTCTGATCTGTTAAAATGCTACTACATTTATAAAGAAAGTGAGCCTGAACAACAATATGGCAAATATGAAATACGGCCAATAACTGTACCCATAGTCTGCAACCAAGGTCCAAGTTCTCCCTCTACCATCACCGTATCACAGTTGTTCACACACTACCTTCATTTTAGATTAGTGGACGCACATCCCACATATTACACAGCAGACTCGTGTTGGGAGAACTGCTCCTACAGATATCTTTTATATTCAGTTTTGCATGCTTAAACTCTATTTAGGTCCAGTTATATTGCTTATTGTCATTACAATATGGTCCTTGCATCCCCTTGTGCACAGAAAGAAATGCCACGCTTTAACATTGCCAGTTCTACACAGGTCTGCGGTCACTAAATGAGTTGGATAATACATTTCACTGGATCTTTAGAGACAAGACAATGATGCCATAGACCAGCAGCGGTCCTAAAGAGGCTAATTTTAATCTAGAACCTTGGATAGTTTAGCTGAAACCTCTAACAAATCTAGGAATAAAATAGAAGAAAATTCAGCAATTCATAACACAATATCCCTTCTAATGTGGGATTGCACTCTAAGTGAGAGCGAATAACCAGCCCAGTACTTACTTGTACAATTGGAAATAGCTCACAGTCATGCTTTCCTGGTACTGTGTACAGTTCCATGATCTTAGCTGCTGCCTCTCTGTTCAGTAAATTAAGAGACTGAAACGCTATATATCTGTGTTGTGTGAGTAGTACCAGCTGAACCCACTGAGAGGCCATCATGATTGCTTGGGATGGCTGTATCCCTCTCGTGCAGGATTTGTCAGGATTTCAGGTCTAAACTGCCTTTTAGGCTAAGGCTGGGATCAGTCTAACATGTAAATAATATAGGCTCTCTCAATAACGCCAAATGTGACATATAACAAGTGAGAAGAGAGTGTGAAATAACTAAATGATAAGCGATTTGCCGGTTCTCAATGTTCTCTCTCAATGCATTAAAGCAAAAGATCTAGTTCAAACTTCACACAAGATGATCACACTAATTATAAATATGTGAACAATTTTTAATATGACAAGCACATCTTTCCTAACATTAAGCAGACATGGCCAAGACTCATTCTCCTGCAGTGTTAATTAAAATACATCTAATTTTAACTGCAGCTGTATCTGTGACCGTCATACATCACACGTACAGACTGAGGAAGCATGATCTCATTGAGCAACAAAACAAAGACAGGCCTCTTCCTAACAGAATTGATTTGCATCACTCCTGGCTGGCTGTTAAAAGAGTCGATATGTAAGCCTGGTTATTGGTAACGCTGAATTTAAAGGCAAAATATCACTGGTTTGTTATTCTTTAGTTTATTATTTAAATCTTAATGCTAAATGATAAATTTAAATAAATAAAAGCGTGGAGTGTTTCGAAAAAAGGGTCTGTTTGAATAAAAGTCATTTTTAAATCAGTTTTTCAGTTATTTATTTTACATAAACAAGTCTTTTGGATTTCTGATTGGTGCAATCACTATAATGATATAGCCTTAGTCACTCAATAGGAGATGGTAATCATGATAGTCCTTTAAAGTCACCTGTCGAGATGGTGTTAAGCATTGGGTAGCCTACAGTCGGTAGACTTGGATCTGCACATAAAACCACAAATGTAAAAATGAAACACAGAACTAGTATTCTACTACACAAAGTATGACACACTGCATATGTGTTAAATTGAGGATAAGGAGCAAAATATTCTTGTGACTTGACTTTATGTGACTCTACATGCAGCAACACACATATAGAGGAAAGAAAATGTCAAAAGAAGGAATTTGAAGAAATTGAAATTAAGGGATTAAGTGAATAGATACTGTGAGAAATATAAACCATGGTCACTAACCTAATGAATGAAAAGGAAACCATGCGTTAAATAGGAATGCACAAAATCGAAAAAACAGACATATTGTGGTAAATCTGCGTCATCAACGCAGTCATAGAGGGATGGTCTCTGGGAAAGGTCCCAGCTTATGTCAAACCAGTTGATCTTGAACCAGCACCAGGTCTCTAAAGGCAACGTAAGTCCTATATTGATCTGTTATGGTTCTGTTGCTTAGAGTGCACCTTTAATTCTGATATAAGAAACATGTTGCTTGTTGATAAGGGGGGTTGATTCAGGTTTGTGGGATGCAGTCATTCCTACATCACCATTTAGGATGGCAATATAATTGTCTACTATAAAAGTGATAACTCATTAACGGTTTGGTGCATTCCCAGGATTCATGAAAGGAAGGAAGGAGGGGGGGGAAGGTATGGTTAAGTGTCACAACCAAAGTGCAGCCTACTTTTGATTCCACGGTGTTAATGCTGCTATAAATGCCAGAACAAAGAAATAGTCAGTTGCATATAATTTTTTTTTTTTTTGAAAACACACGCACACATAACAAAAAAAACCCCAAACAAGTAAAAACTTGTAATCTGGAATAGTTCAGTGAATGTCAGTGAGGTGCCCTCCGATACGGATTCCTATTGAAATTTGCAGTGAAGGGAAGGAGAGGACTCACAAGAATTTGTGGCATTAAGATGGCATAGCAGCCAATGTCTTGTAAAACGACATCCTATTAGTGCGTACAGGGATTACATATACAGCTGTGAATCTTAAGGGTATAATCTATTACTAAAAGGGGTACGGTATTAAAATGAAACACAGAAACACAAGGCAAGTGCCTTGAAAGTTAAATAATTTATGGTAACAGAACATAAGCAGTCCTTAATCAAAAGGATGCCAAAGTCAGATTATATTGTGGGTTAGGAAATTCAAGGAGAGGACTCACAAGAATTTAAGGCATTAAGATGGAGTAACAGCCAGTGTCTTGTAAAAAGACGTCCTATTAGTGCGTACAGGGATTACATATACAGCTGTGAATCTTAAGGGTATAATCTATTACTAAAAGGGGTACAATATTAGAATGAAACACAAACACAAGGCAAGTGCCTTGAAAGTGAAATCATTTATGGTAACAGAACATAAGCAGTCCTTAATCAAAAGGATGCCAAAGTCAGATTATATTGTGGGTTAGGAGATCCATTCTAACTCATATTCATTATATTGTGTGTGACTCTTCTACTGCATGACCCACCACAGCCACTCTAAGACACTTACTATTTCATTCTTGGTTTCCATCTCTCTCTCAAGGTCCTTATAGCTCTTTTTTTGCTGCATGGCTTGCTGTTTCATCTTTTTGTTGATCTCACCCTGGGTTTGGAACTCATCTTCCAACGTGGCCTTCTGAATTTGGAGTTCATCGATCTCATGAACCTTTTTTTCTAGGGCTTTCTCCAGCTTTTCTACCTCTTCTAAAGAAAAGAAAAAAAAAATATTGATAGCTTTACATTTTAACTGCAAACAAGCACAAAGCAAACGGGAAGCCAAAATTTGGATTCTTACTTCATATCTACTATTATTATTATTACTGGTATTTATATAGCGCCAGCATATTCCGTAGCGCTTTACAATATTATCAAAGTGGGAGATTTAACAATAAATGAGACAATTACAAGAACAATAGGTTGAAGAGGGCCCTGCTCAAACGAGGAGGTGGGGCGTAAAACACAACAGGACAGGAGGTAGCAATCAAACAAGGTGGGGTGAAGCAGAGCTGGAGGAGAGAGTAGAGTTCTGCCCTTTAGGAGAGAGCAAGGGACAGGTATGTGAGGTAGAGTTTGTGATAGACTTTATCTTGATTCCAAGGCTCAAGCTTATAGGTGTCATATAATGATTTCCTATATTAAAATTGGCTTACTTGGACTCAGGAAATGCTTGATGCTTAAAACGACACTTAAGACCATATATGTCTAGTTCCAGGAGCAGATAGCCCCTGCCTGAGATGTCTCTTCTCAAATCATTCTGTTCTTTCTCTGAACTTATCTGTTATATGATGTTCATCCCTATGTCTTATCTGTACTACTTTCACCCTTTCACTCCCTTCCTACTACTGTCCTATGAGTATTTGCACGTAAGCACTTACTTTTTAATGTATAAAAACCCAAATGACGAATAAACGACAGAGGCTTTTTTGAATACCAACAGGTGTCTGGTGTCTAATTCGCGCTCCTACAAGTGCACTTGTAATAACAATTTGGGCTTCCTCTGAATATAACTGTAACGGCACCCCCAGGCATAAAAGGGTTAAACTGCCGTTTAGTAGATCTTCCCCTTCCAGAGACACAGGCACAGCTACTGCAGAACCCCAAACTCCCTAACAGAATACCAAGTAGCACTCCAAACTCACGAACTGGAACCTCCCGAATAGCTGCTAGCAGCTGAACAGGAAAAAGCACCCAAGCGGCTTACACTCCTGGCAATCAATCTCTAACAGCATACAGTAAATCCCCCCAAGAACGAGACAAAGCTCCGTGTTGAGGGTCAAGCAGTGAACGGTCTTTAGAAGCCAATAAGCCCCAAATAGTCTTTTTAAATGTCACTACACCCCAGGGCCATAGTCATGAGGAAGGAGACTGGCAATCAGGCTCCTCCAACAGCCGGGGGCAAAGGGCAGCTTGTCACCTAACAATCCAGTGACAAAAGGCATTTTGTCACAACAACAAAGATCATTATTTGGATCTATATCAAGGTTACTCTGGGAGGCTATAAGCTTTACTAAAGAGATGGGTTTTGAGGCACTTTTTAAATGATTAAAGACTAGGGGAGAGCTTGATGGTCGTAAGCAGGCTATTCCATAGGAAATAGAGGTCACTACAGTACTTCCAAAGGAAATAGAGGTCACTACAATACTTCCATGGAGATAAATTACCTCCACAAATGGTTAACAATAAAAGATATAGTCAACTATAGTAAAATACTACAAATGTTAAACAAAACCACCCGAGCACATGTGATGTGTAAAAAACACTATTGTTCAAATGCTTCGTAAAAGAAATTCTCCTTATTACCTAAATTAAATCTGTTATGGGCTTCTTGTCTCTCCAGATTGGTTACGGGGTGACCGTCCAAGGTATCCAAAGATCTCAAGTGAAAGATGGTGAATAAGCGGTAGTGAGGAAGATTTGCAATGGGATTCTCAACCAAAAAGAGTGATGTTAAGTCCTTCAGCGTCTTTAACCGAGACACATCCTGAAGCTAAGATAAAGAAAGGTACAATGTAAGGAATAAAGAATTTGACAGCAACTTCAAACCCCCTCAATCTAATAGGCTTCCAAAGAGCATCACTAGGATTAGGGAGAAGAATTGGGGGCTTGTTTTACTGTGTGGAATATTGATGAAATTAAAATGAAACGTAATTGTCTTTTTGATCATTTCTGTTAAACATGAACAGTGCTGTAGAAGGAAATAGATTATCTAGTTATATTAAATATATTTGAGGGAATAGAGATTTCAATTTAATAAGTTTCAAATGATGTGAGCAGCGAGAAGAGGGGGGCCTGGTAGTAATAAGTACATACTGTGGGTTATGTATAAATAGACCAGTCTCCACCATCAAACACGATCTACCTGGTCCTACAATTACATTGTGCTTGTATGAAAGCTAAATAGTTTTAATACAGGACAACAAAATGGGGCACATACGCAACTCTTTATTATCTTATTTATTTTGCTTATAGTGACAATAATGCCAAATGCCCAGAGGTGGAGAATTGCAGTTCAATAAAGTAATCTAAAAAATAAATAAATTTTGAAGCCTGTTCTATACAGAAGCTGTGAGGAAATAACATTTTATAATAATTAGTTTACTGTACTCTTTCGCACAGCTGGCACAGAGAGAATGTATTTCTGGCATGCCATCTTTATATAAAATATCAATTGTGTCATAATCAACCCACTTTTCTCAAGGAAACACTTTTACAGATATCCCCACGCTCTCACCCTCCTGTCCCCTGAAAGCTGAATTGTTGCAAATAACCCATGCTAGGCTGCTGATGTCACCCACTCGCACGCACAAGCAACGAGTCATCAACTGACCTGGTGTCATCACCAACTGCCACATCTCCCACAATGGATTAGGCAGCTCCCACCTTGTACTGAATACAGTTTCTATCTTGAAACTCCTTCTCCTAAATCCTTGTGAACATTCTGTTAATCCCTTCCGAAATTTAGTTTATCCCTTTAAAAGGTTTATTTAACACCATTCTGAGCTCTTGTTAGCCCCTTTAAAATGTTTTTTAGCACAGTTTAGAGTTGTTTGAATGCAATACTCTTCTGAGAGACAGCAACTTACTACGTGACCTGCGTCTGCTTTAGTTCTGCTTCAAACTAACGCTTTATGTTTGGGCTGGAAAAACATCAATGGGGATTGTAGCTGGGGACCAGGACATTTTGGGTGCTGGGATAAGCCATCCTTGTCATATGTTTATTTACGAAACGGTATTGGGTGAAAAGCTAATTTCAATTTCCAACAACTTACAGAAGAGATCTTGTTTTGCTTCAGATTTAGACTGTTGAGAGAGCGAATTTTCTTCCCCACCCAGGCAGGTATGTGTTCAATTTCATTTCCAGCAAGATTTAATTTTTGCAAATGTTGCATATGCTCCAGGCCTTCGATTTTGCTTTATGTTCAAAGGGAAAAAAAACAAACTATTTTTTAATCAACCAAAAAATAAAAATTATAGCTTATTAACCTGTTCTTTTTTTTCAGTACTAATTCAAAAATGAGTATCTAAATAGCTATTGATATGAAATCTCTTTTCCTAATTTCTATCTATTAACCACATGTGATTTCATTTTATACACATGTTTCTTTCACAGACATGCATAAATTTAATATTCTGATCTTTAGACATGTCCCATACCCCGTCATTTTGCATGCAAGCCATTTAATTTTTTGGCTCAGCATGACTACAAAAATTAAAAAGTGTAATTTAATAGCAAAGTTCTCAATATAATGTTTGTTTAATAGAAGATGCTTATACAATATGTATACTTTATATATATTCTAGTTTCATGTTTCCCAAAATTCAATTTACTTCTTTGTTTTGTACATTCAATATTTAATGAAGCAGAGAGGGTAGGCACAGTCAATGTGCAGTGTATCAGGACAGAACTGATTTTTTAAATTTCCCATTGAACTTCTCAGCATCAGCTTGGCTTTCACTGCGGATATCAGCTTCCATCATCATTGGGATGGATTTCTGTGTTTACTGTGTACGCAACCAGTTTTTCATCCAGCTCTTCTGCTGTCATTCTAGCGTGTGAAGGCCATCATTCTGAACCCGCTCGGCATCCTGATTATGCTTGCTAACTTCATCGATAGCACTACTGTCGTGATCTCTCCAGCGTCCATTCAGTGTGTGCAGACTGATGGATCTCCATGAGTTAAACCCGTTTCTAGCAATAACTTTTTCCTGTTGATGGATCATTTCGAGAGGTTCACCTGTACCTGCTTTTGTGATCTTTCCATTCTGCTTTGCAGTTCCAATTTAGACATGGGTAGAGTAGACACCTTCATGTCTGTGCCTGTTGATTTTATATTCACACAAGCTTGCTTTTTCCATCTTTTCCTTCTTTGAGTTTTCAACTTCACCCAGCAACATGGTGTACAATTCTTTATTCACCACAGATAAGCCTGGAATTATCTGTTTGGCTCTCTTGTTGCAAAGCTTACAAAAGTAATGAATATTTGTAGAATTTAAAAAATAAAATAAATACATATCGATTCTGTCTGTGTATTTTCATAGACAAACATATTTAAGGAGGTTTATCAAACCTAAAAATTGACACTTATGTCTAATTCTTGGAGAATTCTGGCACAATTATTATATATTATTACATATATTAACATTGCCATTTTTCCTACTATGAAACGGATTTATCAATCTTAATCACAGAGAGCTCCGCTCGACCTCTAATGCCAGCTCTTCTGAGTATTCTGTACCTTATTTTGTTGTGAGACAAATTAAGTTCCCTTAGCCGGATCTGTTTTTCCAGCTTCTCAATCTTTTCAATAAGGTTGTAACTGAGATTCAGAATTTCAAGTCTTTCGCATTTTTCAAGATTTTCTATAAACTAAGCAAAGAAAAGAAAAAAAAGAATACAATTTATAAATGTTACCATTTTAAACACATTATCATCTTTGCAAGCTTTCTTATGTCTAATGTTTTATATGCAGCTTACATTTTGCATCTTCGTCGATTAATTCCACCAGCAAGCTAATTAAGCAATTAGCGCACAATAAAGATGTTGTGTAAGGAATCCTTTCGTTTAATTATTCAGAGAGTCTGAGGCCTCAGCAGAAATATTCTAATAATTGCTTGTATAACAATCATCATCCATTTCTAACATAGAAGCTTCAAAGGGGGTGTGGCAAATCTAGCCACTTGGACTAAAACAGAGACAATATGGTTTTAAGGGTTGCCTGTATATTTATTATGATTGTATATGTGCCTGGTTGTAATCTGCTGGATTCTGTATGTTGTATTGACTGTGTTAGCTATCTGCCGAAGCAGATAGCCATGTTCTATTCCGTTTCACGAACAACGCCTTTGCAGGCTGTTCGTGAACCGAATGAACACTCTAGTAATAGCCCACACACTAAGAGACGTGTGGCGCTTGTTAACCGATTGCAACAATGTTGAAATCGGCAATTAGAGACTCTCCAAGGTGGCAGTCGTTCGACTACTGACCACGCGGCGGTCGGCCATCTTGGATCCTTTTTCTCTCCAGCGGTGTTCGGTCGTCGAGCGCGTGGTACTGAAAACGGCTACTGGACGGCGCGAACACCGCTGGGCTTCCAGGCCGTTCGGGAGCTTTTCGGTATTTTACTTCCTGTATAGCAATCGGTCTTTTAAGCGTGTGTTACAATTAATATGTTTTTCGTGCGGCGTTCGGCTGTTTTAGCTGGGATCTGAGCGGTAATCTCACGAACTGTGCGCTCAGACCCCAGCTATCTGCCGAACGTCCAATTGTATAAATTCACTGAATACAATGCCAGTTATGTATGTTAATGTGAATTGCTGGTTCTGCTGCACGGAGGGATTATCCACTTAACGGTATATTCCAGTGGGAGTGTCCCTCTCGTGCAGCAGTGCCTGATGGGAGAAATGCCCAGAATGTTAAGTCCCCTACTGTATTACCCCTGCAATGTCAGTGGGGAAACCCCTTGCAAGGGGACTTGCATAAATACTAGAGCTGCAAATAAAGACCTCAGTTGACTCCCAGAACTGTGTTTCGTCCGGTTACTAGGGGATTTGGGATATTGCCTTGCTTCTCAGCGCATGACTGTGGATTACTGTATGTACCAGCGGAATTCGTGGGATTTAATATTGCCGATCCGCTACAAGGGAGGGGGCAAACTCCCATATTGTTTGAGAACAGGCCTTTCAATTTTTGTCAAACAGCTTTCCAAAAAAACAGGGAATATACTGGCACCCTAAGATCTTCCCTTCAGCTGCTGATAAATAAAAACTTTTACTATGCATCCAAATATATGCAATAATAACCTCTCAGTAATAGGATACATCAAGATTCAGAGATGCCAAATGGCCGTGGCCCTTCTGAGCCAGTAATTCACCGCTGACTGAACGTTATAAATATAGCTTCAACACATATAGGAGTGTGTATTCCAAAAACGTTGGCTGAAAGTGAAATCAGAGGTGGTGAACTTAGAACACTGGCAAGAGGTTTTTGCAAACATGGAGATCACCTGACAATTTATTTTATTTTTTTTTTAAATCCCAACAAGAAATATTGAAGCCTGCACCAATAGCAGCTTACCAGCACCATAAACACTATAATAAGCTATCGCAGTTTTGATGCTTTGAAAGTCCCTTTAAAATCTTCTAACATAAGCAATTGTAGTTGAAATGATGCAAGTCATACATGACTTTATATAGAAATGTAATTATTGGGACTGAGCTCTAGACAAAAGGTTCTGGTACATCAGAAACATGTTTTATGAAAAGGGAAGGCGTACCTAAGGGGGTGGAGATATGCTGCATAAATCCACTAAACTTTTTTTTTGCCAAACAGAGAAAGACAGCGCATGATTGGGAGGTCGTCAAACGTCAACGCCCATTTAACTTCTGGTGGTGCAGCCATTCTCACTGAAAATGCGCACTGGCAGTGATACAGCATGAGTGGCCCTTAAGGACCACACTTCTGGAATAAAAGGGAATCATGACATGTCACACATCATGTGTCCTTAAGGGGTTAAAGGACTGATTGGACTGATGTGAAGAACCTGGATCTACAAAATAGTGACAAATACAGCGTGACAAACCTTGAACTTTTTGCCTCCTTCTTTAGAGAGGGCAAGGTTCAGCGAGGTAACATATGCAAGGTTCTCCTGCTTCGTCAGCTTTTGGATTAGCGACTCTGTGATGTAACGAACGCCAGGATCATTTCCTAAAGCAAAAGAACACAAGAATGTAAAAGGAGCAAAACATAAAATAATAAACACAAAATGTTACGGCTGGACCCCCCATCCAAATAAGAATAGGAGAAAGAGTACTTTTCAATAATGGAACATGTTTGCATTGAAATGGTATTTACTTAAATGGATACCCCAAAGCCTTACCCTCTAGGGGTTAACTACATGCGCACCCCACCCCCTTGTCTCCATTCATAAAAGAGGTGACTTACAGTGAAACTGTCACTTTTTGAAATGGTTAGTGCCAATTTAGGAACATTCTCCTGGAGATCAAGCTGACCGTCAGAATGGTTTCATGCTTGAACAAGCGGAAGTAAAGAGCTTCCATAAGAAGCATCAGGCAAAGCTTCCGTATGAGACATATTCTATTGGACGATGTGCCAGTTTTCCCAAAATATCAGTCTTAATGTGGGATTTATTTACAAAGATGTTTGTTCATGATTCACTGTGGAGCATGAGCCAAGAAGAACATGTCCTACAGTTTACAATTGATTTGGGAGACAAATTAGCAACACAATTGCTGTCTAAATAGTTGGACTTTACAAAGGTAAGAAGATAGTTTTTTCTTTTCATAGTGCAGACTAAACCACATATCCCAGAATGCATTTCTAGATTAAGAAGAATCCTTTGAAAGAAACATGAACAGTTTTCTCAGGGCAACGATAATCACCTTTAACGCTATCATACTCCATGGTATCACTTTCTTCTCTTGGATCGAGGGAGCTAGTTAGGGTTCCTCTAACAGCAGAAGATGAAGCAGCTTTAGGTTTGCTGGAGGGTGATGGAGACCTCATATTTCGACTTGACAAAACTGGCACTGGGATCTTACCGCCTGTTGGTGGGAAGCTTTTCTTCATTGTAAAAAATGTGGTCAATCATGTGCTACTGCCTGAAAAATAAATACAGAGAAAATCTAGTTACATAGCATAGCTTGTAACCCTGCATTACAATAAAAGCTCAGAAGTACTTTAAAAAATTGTTAATAAAATGCAAAGATCAATAGTTTTTTCTTAAATTACCAGTGAATGGGATCTAAAGATGCAAGTTTAGATTAATCAAACAAAATATTCTATAAATCCGAGATAAACATGTAGCTCTCCAGATACGGTTGGACACCATTTCCCATGATGCTCATCCTATCACAGACACTCATTCTTTCACGACAGCTGCGGAGGATCATGGGACATTTAGTTCCGACCTGACGGCCCAGAATTATATGTATGGGAGGCAATATTTTGTATTAATAAAATTAGATAACACGATAAACACAGAGAAAGTTTATTTACTTTTCAATGGGCTGGCTGTGGTGTTTATTCAAAGCTTAAGGGGCTTACAACCATAATATACATAACAATGAACATATAACAAACTATTTACCTTTTAAAACTTTAACTTTATTAACCACTAAATTGTTCGTCAGTCTTAGATGACCCGACCGCCTTATAGTTAAAGACATCTGCTACCATATCCTTCCTCAGAACTTGACCCCGAGGACGGCTTACAATTAAATTAAAATTAAAGGGTGCGAGGGCGGGGGTCCGTCTGAGTCACCCCTGCCTTAGCGACCACTGACAGGATTGTGCTTGCGCTGCTGAGTTTTATTCTGTCCCAGCGTCTCGCACTTTTAACCATCGCGATCTTTACTCAAACCCAGGCTCGCTCCAGTTCCCAGCAAGAGCAGTGTCACCACTTCTGCTCAGATACAGTTGTAACTGCCCCAAAACTACAACTTCCTTCCATTCTAATCCAAGACAAGGCAGATTAACCCCTTACTTGCCACAATAAGTATATGCTACAGTGCTTAATGCCTGTAACCTCTAAATATGTTATTTGAACAATAGAAACAGTCTTTAGACAAGTAAACAAACAGCACTTTCATCAGACTCACTATTTAAAATACGTGAATGAGTTTTCAACACATAAAATACTCGTCACATTGTTCTACCACTCAAGCATAGCAAATATAGCAAACACACCCTCAGTGACAGGGAACAAGCAATATTAAAACGGTTTCTGTACTGCACAGAGTAATAAAAAGCTAATTGAAAGACATGATCCCTGGACTGTTTAATTCCTCAGTCAGTTGCAGAATTGGACAAAAATAAGGATCACATCAAATACGTCATCTAACAACAATAAAAAAAAAAAACACATTTGCAAAAAAGTAAGAAATTTGCTTTCAGACAAATCAATGCTAGGTTAGAGCTACTTTGCTGCATTTTTACAGTTTTGTGTCATCATCACAATTTGCTCTGTAAAAGACCTAAGGCAGGCATTAAATGCCGTCAATAAATAAGTGGCATGGAACTGGCCACAATTAAGCAACCCATACTTTGCAATGGTACGGGATCTCATTTGAAAGCAAAAAAAGTTCACATCGTTAAAGGCTGGCATTTCATGGCAATCTATACTATAGCGCAGGGGGAGGCAACCTTCGGCACTCCAGATGTTGTGGACTGCATCCCCCATAATGCTGGCAACGCATCATGGGAGGTGTAGTCCAAAACATCTGGAGTGCCGAAGGATGCCTATGCCTGCTATAGTGCATGGTGTCCTCAGTGCATTACTACTACATTGCATCTCAGCGGTTTTAGTAAACAATAGCAGATACCACAAGGTAAGATACACTATCAAAACACACTCATGCAATGCAGATAACAAAATATATTTTTTCTAAATCAGGAAACACTTACCCCAGTGCCCTAATGATTTATTTCTCTATAATCCGTGGCCTAACATGATTGTGAACGGGTGTAAATGATGAACAGGAACAAAAACAAAAGAAAACAATTTGAGTGTCTACTTCCTTCCTGTTTCTCAATATTACTTGCTGTCTAAACAGACAAGCCAAGCACACAACCATATCTGCATGTTCTTTATGTAACAAGTACCCAACCATTAACGAGTTTAGTTTTGACAGTTATTTGATGCAGTGTGAGCGTCCCAAGTGTTAGATACACATTTGCCAAATTCCACTACTCACCTTGTGCCTGTGACTTTGATGCCAACAGACAGAGCAAACATTTGCTCAGACCCACGATGACCAGGTGTCTATCGTCAGCTTAGAAGAGGGCAAGTCAAAAAGGTAGACCTCCAGCTGTAAAACTAGAATTCCCAAGATTCCTTGCCAGTCTTATGCCACATTCTGCAAACGCTGGTAGTGTTTCTTTTCTTTTCATTTAGATAATGTGCACCCCGATTTAATACTTATTTACTATCACTGGGTCAGAATGAGGGGATATTATTAAAACCTCCATACAGGCCCACCAGTTACTTTTAAAAAATACCCTCGTCCTAAATCAAGTTAATTGTATAGCATGTGTGCAAAATATAATCAATGGACAGTGAGTGTATCATGTTTTCAATTCAGCGAGGCACTGTATGCAAATGAGTCTGAGTCGGCTATGCTTGCTGGTGATATCACTCAGTGGCACATGCCCATCTAATATGAACAATGCAGCAAGTGTACAATACATCCTTTATACATTGGACGCTTATATACCCCGTTCCTTGACTGGTATGTAATGTGCCATGCTGAAATTTTTACCAGAAATTATGAATGTCTGTTGTAACGGGTTGCAAACAAACAAACAAAAAAGTAAAGAAGATAAACAAACAAACCCTACTTTCCTTTGTCTAAGCTCTTCCATGGGTCTTTAAATGGGTCTGTGCTGTTCTGAGACTCACTAACTAGTAAGAAACACATTGGCATCATAGAACATATGGTACCGTGAAATACAGGGTAACTCACTATAGTGTGTATTGTCAGACATTCAAATTCTATTTCAAATTCTGGACAAAAAAGCGGAATTGAAAAATGTAGCCAATTTGGAGAACTTTTCTAATTTGTGTATTTCGGTCTAAATTTTTAATTTCTGGCAATTCAGATCCGTGATAATCATGACAGGGAAAATAAATGGATGGTTCTGCTTGATCCTCACAGGAACAGGAATGCTGGCCTATTGGCAACAAAAAAAGATTGTATATCTACAGCACATTCTGCAAAGCGGTTACCCAACGTACTGCCTTATCATGGAGTTGGCACGAACTGGTTTAACATAGCAGCCTGCACTATGCTCCCAATCCGCTCTGTCACAGGTAAAGTAAACTGGGGATAATACAGTAGAAATAGTATCCTAACAGGTTCTGAGGCAGAGGAGGTAATAAATGAAACGATGAGGAGCATGCCACAAAATACACCATGCAACAAAACACTAATTTATGGCAAATAGCCATTAACCAATAAAAACAAACAGCAGAATTTCACCTTTTAGCATAAAACAACACATTTATAATAAAAAGGTACTAAATGGAAAAAATATATATAGCAATAGCCATAAACACACAGAGTCAGTAATAATATAAAGCAGTGGTAGTAATACTGGTATATGTGGAGCCAGAATCAGCAGTCAGTAGTAATATTAAGCCGTAATAAACTGGTTGCAATGGATGGTACCTGTACAGTCGTGGCCAGCACTATGTAGCAAATGTTATAAAACAAGTCGGTACCTGTGCTAGTAATGCTGGACGTTCTAGTTGGTACCTGTACTAGTAATGCTGGACGTTCTAGTTCTTATATCGATATTCAAGTCTTGTTTCCAAGCCTGTATGGCAGTAGGATTTGTGTCTTTAGCTATTGATTTAATTAGTATTAGAGCTTTGGAAAGTGGTTTATTGACTTTTTTTGATGTAAATAATAAATCTATCGAATTGCTTAGATTAGATTTTGGTATTATAAGATGTGTATTAATATAGCTTTTAAGTCTTAGAAAATTAAACACCTCTCTAGGAGGGAGATTATGTATCTCTGTTATTTGAGCAAAGGTTTTAATTGATCCTTCTGTCAATAATTGGTCCAGAGTCGTTATCCCTACTTTTTTCCAATTATTTAAGTTTAAATCTTCCACTTGTTTTTCTACAATGTCTAACTCTAAATAACTTGGAACTTTTTTTTTCTATATTCATTACTTTTTTAATTTTTAACCAATTTTCCAATAATTGAGTTAGAATAATACTGGCATACTCTTTTTTCTTTGACATTTTATTTATATTCCAAATTAAACAATCTAAGCTAGAAACTTCTCCTGCCTTCAATTCCATTTTATACCATCCCTCATCTTTATTTTCTTTTATTTGCATTCTATAAACATGTAGAATAATAGCTGCTTTAAAATTATTCATTATGAGTGGATAATCAAGTCCACCTTTATATATTTTCTGCACTAATATTGACTGTTTCAATCTCGGCTTCTTGCCTTTCCAGATGTATTGAGTAAAACTTCTTTGTATTAATTGAAGCCAATGGATTGGAATATGTAGAGGTAACATTTGAAACATATAATTCCACTTTGGTATAACATATGAATTGATAACATTTATTCGCCCCAAAAAAGTAATCTCTAGGTTTCTGCGATCTTTTAACCATTTATTGAGATCTAATAATAATGTTAGGAAATTTACTTCCATGATCTTATTTGTCTCTCTGGTTATTTTAATTCCTAAGTAATCCATACTTTCTTTAACCCAAATAAAATCATATTTGTTTTTAATCTCTTGTTGTATCTTTTTATTTAGGTTAACATCTAATATCAAAGATTTATTTGTATTTAACTTATAATTTGATATAAGGCTGTATCGCTCTATTTCTTGCATTATGCGTTCTAAAGAATTTTTAGGGTTTGTAAGAGTAATTAAAATGTCATCAGCATATAAGCTAATTTTTTGGTCCTCATCCATTATTTTATAACCATGGATCTCTTTATTATTCCTAATATTCTCAGCCAATGGCTCGATAGTCAGCAAGTAGAGCAATGGTGAAAGGGGACAACCCTGTCGGGTACCATTTCTAAGTTGGAACCATGGGGCGACAATATTAGGTCCAATAGTTCGTGCAACAGGATTTACGTATAGTGCCATTATAGCTTTCTTAATCCAACCTTCCAATCCATAATGTTGTAAATATTTCCAGCTGACTCTGTCGAATGCTTTTTCAGCATCAATCGACAGAGTCAGAACTGGAACATCATATCTATTTGCGTCATCCAAGATATTAATAATTTTCCTTATACTTGTATAGGAATTTCTACCTGGAACATATCCTATTTGATCTTTGTGGATGATTAGTGGAAGAAGTTTTTTTATTCTGGCAGCCAAAACCGAAGCGTATAACTTAGTGTCAACATCTATTAAAGATATCGGACGATAGTTTTTGATATCAGTGGGGTTTTTATCGTTTTTTAGAATAGGCAAGATATTAGCTTTAAGCATCTCTGCTGGTAAAAATCCTCTGTTTGCCGCTATGTTGAAAGCAGAGGTCAAATGTGGGCATATTAAATCTTTAAATGTTTTATAAAATAGGTTGCTAAACCCATCCGGGCCTGGTGTTTTAGATCTTTCTAAATCATTTATTGCTTTCATAGTCTCCTCCATAGTTATAGGTTTATTTAAGAAATCATTTTCAATAGAAGTTAAATGAGGCTTCTTTATATTATTTAAATAGTTTTTAATATCCTCATCTGTGTTAATCTGAGGAATATTATATAGATTGGCATAATATTCATTAAAACACTTTCCAATCTCTCTAGGGGTTAGTGCTATTTTTCCATTCTGTATTATTTTGTCTACCTTATTTTGTCCTTTTTGTTTTCTAAGTTTTTGGGATAGCATCTTTTCAGCTCGATTGCCTTTGGAGTAATATTTAAGTTTTAATCTATCCATATTTTTAGCTATCGTATCCATTAAATTTTGCTTTATTTTTTCTTTAAGTTCTAATATTTTTTCATAAATTTCAGGAGATGGAGATTGTTTATTGATATGAGTCAAATCTCTTAATTCTGTGTGTAAAAATGCCAGAGTATTATTTTTGTCAAGTTGGCTTTGTAACTTGATAATATGACCTCTTATAACGGCCTTAAAGGCACACCACAAAATAGATGAATCAATATTTTCTGAGATATTTTCTTTAAAATAATTTTTTATATTATCTCTTATATGAGTTTTTTTAATTCACAACAAAGCAAATTATCTCTTAACCGCCAAGTATAGGCTTCTCTTTTAAATGTACTAAAAATCATTTCACAAAAAACTCCATTGTGGTCTGTCCAAACTATCTCGTCAATCTTTGTTTTTTTAGTCATATCAATAATACTTGGGTCGACCCAAATCATGTCCAATCTTGAATAGGAAAAATGCACTTTAGAAAAATGCGTATAGTCTCTCTCATTGGGATTAAAAATTCTCCAAATATCGAATAAATTATATTCATCTTTAATTTTTTTTAAGGCTTTTGCTTGTTTTATAACCATCTGATTTAAAGTATTTCCTTTCATTAATTTTTTATCTATATGAGGGTCTAGTACAGCATTAAAATCCCCTGCCAATATTAACTTTCCCACTTTAACTTCATCTACTTTTTCCAAAATTGTTTTTAAGTAAGCAACTGGTAAATGATTAGGAAGATATATATTACATAATGTAAAAAGTACAGAGTCAATTTTGCATATTATTATTAAATACCTGCCTTTAGTATCTTGTATTTGATGGATTACTTCAACTTTAATCTTTTCTCCAAATACCACAGCTACTCCACATTTTTTTTTCCTTATTGGAAGCTTGAATTATAAGTGGAAATCTTTTACCCCCCCAATTTTGTTTATCCACTTGTCTCCAGTGAGTTTCTTGTAAGAATATTAAATTCAATTGTTTTTCACTGAGGTATTTATACAATAGATTTCTTTTCGCTATAGTATTCAATCCCTGAACATTAAGTGTAAACATTTTTATCATATTATCTTCAAAAACCTCCCTGCATCCCTTTCCATTCGATAACCGTTACCCTTCCCTATTGCTGCATAAACATATCTGCACAAACACACAAAACAAAATATTAAAATCATAGGAGGAAATCCTCCTTTTTTATCACAAAGACTGTAAATTTTCATATAGAAATTCAGTCTTTACATGTCTGTGTTTTATGTAGTAAATGTTACTTTATGTATTTTAAAGTATAATACTGGTTTTGTGTCCCCACATGTGTAATGGAGTTTTGCCTTTGTCTTGGGAGATAATTGAGTTACTTCTCAATTATCTCCCAGGGCAGAGGGGAGGAAGCCAGGATGCATTGTGGGAATATATTGTGACTGTGTGTCCTATTTGTCTACTTGTCTGTCTTTTGTCACAGTCTCCCATTTGGTCCCCTAGGGAGTGTCCACCAGGTGGGAGACCTGCATAAATACTGGGCAGGTAGCCCTCATTAAACAGACCACTGCTTGACCCTCAACACGGAGCCTTGTCTCGTTCTTGGGGGGATTCACTGTATGCTGTTAGAGACTGATTGCCAGGAGTGTAAGCTGATTGACTGCTTTTCCTGTTCGTCTGTGTAACGGACCGTTTCTCTCACAAGGGGATAAAATCCGTGTGACGAGACCAATCTCGCCACATTGCATTGGAGAAGCCTGGTTGCTCGCCTGCTGCCTTTGGACTATGGCCCCCTTTTAAAAGACTTTATTTTTGCCTGCAGAAAAGCTGTATTCGTGCTTTTCTGCCTGGGGTTCAGTAGATTTGTTTGAATGTGTTATACCCCAGATAGGAATCCCATGGAGCCCATTTGTATGAAACTGACTGTAAAGACTTTGGCTCCATGGCGATTAAACTGTATTCGTGTGGTCTGAGCGCCATTCACTTAATAATGTGCGCTCAGACCTGAGCTATCTGGGGATATGTGAAATGTCTGTGTTTTATGTATAAATGTGACTTTATGTATTTTAAAGTGTTTTGTGTCTTTTTGCAACCATGTGCTTAATGGAGTCTGTGTCTGTCCTGGGAGATAATTGAATTACTTATCTCCAGGATAGAAGACTCTGAAACTGGTTTGGGCCAGAAAGCCATGCTTCATTTAGTCACAAAGGACTTTTACTAACTTTTGAACCCCTTGTCTGATTTGTGCCATTTTTGAATATGTTGTTCCCCTGAATGGATTGATTGTGAATATGTAATTTTATGTGAATGTGATGTATGGTTTTGGAGTTATGAAAGTTGGGTAGAAGGTATGTTTTAACTGTATGTATAATTGAGTTTCCTCTCAGGATAAGGGGAGGGAATATGTGGGATGTAACTGTGATATGATTGGTTGTTTTATACCTCCCTGTGGGCGGTCCTGTATTTGAAAACACTGTAATAAAAACCAGGCTGGGTGTGCCAGCACCTCAGACCACTGCTTGACCCTCAACACGGAGCCTTGTCTCGTTCTTGGGGGGATTCACTGTATGCTGTTAGAGACTGATTGCCAGGAGTGTAAGCTGTTCGTCTGCTTTTCCTGTTAGTCTGCTAGCAGCTATTTGGGAGGTTCCAGTTCGGGAGTTGGAGTGCTATTTTGTATCCAGTTCGTGAGTTTTGGTGTTCTGCAGTAGCTGTGCCTGTATCTCTGGAAAGGGGGCCGATCGCCTAAACGGTTTTTACCCCTTGTGTGCAAAACGGTCCATTACACTGGTTGTTCTAGTTGGTACCTGTACTAGTAATGCTGGCAGTTCTAGTTGGTACCTGTACTAGTAATGCTGGTCGTTCTAGTTGGTACCTGTACTAGTAATGCTGGCAGTTCTAGTTAGTACCTATAGTTACTATAGTATTAGTTATACAGTTAGTTATAGAGTTGGTACCTGTATACCCAGCAGTCAGTGGTAATGTTAGCAGTAATACAGTAATAGTTATAAAGTTAGTTATAGAGTTGGTACCTGTATACCCAGCAGTCAGTGGTAATGTTAGCAGTAATACAGTAATAGTTATACAGTTAGTTATAGAGTTGGTACCTGTATACCCAGCAGTCAGTGGTAATGTTAGCAGTAATACAGTAATAGTTATACAGTTAGTTATAGAGTTGGTACCTGTATACCCAGCAGTCAGTGGTAATGTTAGCAGTAATACAGTAATAGTTATACAGTTAGTTATAGAGTTGGTACCTGGTTACCCAGCAGTCAGTGGTAATGTTAGCAGTAATACAGTAATAGTTATACAGTTAGTTATAGAGTTGGTACCTGTATACCCGGCAGTCAGTGGTAATGTTAGCAGTAATACAGTAATAGTTATACAGTTAGTTATAGAGTTGGTACCTGTATACCCGGCAGTCAGTGGTAATGTTAGCAGTAATACAGTAATAGTTATAAAGTTAGTTACAGAGTTGGTACCTGTATCCCCAGCAGTCAGTGGTAATGTTAGCAGTAATACAGTAATAGTTATACAGTTAGTTATAGAGTTGGTACCTGTATACCCAGCAGTCAGTGGTAATGTTAGCAGTAATACAGTAATAGTTATACAGTTAGAGAGTTGGTACCTGTATCCCCGGCAGTCAGTGGTAATGTTAGCAGTAATACAGTAATAGTTATACAGTTAGTTAGAGAGTTGGTACCTGTATACCCAGCAGTCAGTGGTAATGTTAGCAGTAATACAGTAATAGTTATACAGTTAGTTATAGAGTTGGTACCTGTATCCCCAGCAGTCAGTGGTAATGTTAGCAGTAATACAGTAATAGTTATACAGTTAGTTATAGAGTTGGTACCTGTATCCCCAGCAGTCAGTGGTAATGTTAGCAGTAATACAGTAATAGTTATACAGTTAGTTATAGAGTTGGTACCTGTATACCCAGCAGTCAGTGGTAATGTTAGCAGTAATACAGTAATAGTTATACAGTTAGTTATAGAGTTGGTACCTGTATACCCAGCAGTCAGTGGTAATGTTAGCAGTAATACAGTAATAGTTATACAGTTAGTTATAGAGTTGGTACCTGTATACCCAGCAGTCAGTGGTAATGTTAGCAGTAATACAGTAATAGTTATACAGTTAGTTACAGAGTTGGTACCTGTATACCCAGCAGTCAGTGGTAATGTTAGCAGTAATACAGTAATAGTTATACAGTTAGTTACAGAGTTGGTACCTGTATCCCCAGCAGTCAGTGGTAATGTTAGCAGTAATACAGTAATAGTTATACAGTTAGTTATAGAGTTGGTACCTGTATACCCAGCAGTCAGTGGTAATGTTAGCAGTAATACAGTAATAGTTATACAGTTAGAGAGTTGGTACCTGTATCCCCGGCAGTCAGTGGTAATGTTAGCAGTAATACAGTAATAGTTATACAGTTAGTTAGAGAGTTGGTACCTGGTTACCCAGCAGTCAGTGGTAATGTTAGCAGTAATACAGTAATAGTTATACAGTTAGTTATAGAGTTGGTACCTGTATCCCCAGCAGCCAGTGGTAATGTTAGCAGTCAGTGGTAATGTTAGCAGTAATACAGTAATAGTTATACAGTTAGTTATAGAGTTGGTACCTGTATCCCCAGCAGCAGTGGTAATGTTAGCAGTAATACAGTAATAGTTATACAGTTAGTTATAGAGTTGGTACCTGTATACCCCAGCAGTCAGTGGTAATGTTAGCAGTAATACAGTAATAGTTATACAGTTAGTTATAGAGTTGGTACCTGGTTACCCAGCAGTCAGTGCGCGCTGGAGCCGCTTCCCGGGGTTGTCATGGTAACGCTTGGCCTGTCCCCTCCCTCTAACTGACATCCCGTCTCGGGTTTGGTATCGGACCGGCCCCGGGGGACTCACTGAGGGGCTCGGTATCGGCCGCTGGGAGGGTGTCCGGGCCGGGCGGGCTCACTGGGGCAGACCGGGGAGAGGAGCCATCACACAGCGGGTTACCGAGGGATGAGCGCCGCCATCTTGGCCTCAACTGACATGGCTGAGACCAGGCCGTGGAACACCGTCACCGGGGAGGGGGAGGGGCCTACAACAGGGGGTCCGCCCAATCCGGGGAGGGGGAGGGGCCTGCAGCAGGGGTCCGCCCAATCCGGGGACGGGGAGGGACCTGTAGCAGGGAGGACCGCCCCGTCCTGGGATGGGGAGGGGCCTGCAGCAGGGAGGACGGCCCAGTCCTGGGAGGGGGAGGGGCCTGCAGCAGGGAGGACGGCCCAGTCCTGGGAGGGGGAGGGGCCTGTGCAGAGATGACAGCTCGGTCCGGTGAGTGGGAGGGGCCTGCAGCAGGGGGATCCGCCCTGTCCGGGAGGGGCCTGCAGCAGGTAGCTCCGCCCCCTCCGGAGCAGTGCATTCAGGGGAACGTAGTCCGACACAGCTGGCTGACACATGTCCCCTCAGCCGTCAGTTTATTATAAAATGAGAATATACCAGAGATAGACTCCAGTCACCCAGTCACATACACTGTATTAATATCCCCTCAGTAACCACACCCAGTCCCATACACTGTATTAATATCCCCTCAGTAACCACACCCAGTCCCATACACTGTATTAATATCCCCTCAGTAACCACACCCAGTCACATACACTGTATTAATATTCCCTCAGTAACTACAGCCAGTCACATACACTGTATTAATATTCCCTCAGTAACCACACCCAGTCACATACACTGTATTAATATCCCCTCAGTAACTACAGCCTGTCACATACACTGTATTAATATCCCCTCAGTAACCACACCCAGTCCCATACACTGTATTAATATCCCTTCAGTAACTACACCCAGTCACATACACTGTATTAATATCCCCCCAGTAACCACACCCAGTCCCATACACTGTATTAATATCCCCTCAGTAACTACAGCCAGTCCCATACACTGTATTAATATCCCCTCAGTAACTACAGCCAGTCACATACACTGTATTAATATCCCCTCAGTAACCACACCCAGTCCCATACACTGTATTAATATCCCCTCAGTAACTACACCCAGTCACATACACTGTATTAATATCCCCTCAGTAACCACACCCAGTCCCATACACTGTATTAATATCCCCTCAGTAACTACACCCAGTCACATACACTGTATTAATATCCCCTCAGTAACCACACCCAGTCACATACACTGTATTAATATTCCCTCAGTAACTACAGCCAGTCCCATACACTGTATTAATATCCCCTCAGTAACCACACCCAGTCACATACACTGTATTAATATTCCCTCAGTAACTACAGCCAGTCCCATACACTGTATTAATATTCCCTCAGTAACCACACCCAGTCACATACACTGTATTAATATCCCCTCAGTAACTACAGCCTGTCAAATACACTGTATTAATATCCCCTCAGTAACTACACCCAGTCCCATACACTGTATTAATATCCCCTCAGTAACCACACCCAGTCCCATACACTGTATTAATATCCCCTCAGTAACTACACCCAGTCCCATACACTGTATTAATATCCCCTCAGTAACTACACCCAGTCCCATACACTGTATTAATATCCCCTCAGTAACTACAGCCAGTCACATACACTGTATTAATATCCCCTCAGTAACCACACCCAGTCACATACACTGTATTAATATTCCCTCAGTAACTACAGCCAGTCCCATACACTGTATTAATATCCCCTCAGTAACCACACCCAGTCACATACACTGTATTAATATTCCCTCAGTAACTACAGCCAGTCCCATACACTGTATTAATATTCCCTCAGTAACCACACCCAGTCACATACACTGTATTAATATCCCCTCAGTAACTACAGCCTGTCACATACACTGTATTAATATCCCCTCAGTAACCACACCCAGTCCCATACACTGTATTAATATCCCCTCAGTAACTACACCCAGTCACATACACTGTATTAATATCCCCTCAGTAACCACACCCAGTCACATACACTGTATTAATATCCCCTCAGTAACCACACCCAGTCCCATACACTGTATTAATATCCCCTCAGTAACTACAGCCAGTCACATACACTGTATTAATATTCCCTCAGTAACTACAGCCAGTCACATACACTGTATTAATATCCCCTCAGTAACTACACCCAGTCACATACACTGTATTAATATTCCCTCAGTAACTACACCCAGTCACATACACTGTATTAATATTCCCTCAGTAACCACACCCAGTCACATACACTGTATTAATATTCCCTCAGTAACCGCACCCAGTAACATACACTGTATTAATATCCCCTCAGTAACTACACCCAGTCCCATACACTGTATTAATATCCCCTCAGTAACTACACCCAGTCCCATACACTGTATTAATATCCCCTCAGTAACCACACCCAGTCCCATACACTGTATTAATATCCCCTCAGTAACTGCACCCAGTCACATACACTGTATTAATATTCCCTCAGTAACCGCACCCAGTCACATACACTGTATTAATATCCCCTCAGTAACCACACCCAGTCCCATACACTGTATTAATATCCCCTCAGTAACTACACCCAGTCCCATACACTGTATTAATATCCCCTCAGTAACCACACCCAGTCCCATACACTGTATTAATATCCCCTCAGTAACCACACCCAGTCCCATACACTGTATTAATATCCCCTCAGTAACTACAGCCAGTCCCATACACTGTATTAATATCCCCTCAGTAACTGCACCCAGTCACATACACTGTATTAATATCCCCTCAGTAACTGCACCCAGTCACATACACTGTATTAATATCCCCTCAGTAACTGCACCCAGTCACATACACTGTATTAATATCCCCTCAGTAACTACAGCCAGTCCCATACACTGTATTAATATCCCCTCAGTAACCACACCCAGTCACATACACTGTATTAATATCCCCTCAGTAACTACAGCCTGTCACATACACTGTATTAATATCCCCTCAGTAACCACACCCAGTCACATACACTGTATTAATATCCCTTCAGTAACCACACCCAGTCACATACATTGTATTAATATCCCCTCAGTAACCACACCCAGTCCCATACACTGTATTAATATCCCCTTAGTAACTACAGCCTGTCACATACACTGTATTAATATCCCTTCAGTAACTACAGCCAGTCACATACACTGTATTAATATCCCTTCAGTAACCACACCCAGTCACATACACTGTATTAATATCCCCTCAGTAACCACACCCAGTCCCATACACTGTATTAATATCCCCTTAGTAACTACAGCCTGTCACATACACTGTATTAATATCCCTTCAGTAACTACAGCCAGTCACATACACTGTATTAATATCCCCTCAGTAACCACACCCAGTCCCATACACTGTATTAATATCCCCTCAGTAACCACACCCAGTCCCATACACTGTATTAATATCCCCTTAGTAACTACAGCCTGTCACATACACTGTATTAATATCCCTTCTACACCCAGTCACACACACTGTATTAATATCCCCTCAGTAACCGCACCCAGTCCCATACACTGTATTAATATCCCCCCAGTAACCACACCCAGTCCCATACACTGTATTAATATCCCCTCAGTAACTACACCCAGTCACATACACTGTATTAATATCCCCTCAGTAACCACAGCCAGTCCCATACACTGTATTAATATTCCCTCAGTAACTACACCCAGTCCCATACACTGTATTAATATCCCCTCAGTAACTACACCGAGTCACATACACTGTATTAATATCCCCTCAGTAACTACAGCCAGTCACATACACTGTATTAATATCCCCCCAGTAACTACAGCCTGTCACATACACTGTATTAATATCCCTTCAGTAACTACAGCCTGTCACATACACTGTATTAATATCCCCTCAGTAACTACACCCAGTCACATACACTGTATTAATATCCCCTCAGTAACTACAGCCTGTCACATACACTGTATTAATATCCCCTCAGTAACTACACCCAGTCACATACACTGTATTAATATCCCCTCAGTAACTACAGCCAGTCCCATACACTGTATTAATATCCCCTCAGTAACTACAGCCTGTCACATACACTGTATTCATATCCCCTCAGTAACTACAGCCTGTCACATACACTGTATTAATATCCCCTCAGTAACTACACCCAGTCACATACACTGTATTAATATCCCCTCAGTAACCACACCCAGTCACATACACTGTATTAATATCCCCTCAGTAACTACACCCAGTCCCATACACTGTATTAATATCCGCTCAGTAACCACACCCAGTCCCATACACTGTATTAATATCCCCTCAGTAACTACACCCAGTCACATACACTGTATTACTATCCCCTCAGTAACCACAGCCAGTCACATACACTGTATTAATATCCTCTCAGTAACTACACCCAGTCACATACACTGTATTAATATCCCCTCAGTAACTACACCCAGTCACATACACTGTATTAATATCCCCTCAGTTTCATACATTCTACTAAAAACATACACATATTTTTATTTGTTACCGGCATTAATAAAGTGACAATATATTCCGTAACGCTGAATATATTATGCAAATACATTGTAAGGCAATATCTTACCTTTATACATATGAATAGCGTTATGGGGAAAGTAAGAATCAAGGGTATAAAAGACATGATAACAATTATACATCCGCAAAATACAAGCCATGTGTCCTGGTGGTCCTGTGGAAATGCACATACATTGAAGTCAGATGGTTCAATGCTACATTAATGGTCTAAAGCTAATGGTATTCGAGCAAATCTGTTAACACGGCATATACATCTACAAAATGGTAAAACAAACATAAAATAAAAAATAGGTTTTAATCACATTCACCCCCCAAGTGTCCTGAATCCTGAACTTCCAGCCGGTTTATTACATAGGGGGCCCAGTCGCAGTCCAGGTGGTCCTAATTACATGGGCCACCCAATGGGGCGCCCCAACGTGCGGGCACCGGCGGTATTTCCGCCACTGGCTATGTTCACTTTAATAGACGTAATGCTAGGGTTGTGATAGTGAAGATTTCCAACTGACATAATCACGGTA